GAACTATCCTAAAATAAGCAATCCTATTTTCACTAGTCTTTGTCTTTTCATCAGGTCATATGGACTTATAGATATTAGATTGTATTGCAATTAAGTCAATTAAACGTCCAAATCTTAGAGCTATAATCTGATTGCGGTAACCATTACCTCATTCCTAATTATTACATCCTAAATTGGATGTAAAATGATACTGCAATCCATTCTCAAGAATATCAACGCTTGTGTGATTGAGCTCATCTTATGATCGAATTTCATCCTGAATTTCTTTTCCAATATTAATTTATGATCATAAGTAAGCAATAACATTTTTGGCTGGTCTTCTATTAAGCGTGGTTTTTTTAAGATCACGTGGAAATCTAATTGGGAGCCAAAATTCAGAAATTTGTATATTAATAGTCAATAGTTTGTTGGCAATATGGTTAATTGTTGACGATGCTGTACTATGCATGAAATTATTTAATTGAAATTATTTACATCTCTGCCATTTTTGGACTACAACTGTGGTCGATCGGTTAGAATATCTTTAAAATTTTCGCTAACGTTGAACGTACCTCTTTCTCATTTTGAAACTTAGTATTATCATTATGCTAGCTAAAAATGTAGAACTGTCTAAGCTAAAATAACCAATTGATTCCTTGTTTACTATACTGAACTAACACGCGTATGTCATGGATAACCATTCCACTATTATCCATATCGTTAAAATTGTTCTAAATTATCGTTTGTAAACAAGCTTTTTTAATGGATAACAGCATCTTTTCTAAAATTCAGTCGCTAGGTTTTTTCTGGACCGAAGAACTTTACTTTCTATGTTGATAATTAATCGATTACCACAAGATAAACAGTTATACAAGAGTGTAGAAGTGATTCTGCGATTAGACAGTTTTAAGAAAAAACAGACACGACTCAAGGGGTTTTTTTGTTCATTTGCAGACTTTTTCTCCACTATAACGGGAGAGCTCCTACTAATTAAGCTTAGTTTGTATTTTGTCGACACTGGAAATTTTACTCTCTACGTGAATTAGGTGCTCTATATATTGTATGACTAATCCTTCTTATTAAGGGTAAAGGGCTGTTTTTTTGTCCCAACATCATAGAGTCTGAAAGAAAATCAGGCTTAACTTGCATATATGCGTAAACTTCATGACTTTGAGCTCTATCCTCCACAGAAATGAATCAATTTAGCACTGCAACATCTATCTGTCCATGCTGTATTTTGCTAGTATTACATCATAAGAATGATGTAGCTGGTCTTTGTCAGCAGCCATTACAGATATTTCAATTTATAGCCATGCTTTCTGCACCAAAATAATAACAGCCACAACAGAAAGTTATCATTCAATCTTAGAAAAATTCGAGTTTACGGATCTTGGTTACAACGTTAGCCACAATTTAGCAACGCTTTCTTTTAACAGCTTTATTCCACTCCCGTTAGATCTTTAATTAATCTTGTAGCCCCTTAAGAATTTTAGATAATAAATAACCAATTTCGTATAGGCGGAGAGTTTTCATACAGATAGTAGTTGTAACAACTCTGTCCTTAATTACTCGAAAGAGTTTTTATAATTTTCATTGGAGGAACATACTGCTTACAAATTTTACGTCTATATCGAAAATTTCTATTCTAGAAATGTTCCATTACAAGCTTTACAGTAGTTAGTTATAATTTTTCCACCCCTCTCAACATTCGAAGGAGTTTTTCACCATTCTCTATTGGAGAAATACTTTGCTCACAAATTTTGCAGTTAGCTTGAAAATTTCTATTTTAGGAAAGTTTCCATTGCATACTTGACGGTTGTTGGTTACCATTTTATCTTAAACTTTATTCCCTCATTAATCTTGCATCCCCTTTCACACCTTCATAATTTCCATCGAGGAATCTTGCTTACAAATAGAACGCTAGCTTGAAAAATTCTATTTTAGGAATGTTTGCATTGCAAACTTTACGGTTGTTGGTTACCATTTCATCTTAAACTGTTTCCTTCATTAATCTTGTATCCTCTTTCACACCTTGATAATTTTCACTGAAGGAATATCTTGCTTACAAGTTTTACAGCAATATTCAAAATTTCTATTTAAGGAAGCGTTTCTATTGCAAACTTTCCAGTTGTTGGTTACAATTTAATCTAAAAATATTCTAACAACTCTTTCCTTCATTAATCCTGTCTCCTCTTTTACACCTTGAACTATTCAAAAATGTTTTACAATTCTTATTGGAAGAACAGTTTGCTTTCAAATTTTACCTTCACTTACAATATAGAGAATTAATTTCCAATGGCACTTTATCGCCCTTCTTCCTCTGCTACTGTATGAGCCTTGTAGTCCTCAACATTTCCAGTAGAAATAGTTTGATGATGAACTTTACCAACAATGCCAATGCAATCAAATTACTTTTATTCTAAGAAGATTCAATTATGACTAGTAACATAATCTAATTATGACCTATAGCGTATTTAAGTTCTAAATGACAATAATTATCTTATTTTTAGCTTCAATAATTATCCTTCTTAACTTGGTAAGACCTATGATTGTTTTGATTAGCATGGAAAATGCGCAAAATTTTGTCATTTTATATCGCTTAAAATGATTAAAAGTGAAGCAGGTTAGGATAGTTTGACAAGATATTATGTAATGTCGGTAACGTTAACATCTTTGAAGCATAAAAATGAGAAAATGAGCGCTGAAAGTATTCGTTTTGGACCACTTGAAAGGCTTAAAACGAAGCGAGTTAGGATAGTTTGATGGAGATTTAGATCATTTTTCAAGCCGTGATGAAAAATTTCTTTAGGAATACATTCAATTCATGATCACAGCTCAGTTTCTACCTCTAATGAATTCATTTTTAAGTATTAGCTGGGCGCTTACTTGAGAATAGATTCAATTCTCGACCAGTGTAAAGCTTTTAAACTGAGATTAGTTCATTTTTTGAGCAATGGTGGAGCGTTGAATTTAGGAGTGAATTCTATTTGCGATTCAGTTTACAAACTCTGATAGATTCATTTTCAAGCATAGATTGGGTGGTTATGATCAAGATTCAGCTTATAAATATTGATAAGTTCATTTTTCAAATATGGATTGGGTGCTTATGTTAGGAATAAATTCGGTTTATGATCAAGATTCAGTTTATAAATCGTAATCAATTCATTTTAAGTAACGATTGAGCGCTTTAGGAATACAGAATACGGCATTGAATTCATGACCAATATTCAGCTCTTAAACTGAACTAAATTTATTTTTTTAAGTCAAGATGGAATGTTTGATTTAGTTATATAAACTCCATTTATGATCAAGTTTCAGTTTACATCGCTGAGAAATTCATTTTCAATTATACATATTATCGATTAGGAGCTTGCTTTAGGAATGTATTGTTAACGGCAGCTTGAGAATTTCAGGCATTCCCTGATTTCGCAATATGTTGATAGATATTTACGAAATCGGGTAAAATCCTCTCAGAATTTTGTATTATGACTGATTTTGCAAGTTGCCGGTAATTTATTCAATCCATAACGAAAAACTCGGTTTACTACTCGTGATAAATTCATATCCAAGGTTTACAAACTTCGAAGAGTCAATTTCAAGTAGCGATGGCGCATTTCTTTAGGTATCAATTCATTTTCAAGCCATGATAAAGTCTTTCTCTTAAGAATACTTTTCTATTGGATTTATGGTCAAAATTTAATTTTGTAAATCCTGATAAATTCAAGTAATGATTGAAGGTTTGGCTAGGAATAACTTCCGCATCAGTCTAATTCATGGCCACGAATCAATTTCTCAATGTGTGAAAGAGTTTCTAAATCTAAACCGATTTCTTTTTATGCGTCATTTTTTCACTTTTTTATGTCCATTATTGATATTGAATGTCCTTTTAACATAAATATTCAGAATATTTGTTCCCCTTCCGCTATCCTGGACCGCATAAAGTCGAGAGCGATAAAATATAGAACAAACGATATCCTAATTACAGTATTATTCTGTATCTAATTGCACTCCTAGTTCAAATCCGCAAAGTTTTTTCCCACTTCTACGATCATCAGTATTGTAAAATCCATTTCGGCGACAGTTTATTGCTCAGAAACGAATAAATAATTTTATTATCCAAGACACAAAACCAAATAGAAACCTGAGGTAATCAAATACTAAACTTTGACTCGTCTAATTCCCTATGTCAGTTTATAGCAGTTTCAATGTTGGATTAATTATCTTCATGATACAATATGAGAAGAAAAGAAAGACCATAAGCTTTGTCTAATCGCTATTTCATATTCAATCTCAGCACCTTGCCTTCAGGTCGATTATTGATGGCGGTATCCTGCTTACAAAATGAAGTAATAATAATAGTCCAACAGCGATAATGGATCATTCATAAGATTGTTTTTCTATTTCGTGCCTTAATTACTACAAATGAATTACTTCAATAGACTACTTTATTACACTACCATTAAAATAGTTTATACTTTAACAATATTGAAACCCTTGGGTATTGCTACTTTGTCTTCAAGATCAACTTGTATATCAAATAGGCTTTGTATTGGAAGTAGAGAAAAACAAACGATAAGCCATCTTTGATCTTGATTAATTTAATTTAAATCTACAGTATTGATGGAAGAAAGGATGACTAAAACATTATTGATGTCGGTAAGGAATGTTGATTGATTAAATTTACTAACGTCCGAGCGGATATAGGAGATCAATGTAGGATAATGAAATGGCAATAGCAAGTGATTACGTTCTTCTTGTCTATCTTAAAATATACATCAACATCGCTATTGAGTAATAAGGCAGACTTGAGCTTTGTATCTTACCGACAGCAATGACATGCCAATCGATCCTATATAAAGACAAAATTTCTAGGAAGAATTAACTGCTCCAGCTACATTCTTCACCTTATTATTCGTTGTTCTCCAACACCCCTTGACAAACATTCCAACTATCGAATTCATTCCTTATTCACTCCAGGCTTGTACAGTTCGTTTTATCCGATAGAAAAGAGGATCACCAAAATGACCAATATTCATTCCATTTCCATTTATGGACCGTTCTATGATCCACTCGATTTTAAAACCAACTTGGTAAAGATTTATTATTCATCTAAATATCGGTATAGCAATTTCGTCACTGTTCATTGCTGCTTGAATGCTCTAATCCATTGATTTCAAGTAGTCTTAAGCTTTCCATTAAGATGGATTCATCAAGATTGATATATGAAATTTCCATGATTACTTTGTCAGTTACTTTCAACGCCATCACCTATTCGTTATTATATCCTTAACATGATTGAAAAAGTATTCTAATTTAAAGTAGAGTGCAAAGAATTGAAATAAACTTTGACCAATTTTTCACCTATTAATATTATAACAGCTATTGAGATTCAACTTGTTAAAAGTAAATCAATCTGTCGACCATGATAGACGTATTAACGCTCTTTCTTTTATTATTTCTGCATCTAGATTCGTCTGATTGCGCCATTGCGAACTGATTCATCTATAACTTATAACCAACAAATTGAACGCTACGATAATACTCATAGCGATAGCATCGACGATATCGATATTGCTAGTATTCGTAGTCCTAGTTATAAAACCAGTAATTTAACTTATTCTATCGAGGTACAACGAGACGAATTGAGTCCGAAAGAAGAAATTGTCAACGATTTTAATACTCAACAACAAAGTTTACTATCGACACGAGCTCTACCACAACAAGACGATAGCAATCCAATCCGTTACAGCGAGCTAATTGAATCCAATCATCAATCCAGATCCAACAGCTTCAATCTATCGATTAGTGAAAATACCCTTGGAAATAGCCCTATCGTTCAACATTTTTCATCTGATAATCTGTACAATTCGTCCTTCATAAATACACCTAACGAACAGACAGCTCAAGATATTTTTCAAGTCCAAAGTGAACCCAATCCTATCCTTACTGCTGATAAATTAGACGGTCTAAGACAATCGATTGACCTACAACATTACAGTCATAAAAATACTGAAATCTACCCCAATTGGCATCAACAAGATTCAATTGGTTTGCAACAGCTTTTCAATAGAACTAATCAGACTATTAACACTTCTATCAAGAATAATCTAATTCATAATATCGATACTATCAGTAGTAATATTAATAAGAATCTTGTTGATCAGGAAGCAGTTAACTTGCCTGATTTTAATCAAATCAATTCGGACAATATGGTCAATCCGATCCATTTAATAGAAAGTAGCAAAGATATAGACAGCAATAATACCATGAGTACAGAATATACAAGGAGTAGCCATAAGTTACATGATTCACACAAGGCGTCGGCTAAAGTAATGCCTAACCGGTATCCAAATGAGAAGAAAGTTGGCCATAGCGATAGGGCAATGCAATCCAATCCACTAGATAGAAGTAAGGTAACAGCATTATCGAAAGATGCTGACGGAAATAAAATAAATGATGAATCGAGTAAAAGGAGTTCGAATCAGCAAGCAAGAGAGCCTGAACGTGTGGTTAAACGCACTAGAGCGCCTATGTACAGTTCGCCAGGTTCGCCGGAAACCAAACGGAAAGAAGAATTACAAGCAGCAATCCAAAAAGCAAAGATGTTGAAAGCAAAACGAAGTCTTCCAACGGAAAGTGAGCTGAAAGCTCGATCAACCGGTCATTCCAAGAATGTGGAAAGTCTAGCTTCTAGTCCATCAACCAATCTATCCGGTAGTCAACGTAGTAAAGAAGAAGGAAATACTGCCAATTTTCAATCCAAATTACATTCTGAACCTAATCAATCATTGAATGATCAATCAACCGATGCAATCGATCAATCAAGATCGATTGGATTAAGCATTGCTACTGATCTACAGAATACACAAAGTCAAAATGATGACAGGTTAGATGATATTGATCCTTCTCTAACCAATAAAAATAGTGAAAAACCAAATGTAGCTGATCTCTTTTCGTTATCCAATAAGAAAAATATCGATCGACAATTATTAACTTCGCCTAGTCCTCGTTTGGATGGCATTGACGATGCGACGGGTAATGATCAAATCATTCATCGTTATTCTCCTATCAGCCCAAATAAAGAAACAAAATTAAGCGCTATGCATAGCCGATATCGTAGTCTTGATACTTCAGCTTCAGAAGAATATGATCGTAATTATCCTACTTCTCCTAATCGTAAAAGTCCATCGGATCCAATAGCACCTCGTCCTCGAGCTCCATTAAAACGAGCTCAAACTTTACAAGATCATTACGATCCTAGTTTAAATCAGAACACAGACAAGTCACCAATAACAACACCATCAACCTATGAAGCAGCGCTTCCAAATAGAAATATCCAACCTACATTACCAGCTTATTACAACAATATCAATTCTGCGTCATCAGTCAGTAAATCGGACCCAGTTTGTGATTATTGCTGTAGTAAAATCATCGGTACTCATAATTGCTTAACCATTGAAAATCATATCATGCATCGTCATTGCTTTCGTTGTTTTACTTGTGGTCGCCATTTATCACGTATATCGTATGTCTATGATGAAGCCGAAGATCGATTTTACTGCCAACGTTGTGGACGGGCTAATAGTATGACTAATTTAAATAAGGCAACATCGACTAAAATTAATCCCTATGCAGGCACTGCGCCATCAACACCAAGTACTAGCCACTTTGATCGAGCTACTAAATATCGTATTCGTACTATGTCCAACAGCTTAACCGATGTATCCCGTCGACGTACTAAAGATATTGCTCGTAGCTTAGAGAATATTTTACGATCAAGCACACGATCGCTCAATTCTATGGGTGGTAAAAATTATGGTAGTAAAGAAAGCTTAGCATCCAATATAGATAAAAATGCAAAGCAAGCGCTAGGCCATGCATCCGATGATGATACAAGTGAAAATGATAGTGTCTATACTGGTATTGATAATGAAAGTGAAGCTGGTGATGTCCAAAGACGCATTGCAAATCCTCCACCTGCAAGAATCCAACTTCCTAGCGAAGGAGAAAATCAATCTTTACATTTTATTGACATTACTATGAATGATATTACCATGCTTTACGTTAAACAAGCCCGTCTAGAAGCCCAACGAAATCGTTTAGAGAAAGAGCTTTATGAAGCAGGAGGTAAAGTAATTTCTTTTTACTAGTGCGCTTCAGTAATTAATTTTGTTAAGCAAAGGTGAAGTTACTATATGCTCTTTGTCACTAAAATCGAGGATATCAAAAGATACACTAAATTTCTGTTTTACTGTATTTGCTGTTGCAATAAATTCAAGTTTAATTAGAAAGGGGACTAAAAATGAATTTCGATTTGTAATAATATGATCATTCTGTGTTGCTATTATAAGGCGATCAATACAAGATAGGAGTAAAGGAAAGACTGATTTTACTCAAGGATGAAGAATTAAATATCGTTAAACGAGAAGCTTCTCTATTACTTTTGTAAGTTCTCTAGCCCTTAACGGAAACAATTTATTCGACATTTTATACTTCTAAAGAGATGTTGAGCGATACAGTCTATTTCTCCTTTATATTTTTGTCAAGATGTTAATAATTATGCATTACAACATTTCCTCTCATGGGATCTGCTAGTACCAATAATTTGAACGCTTAACTTTATATAACAGGGTCGTTGAACGTAGAGAAGAATATATCCTTAAGAAATTAATGCAATTGGACAAGAAAGGTTTGTTCAAGCTATCCTAAATCCAGCTAAAAATAATTGTTACTGTTGATTATATTGTGGACCCTTTAGGCTCTTGCTAATGCTAGTTAATAAGAAATTGAACTAATTATATACTATCTGCATTTCTTCAAATGATCAATGATATACCGGTGACTTTTATGACAATAGTGATAACTAAAGTTAATGATAATTTCCGAATTTTTTCAAATCATCAGTAGAATAGAACCAATTTGATACTATCAGCAAAATGGTATTTAGTTTTTCGATCGCTGTTTGTAATGCAAGTTTCGTCAAGCTGCTAGTTAACTTTAATATTAATTATCCATTTAGTAATTACAGTGATCTACTCGTAATTGAATAAGTGGTAGTAAAACTTTACTTTTTCCATCTTAGAAACTAGATCAGAAGATGATACAAATGACTATAGAGGTTATATTCGAGAGTTAAAAGCAATTAATGAAAGAAGAGGACGTATCATGACTCAAGTTAATGAACAAGGGCATAAGTAAGTCAAAAACTGATAATCAAAACGACGGTATTAATTTAATGTAAAACTTTGTTCTAATAATTTGTAATTATTATCCCTATTTGGTAGCTTCCCTACCTATATCTTAATCTTCTATCTTTCTTTCTTATAGTAATTTCAAATATAGGAATGAAATTAACAATCGCTTACAAGGTTTGTTTTAATTTAATTGTAAATGAAATTGAATTTCTTATCAGCTTAAATAACATATCAATTTAATTTAATTTTATTAAGTAAAACCATATTATGCAAAGATAGTCAGTAAACAATAATCAGAGAGAAAATCCGTTATCAATAGTACTTATCAGATCTTGTACAATTTTTCTTTAGCTGCAGCACCACGAAGAATGTCCCTTATTCCTCAAAAGAGAAGAATTAGTAAACCAAAATGTGCTCAACAGTGAAAATAATGAATTACTTTATAACGGTCAATATCGAAGTCAATATATTTTATATTAATATCAAAGACAATAAATGAGCGACAGCTAATAAATATCAGTAATAATACTACATGAAGATGCTTAAAGGAAATATTTTAAAAGCACTCTGAACGATATATGGTTTGACTAGAAGGTATCGCACTTTTAATTGATTAAATGACCAGCTCAGTCATAAGAAAATATCTAAAAGTAATAGTGATCAGTTATGGAACTATTCCTATCCCCAATGTGGAGAGAGTTTGGCAAACTATGGCAAGATGATAATAAAACACTAATAATAAAGAATGCCGTGCTTATTCTATTCCACTAAAAGATGCTATTTATACAGTATATATATAAAACTTTTAATAAATGAAGAAAAAATGCTATCATGAAACGCTTGTAAATAAGGAGAATTAATAATATGTTTGCAACAAGATATTCGCAATACAGACTTATTTGTTTTCCAAGTTGAAATTTTAAGATAAATTCTATTTCTATGATAGTAATTACTCGTTTATAGTGTTTGCAGATTTTCGAAATGGCAAAAATGGAAATAATCGATTTGCTTTTTTTTAATACTGCTAAATTGATTATCGATAATAATATTCTATTATGTCAAATAATCATATTAATATAAAATTTGACTATTTCATTAGTTAGCTAATAGTCATAAATGCGTTGGTAAATTGATAATTTTATATATTGTATCAGTTCAATATTTCAATTATTAATAAATCTATCACTATCATCGTCCTCTTTATGTTTCAAATTGGCTGTGATTTTTACACTATAAAAACGAAGCACTCCTTATAATATTCAATAAATTTTATTCATAGTTCCATGTATTAATACTTGCAACGTTTCAGTATCATTTTACACCAATCAACCTATTGCTGTGATTGGCTATATCGTTTAGTAAGAAAATTTTAAAGTCTTCCGCTCTGACTCGCAGTTATCTGGGATGGCATTTATTTATTCGTATGCATCATAATGGGCTATCAGTTTACATGTAGAAAGTCAAATTTCAAAGTAGTAACTGCGTTGTTTAGCCTTTATTGTAAGATATTAAGGCAGAAATACCAATATTAATCTACTCGATATAGGATAGTTGATATAATGTCATATATAACGCTGACGTAGTAATTACACAGTCTGCAAACAACTCAGTTACTAGCCTAATTACGGCAATGCACAGTCACGTAATGATTGAGGGTATACTATGTAAGTGATTTCAGTTTGATATTTTCAGTTTATTAACCTTGATTAATAAGACTTAAAGTGGTATTGTTGCACATACGTAAGATGACATTGAATATTAATGTACATAAGTATAACTAGAAATGTACAATGTAAAAAAGGTCTATACTCTCGTTTAGGAGAAGCTGTACGCTTTTCTATCTATCTATGACAGCGTTACATACAGGTGTTACACTGTAGTACCATAATACTTTAAGTATTTAAAAAGGCAAAATTGATTTAATTAAATAGCATTTTATAATATTTAGGTATGTACAGAGAATCAAATCGATACATTAGTTTTAACTAAAAGCAGTAATGGCATATCCGTTATTAAAACTAGATAATGAGGATATTACTATGCTTATAATGCGATTAGTTTAAAGTTGTCTTACATTGATACGAAAAGCACGCTTAACATTTATAAGTATACAACTGTTGTGATGATTCATAGTTATTGAGATTTATAATTTCGATCATTATAAATTATCGATATGTAGCGAAACTGGACATTTATATGATATACTTATATCGAATGCCGATCATAAAATGTTATAAGTGTTTATTAATGATAGAATTGCTATAATTCTCGATTAAGATAAGTAAATTAATAATATGTCACAGAGTCAGTAATTATTCTTCCCACGGTTGAATTGGAGAAGTAAAACGGCTAGATAGTTGATCAGCCGGAAAGGAATCTTTTACTTCCTGCGATCTTTTCCGATCAATTTTCTCTAATTCTCTTATTTTCTAAATAATTACGATTAGAATTTGCACGAATTAGTACTAATGAAATGATCTCATGTACATAGGTTGAAAATCAATGTTTGTATTTACGAACTAAGATCGTATATAACAAAATTAGGTATAAAACTTGCGAATTTATCAAATCTTACCATTGATATTTCTGCTAGTATCCTACTTTTAAGCTCTTTTCCTTTCCCTAGTGACTCCATAGTTTCTAGAAATTCTTTTCTATCTTCAATTTCCGCAAGTACTATAGAAAAGATAGATTTTAGCGAAATTGAGTCTCTCTAATTGGTAATGTCTTTAATAATGTAGTTTATTACTATAAATCTGATATTATTATATTATCCAAGTATATTATGTTGCAGTATTATTTCTTAGAAATGAGATGTTTAATGTGAATAGATGAGCAATTATGTGTTCTTAATCTAACTAAGGTATTACGAAGTAAACTGATATATGAAATATTGCACAACAATATAATCTAGAGTTCTAACCTTCCTCGAAACGATCAATTTCTATTGGTTCATCTCGTTGTGGAAGAGTGTTGGTATTTCTTGCTACTTCGTCGGCATTTGTGACGTCCTGACCATAAGCCATAAGATTCTGTAGTCTCCTCTTATCATTATCAGTAATTTTTTCTACGTAAAAAAACTAGATTAGTTGATCTGGAAAATATCTTGAAGAGATGGAGATATGAACTAATCGATTTTTAAAATGTGGATCTGCTATTGAAATATTTTAATGATATTGTAGATATCGTAATTTTATGTAAAAACCATGATTAAGATTTATATGCTGGCTGAATTAAATTAATATGAATATTAGCATGCAAGGTGTTCTTCAACGCATACTTGTGTTGAAAGGAGGGGTATAGGTTGGCGTATCTTCGTTTTGTTTCTTGACTATATTTTGTATTTTGTCTTTACTTCTTATTCCACCAAGATAATTTTTTGGGTTTAAAACTTTCTTTCTGTCTGCAGTAGCCTCACCATTGTGATGTTTTCTTGATGACGTGGAGTGAGCTTTAACAGGTAAGCCTTGACCGGCTGTAATGTTAACAAATCATTGAATAAGTAAGAAAAGTTCAAGATTTTCAAACGCTATATTTTAAATTAAATTATAATAGCTTGCTCACAGTTTATTCTTTCGTTAATTTGTCGCTGTTGAAAGTTGGTAAGCTTAGATTCCTTCATCATCACTGTTAGCGGAAATTCATGTTAGAGAGATATGTTTAGTATCGATAAATTTAAAAACTATTATTTTCATAGCTGCTATTTCTGGCGTGTCATATGTATCTACTATAACGTACTAAAAGTAGATTGTATTGTAAAAATACGGTATGATAGTATCTATTTCAACTTTTTCTTGCTATGCATTCGTAGCAACTACTAAAAATTTAAAATACAGATTTTGATGTAAAATACACTTTCTTCAAGGATATTTAGGGTAGAGAATTTACAAGTAAAACTATCAAGCATGACTAGGATAATTATAACCTATTAGTCATAGAGACAAAATAGAACAAGCTATCATTCATTCATTTACAAAGGTTATGAAGGTTTTAATGTTCTTCTTTCATGCAATATATAGCATCTATACTTTGATTACTGCTATTAGTTACAGTGGATAATGTATCATAATTCTATTCGGTTTGGTACTTGTTGGGGTTACCTTTTAATAAGTCTTGAGTTTCTTTGCTAAGTGGTGGCTTCGTAGAATTCCAAAATCCTCCTTTTGCAACGGGTGTATAATCTCGTGTTGAGGTTGCCATCCTTTACTAATATCTTAATAGTATATGAGAATTGAACAAGATCTTTCTAATGCAGTAGTGCGGAAAGTACCTTCCTGCTTAATGGATTAATTGCAACTAGATCGACAGCTAATACAAGCTTTTCAATCGATGAATTTATCCTAGTACCAATTCAAAACAAATAGATTATAAGAGTTTCCTAATATTATCCGATAATTTTAAAGTACGCTGATGAACTATATAGCGAAGTAAAATTGCTCTGATGTATTGTATCACACAACTGTTCTATGTGTAAACTAATGGATAAGTACGAGTATTTATCGATTCGATGATAATTTATAGGGTATAAATAGCAAGTTGTGATCCCGCTTTGGGTAAATTCCTTATTCTTATACTCTAGTTTGGCCAGCCTGATACAGGACTTGAACTGTTGTTCGGTATCTAAGAAACGTTGACAACAAACTGGGAGGGACCTCCAATCATTTGTACTGTAGGCATGCGTGCAATGTAGCATTGACATGAATAATATTAATAAATAATTAATTGATTAAAACGAGTAAAAACATCGATAGTATAAACTAACAACTGTTTATGTGCCCATGGTGAAAATCATCTTTAGATTTCGATGGGACTTTAGATACTTTTTTTAGGTGCCGTGAAGTATTCCACTGATGATAGTATTATGTTGCTATAGCTGTACTGTCGTATGCTGTACGTATCCATCGAATTGATATACCAAACATCAATCTAGAGGATGAATCATAAATATTATCAATAAAGTAAAGTAAATAAATAATGGACAGCATACTCTCAGTATAGCGCAGTCAATAAGTGATCACGTAATCAAAAGCTACTTAATAACTTGCTGAATGAAGATGACATTGTTTGATGTCACACACCAGTAGATTATTAGGGTAGTTAACCTATTGATTTAATGGATTGTCACAAAACAGCTTTGCAACAAGATACCGCAATATACGATCAATAAGTCAATTCCTTGAACCACGTATCAAGGAACGATATCTGCACTATCACAAACACTTTTGCTCTACTAGCAGACTACACAAAGACTTAAACGCCTCGTATTTTACGTTAAACACTAAGTTGGAGAATTCTCTTTATTTCACGATATACTGCATTTATATTCTATTCCTTAATAGTTCATGAGTCATAGTTAGTACGATTAACCTCGGAATCATTTACTGAATTAGATATTAATTTTAGCTACTGCTCCCTTAATGTAGACAACAGTATTTACGAACATAGACATATAATGACTAATACAGAATAGTCAGATTGCGATATGTCCTATCACGGAATATTTCCATGATAATTTACAGTCTACCATAAATAAATTACAATCACAATGATTCGAACTGTAAGCAGATGATTTGCATTCCCTATTATAACTATTAATTTCAGTATGTGTATAAGTGTCACTGTCATAAAGAGTCGGTGCTATATTAAAACACAGTATATCCAAATTAGAAGTTAACTAAATAAGGATAGTCTAACAGAATTATCCTAACATAGTTATTTCTACTGTAATACAGAATTTAACACTGTAACATGGATAAACTCCAAACTCGATTTACAGTACTGTAAGTTCAAATGGTGAAGTAGCTTCGGATAAGACGCTCTATATCTTCATAGACGAGTATATCATGAACTGGATCATTAGTAACCTACTACAGTTGGTGCTGTACTACAGTAGCGATTCTGTTGACGATTGCTATCATTATAATTTTTCAACAAAACAAGAAAGGAATTCTGATTCGCCAACAAGATACAGTTACACCTATGAGGCCAGCACACTATTCCAGATGGGTATACGCTGCAGTAGATGAGCAAAACCTTCAAGGTAGAAAGCTCCAATGAGCAAAGTCCACTCTACTGTAACCGTTAGAGATCTTATTTTTACTGTTTTATAATAATAAGAAGCTGGAAGACACAATTACCACACAATCCTGTACTTAACTACGATTTATACTTTTTGAAAACGTCTATGTCCAGGATCCGTCCTGCAGATATCGGCTATACTGTACAGTAGTTAGAGGAGTTAGTGTAAGACAACTTAATCACTACTAACTGTAGTTGACTTAGTACTGTACAGTACAGTACAGGCCAAAAGAAGACAGTACACAGTGTACAGTACAATACACTGTATGCAACATACTAGGCACTCTAGCCAAGACAGTAATAGTATGAAGGGCTGAGAAGCCAATGATCAGAAGAGCATTAACACTTTGCATTTAGCATATTATCAAAACATGGCTGGTTTTAATGCAAGTTAGTTATTGTAATTTTTTTCTGTTTTTAGATCTTTTTGTAGGCTATTCCAATCCCTCTTCCTGTTTATGCTAGCAGTAGTTATCATGAGATGAGGCTAGAAATGTTCTAATGATTTATTATCTTTTGTATATGATGTGTGATACACCATTGGTAGATACGGTGCCATCATTTTATCGTGAAGTTTACCAGCAAACTTGTCAGCGCGGATCTGGCAAAGTAGATAAGGATGTCTTCGTTAAAGTACTCATGAAATCAAGCTTACCCAAGCAAACGCTATCCGCCGTAAGTAATGATAGGGAAAGTCTTGTAGAGCTCTTTCTATAGAAGCGTCGTATTTTATTTTAAATCAATCCAACATTTCCACAGCTAATAGCGGTCAATTATCTGCAATCTTAGTGGTAATTAGAATCGATCACGATCAAATATGAAACTGCTAGTACAGTAGAATAAAATAATAAATGATCGAAAATATTGATCTCATGGGATCAAGTCATTGATACTAGTTTCATTTTTTATCCTTATTTATCCATATTCATCTTCACTGTCAACGATTGAAATTGACCCAGGCTGTTTTACTCTGTTTCAACCCCTAAAGATAGCTCTTCAACTATTTTACCCTCTATCAATTGTGTTTATGCCTTTCGCAAGCTTTACGATGTACAGATTTGATACAGTTATTAATTTTATCACGCCGATATAACTTGCGCGTTTTGATGAACGATACTTTAAATACGACGGTTGTAGAAATGATGGAAGTAATTCCTCCTTCACAGCGCTTGCTATTCGTGTGTATTGCACACGGAAACAGATACTACAACTGTTTTAAACCATTTACGGTTGTAGTCAGAATAATTAATTAGTTCATTAGAGGGTGTAGCTCAGACGCACGCATAAATGTACTTTAGGTGCCATATATCAACATGATCGCCTAGTAATGGTTAATTTTCATATCCATCAATAAAATAATTAGTTGAGTGATGCTTTGCTTTATAGGTGACAGCGACTTGTCGGTTTTTTACCCTGGATAAAAAAATCGAAAAGTCCCTGTAGGTAAGCGATCACAAACGTTATTATTATTTTTATGGTCTTGTTATCGCATGTCTAGCTTGACTGTGGCTGTCGAAGGTAATCTTATCAAGGGAAATTGCGATTATAGTATTGTTGTTTCTAAATTTAGAGAATGTAACACCTAGGCTATCAGACCACTGCGCTATATAGGGTTGGTTAACTTTGATTCTGTTCATAAAAATCTCTAATGACAGAGTAAAGATATCAATGCTAATATTTACCGCAATCATACGTACAGTAGTGAAAAATCAACCAGCTCTTTATGACTTGGCTAGAGCTAATGGCTGTATAATATTGCATCAATAGGTGAAATAGCGAATGATGACGTTTTTTTAAATAATGGTAAAAGCAACACTTTTAAAGCTTGTCAATGATATACATCATTGACAAGATTAGTACTGCATTTAGGGCGTTGTGCTAGATGGGAAATAATTAATAACACAGTATATGATTTTAAAATTCCCAATTTAATTATTCTTAGGGCTTTAAATAAGCTTATTGAAATGGGTTACAAACTCTATCATCATTTGGATGTCATGCTTTTTTATTGTAAATTGTCTACGACAGCATATACTTATACTGACAAGTGTTGCACAGTACAACGAGTGTTGCAGATCAGGTTGAACTTGGTGATTATACACAGACATTTATGATAATCAACGATTCTAATTATTATACCACTACGATAGCGTAGGTAAGATAGTATCCCTCCCTGTTGGGATAAAATATGATATACAGTATTTACACTAGAGGCTGAATGACAAGTGCCAACATCAATACGATAAAATTTGGGTGTTGAACGTTCTTCTATAAAGTAACAAAGAGGCTATTTTCTGCATGTATGATGGTATCTTTCTGTATTGTTAGTCTTATATATCTGCAATGTAGTTAACACTTAAATCCCTACTTAGACTCTCTTACTTTACGTTTGTCCACGAGTTAGTAATTATTAACTGTAAAATAGGAAGGAATTGGGAAGTTTTTAGAATCCGCAATCAACTGACTGAGCATGCACAAAATGTAATGTTACAGTAATTAGATTACAGTAGATTACGCTAGTCATTAGTGAACCTTAATATCTCTAAATGACTCATGAATGCAGTATTTAGGAACTAGAGTCATTTAATAACTAATGCGGATATAAAATTAAAATGAAATTGAAAAAAATTGTTGATTCCTTTCCAGCGTTAATTGACCTAATGTACGGTATGATGTACGAGTTATACACAGTACAGTATAGCACATGTACACTATACTATACACTGTATCTATGCACTATATACTCGTACAGTATAGTAAACCTTGAATACCGAAAAGTGATTACGTAATAATATTACGGGACTGGACACTATTGTAATACTATGAGTATATAACCTATATATAACATACTGTATAGACGTATCGTTTACTGTATAGTGTATGCGTATAACATATTATCAGGAGTTTTGTAGAGGATAGCAAAATTACTATAGCAATGTAAATACTAAATTAAATTATTACAACAACAAAGCTGCAAATCGTCAGTAAGATAAATTATAACAAAATTACTATAGCAATGAATCATTATTTTCAGTCCTGATTGAGGTAGAGTACTTTTACAATACATGGACTCGAATCAATATCTGTTGATTTAATGTTGAACGGACGTTATTAAAATACTATACGCGTACTATGGACGAAGCTCCTTATTACATTTTTTGATCGATTTAATCACATTTTAAGATGGACTGTTTTAATTACTATTGATGATGAATTGCTAATCCCAAAATCGACTTTTAAATGTTGATTCTATAAATTATCAGGATCGATGGTATTAACAGTAAATTTTAATATCGGTATCCATTATATATATGTACTCTTAGATTTATGAATGTTTGGGCGTAAGGAAAGACGATGATATTAGTCGTGAAAAATTGTATAAGGCATTAGCCTTGGCTGCTTTGGCGCAACAAGGGAAGACGTATAATTTAGAAGCTCTAGACGCCATCGATTCAGCTGGTGAGTATTACAAATTGAGAAGTATGAGTGAATCGGCTTTTAACACCTTATTGCCCTTGCGCCTGTTAACACCAACGAATATAGATGATAAAGCAAAAATACAACAAGGCAATAGATAGGCCAGGCTGCAATCGTCTCAGTAATAAATACTACTATATACACACATTGTCCTAATATGCGTCGCATGACTGACTATGTCAAAATAAATCTTGCTACGTATTGTATGCTGTTCTGGTATACGTTGCAAGGCTAATAATATCAAGATAAGTCTGGCTATATGATGCATATTGTCCTAATATGTATTACATGGCTGACGATATCGAGAGAAGTCTTGCTGTAAAATGTATATTGTCCTAGTAGACATTGCATCGCTGACAATATCAAGCTATGTCTTGCTATACAGTATAATGTATATTGTCCTAATATGCGTTACATGATTGCCGATAGCAAGATAAATCTTGCTGAATAATTAAATTATAAAAACACCATTTCTACAAGCTAACAAGCTCTATTAGGTATTATACTATATTAAATTCTTACTTTCTTAGTACACCCTAAAAAGAACAGCCTTATCACAATATTAAACAAAATTGAAATTTTAGGCAGTACTTAAATATGCTCGAGCGAATAAAAAGTATTATTAAAAAATGAAGTAGAATTTTACATTTTTAGAGATTAATACTTTGATTTATTGGACTGTAATATAATCTTAGCGTTTAATCAAGTGTTATTTCAACAGATTATCCCACACCTTCCCTTGGTGATTTATCAGACTTGAAGCTTTTAAATCTACGTTTGCAAAGGGAAAAGACTCCTACCTTATTAAACTACACATACAGAGAATTAGAAGATTTGAATAGTGTTAATGTAGAAATAGTTCCTGAAAAGAAAGGATTGTTTCTGAAGCATGTGGAATACACAGTATACAATGAGGTTTGTATCGTTCGATTGAAAATTTCGTAAGAAGACAATAAGATGAGTCACAAGATATTGCTCTGTTAAGATATGATTTCAATGATTCTGTTGATTATTTCGTGGAACTAGATTACTGTATGCTACAAAAACGGATATTACAGGCACTGTTTGCCATCAAGCTGTTATAATTGTTGTAGTGCTAACCGATATAACTCTTATCGTTCATTATCTAGTTACCGCTTGTATTCGAATATTCTTTGAAATGCAGGGCAAATGTAATTATTATTATTGTAATCCTAACGAATATCCTTACTTTGATTAGAGAACAAAATCGACGGTTTGCCGACGTTACAGCGATTTCTGTGCGCTACATGAAGTTTTGCTACAGAGGTTCCCTTATCGAGCAATTCCACGCCTGCCACCTAAGAAATTAGCTGGTAGAGTATTATAGAGATATTAATGTCTAAATTCCACCTTTCTTTTTACTCTCTGTTGTATATATCTCTATAATTGTGTAATATTTCATCTGCTAGCTACACGAGAGTTTCTGGAAGCACGTTGTCGCGCATTACGTCGATATTTATCATTGATTTGTCGACACCCTGTGGTACATGACTCAGAAATTGTAGTCTACTTTTTAACGGCTGGCGTTTCTGTAAGTAGAAGTCTACGATAATTAACTAATTATATCATGGCATTTTCTTATTGTATTGCTCCTTTTGAACTCTATATAAAAGATAAAATTTGTCTGATACGGCTCTACTTTCTTAATTGTTCGTAAATTGAAGGATTTTCAAAATAAAATGAAGGATAAATTTCGAAATTTACCGGATGAATTTGTTACAAGCCCTCTTGCCGGCAAAGCAAAGGTTTGCATTTACAATGTTTTCACCATCTTCTGTATTGCTATTGAACTTGAACTAATTTTGATTGTCTGTCTAGGATCTCGTTCCAATAGATACGCAAGTTAGTTTCAATGAAAGTAAGGAACTACTTCGTAATGTCCTTGGTAGTGTATCAAAGTTAAGAGAAATAATAGAAAACATCATAACAAGATCAGGAGGTGATTTAAAAATTGTTATAACATAGTTGCTGGTAGATCATTGCGATATCATGACTTGACTGTAGATTTATAGCCCTACTTTATTAGAAGTGATTGAATTCTTGTAGAGGAATGATTTTTTGTTACTTGAATTTAATGTTTGATTATTATCCTTTATAAGAATATTGTGTTAAATCCAAGTATTAACCATGAATTATACACGTATTCTTCCGCTTGTAGTGGATGCTCGAGATTGGCAGCAATTCGGTAGCGAATTGAGGTATGACGTATGCCCGTACAATCCACAATTGTTGTAGATTATTTCTATTGAACATATCTGTTAATTTTGTAATTATGATAATACATTAAGTAATTGATATGCTTTTATTTCAGCAATTTAGCTAACGAGTCTCACGCTAGCTCTGCTTGGGCTTGTGGTAATAGCCACACTTGGAATCAATTAAAAGGCGTCTTCAAATCTTTAACAGGCTACTTTAACGAAGTAGCGGATATAGGAATAAATCAAGTGAGAAATAACATAGTAATTCCTTACCTATGAAGCGATAATTATTTCTTTCATTGGACATAAACACAAATGTTATGCCCATTTATATTCTATATATGCTTCAACTCATCACGAGTTTGTTCCAAAACGCTAATATAATTCTTAACTAAAGATTCAAGGGGCTGAAGACGGATCATTCGAAATCTTTAACCAATTTATGGACATTTTAACTTCATATAAAGTATGCCATTAGTATAGTTCAGTAGAAGTAATTTCGTTGTTATATCTTTTGTTAACATTGTTGTTGTTAATCAATTTTATAGGATCTATGTGATCGCCATGAGAAAGGTGTAATAAAAGATCATCAATCTGCTTTACAGAAGATGTCTTCAATGAAAAAAAGGCAAATTTCAGCTCAAGCTAAGGGACACGAAGCTGTAAGGGATGATTATTATATACTTTTCAGCTACATTAGTAATAATTCGAAAGTGTACAAAGGAGAGTCTATAATGTTTCTAATCTGTTGGTCTTCTACTTCATATGAAACAGGGAAATACCGTAGATCAATTAGAATCGCGTATTATCGAGGTATACACTTATTTCTATCAAATAGCACATCAATTGTGCATTGATTAATTAAATTATAGCAGTTATTTACCTTTTTATCACATTAACAGCAAGAAAGTGAAATTTCAAATATGGAATTTCGAAATTACTATTCACTTCACTGTGTCCATATGGAAACTCAGCTTGTCCATGCCAATATGGAGCTATTTGCACTATCATTTCAGGAACTTATCAGTCAACAAATTAAGAATCATAAAGAGGTATTAACAATGTTGATTTAGCCTTGTAGGATTATCAGTGATTGAAAAGGTTAAAAATATTCCTTCCTTACTAGAAATTGGCTGCATGGGAAAAAATGATTCCAATTGTTGGCAATATGGTTTCACAGAATAATGCAAACTCTCCGCCTAGTTCTCCGCATTAAGATTGAAAAAAAATCGTTTTTTTGTAATTCTTTCGATATAGTAGTTAACAGAATTTTATTCCCTAATTAAATTATTAGGGCAGCTCTATGCTAAATCGTTCAATCAAGAAAGAAAGCTACCTTGATTATGATAAGGAATCAGTATTCCTTCTTGTATTTTGGTATTAGATACTTAGAATAATCAATTTGAAGACAAATTTAGTACAAGATTGTTTTATGTTTTCGATTGGAACAGCAAATTTATTATTGTGTTCAGTATGTCTAAATTAGCGCTGGCCGTATCATAATGCTTCAGTGATGATGTAACAAATATTGCATATGTTACAGGCTAAGTGTGCGACGCTGGCAATGTGATGGAATCGCCATATAAATTATCTTTACATTTATTTACAATGCATACCAAAATAAGGGATCATTTCAGCCAGATTTGGTAAACAGTTACGTATTTTCAAAGTATTTTAAGATTCTATGTGAAAGGACAGTGTCTAGAGTATTAGTTGTACAATAGAAAATGATGTGCTTTTAAGCACTATCTGTAAACTACGTAAGCGCAGACTTTCGCGTAGGCATTCATACAATACATTTAGTATCATGATGCGATAGAAAGTTATCAAGCTAGATATTTTTACCGAAAACGCTAAAATAACATTAGCTTTATAGATGATAGCTATGAAGGACAATGCAATTAAATGTTAAGGAAAAAAAACATTAAAAATAAATCCATCTATACGACCGAATTCTAATCTTTGTTGCTGTTAATGCGAATTTCTTCTGATAAAATATATTACAATTATTATCCATACTTCATTAATGAAGCACCAGCAAAGTTAGTAGGGTATCGGAAACAACATCCAGTTGGTAGCGTCAGCTGCTAAATTTTACATCGAGCTTTTACACTGCTTCGAAATTCGAAAAAGTACAATATTACTTAAAGCAAGATAGCGAATAGTAAGAGGATCATAACATTGCTTTAATCGACTATTTCTTATATAAGTTAAATCATATATTAAAAATTAAGTACAAGCTTTAGGATAGATAAGACCCGCTATCTCGTATTCCGTAGAAAAGGCTATTTCGTCGTTTGGAATGGAATATTTAAGATTCGTCCATAGGTTCAATATCACCGTGTTGGGTACTTGCAACTGGAGACCGGTGCAATTCAATAGCCTTTTCAACCATTTTTTTTATTTGACTTACTCTCATTAATGCCAATTCACAATCCTGTATAAAAATTTGATTCTTTAGTAACAGTTTCGAATTTTATCTTCGATTATGCTGCTTCAAAATACAGACGTTCAACTACCCTACAGCGAAATACATTCATTTACTTCTTCTACGCAGTCGGATTACTGTTTAGCGACTAGAGTACTATTAAATTGATATAGGCAAGTATAGATAAATGTTATAATAAGCTGAATAATTTCAGAGATACTGATGTACAGTAACCACGAGCAAAATATAATAACGTAAAATCTACGACAGGCAATACGCGTGTATACGGTGGTATATTATTTCTACATCGTTACCTTTTCCTGAGTATAAGTTACTTGTTCTTGTTGTTGTTCCTTCGTTACTGAGAGTAAATGATTAATATGTTGGGTTAGTTCACGCTCGATGCTTTCCAGTAGGGACGCAAATGTAGTTGTAGAACTTTTAACAGATTGGGTGGACGGATGATCGTTTGATAGTTCTTTCAAGATTTGATCAGCAATTTCGACGACATTGAGTACTTTCTGTAATGCGAATATTTAAGAATGAATTAATTTGAAAATGATATAAAGCTATTTTAGCTGGTTGAATTCATATTAGCTCTATCAGTATGATATTAATATGATGCTATCTATTTTATGAAATAGCCTATCTACGTATGAAATGGTCTTATAAACTATGCAATGTAGAGTATTTGGAGGTCCATTTTACTAGCTGTATGAGCATTCCCCTATAACTGTGAATAGAAATAGGAATAGTCGTCCAGTACACTCATTGGATAGCTCTGCCACTGAAGCTATTAAAAATAGAACAATAGCACATGGCGTTAAATGAATCTAAATTGTGACAGTATTATCAGTTTATGAGCTACCATAACGCCCATGAAAAGGCAATCCAAGTTGCAGTAGACGATGATCATTTATTCTTGATCATGGTTATAACTTAGGATGGCCTGCTGAGTTACTATGGATATTCCTTAGCTCATCTTAATTGCAGAATTTTTTCAATCTCGTCATGAATTGATCATCCCATCATGTTCATTATTTTGATAAGTATTATTTACTGTTGAGTCTTAGTTCATGCTTATGAATATTATGTGAGCAATTTGGTAAATAGATTTATCGCCTAACCTTTCTCGTTTTATCTAATTCATCGATTCTGCTTTCGACAGTAGCAGTCGCCATTGTTTTTCTTCCACTTGGAGATCGCTACAGTACAGCGTTGCAGATTTACAGTACCGTACAGTACTGGACCATGAATCAGTAGGATACAATACACTGTACTGTACTGTACATGCGTAGTACTGTACTGCTAGGGTTCAAGTTAGGCTTAGGGTTAGGGCTAGGGCAAGGGCTAGGGTGTACTGTAGCAAAAAGGATGTCACCCGTGGAGATGAGTCGATACCAATGTACGGTTGTAACACGTGTGTATGCAATCGTCTTTGTTGACGTCATTTTGTCATAGTATTACTGTAGTGGTGTTGACATGGGTGACATCACTTTCACAGTTTGCAGTCAATCACTATGGCACCACACGTGTAATAGGTGACGCCCCTTGCTCGTCGATTGACATCATGGCGACGGCCATGCTGTGAGAGAATACAGTACTGTATCGAAAGTATTTTCTACTACTATAGTGTGGCATATCGCGTAAATTGGTGTACCGGGTAGTATACATCATAGGTACTCATGTTGAAATAGTAAGAATCTCAAGGACGATTCCTGCCGATTACCTGCAGAGCCTATAGGCAGACATCGCTGCTGCATTAAATTGGCGAGGACAGAGCTGGTGATTGCAGATCAAACCTATTCGATTACGCCAACAGGATCAAGGTTCTACGTATTTGGATAGTATACGATCAATAGAAAATCACAGAATAGACTAAATACGATTACGTAGACTCGCACAGTCGAGATAGAACATTGGTGGTAACACCTGGTCATGAGGGGTGAATCCGATTTCGCGCGCTTGGATTACCTCATCAATTAGAGGTAGTTGCTGTTTCCAAAGAAATTTTTCATATCGTCATTGGATTCTAGCTGTTCATATTGTAATTGGATGTCTTTTACTCGTTGATGACTTGATTAATCCATCCAAGTTGCATCAAGCAAGCAAAATTAACGGTCTATCTTGAAATCGGTAAGTGTCCGATGAAATTGATCCATAAATCCATTTTAATAAATGACAGTAGAGGCAGGCATAGGTAGATAATCATATTAATGAATTGAATACTTTACGATCATCAAGAAAGGCTCACCAGATAAATAATAATATCATTCAAGTTGTTATTAATGAAACTGTATTACTATCTTACATTCGATCTATCTTTCAAATCATTTATGTATCCATCTTACCCACATCGAAATCAATCATTGTACCCAGCGATATTGTCAATGAATGACAACGTTGCCACCTTGATCTAGCAAGCAATCAAGTCTATAATCATTTATCCGTGCTTATCCAATCTTAACAAGAGAGTAAAGTAGATACATGTGCTATTTCATCTTTTACTAATTCCTTTGCATCCTTAGCCAATTAAACCTGCATGATACTACGTTTATAACTAGTCGTCTGTCAACATTCTTCAATAAAGCATGCCAGAGCAAAGAATAACGGCTTCAACCTTTGACGACAGTCAGTTAGCATCATCGACCAGAGAAGTCTTACTACAAGATATCGATTTTATTGCCGAAAAGGTTGCTGATAAAAGTTATACAGAGTTGAAAAAGAAATATGTACCATTAAATAGTGGCAAGAGCAAGCCTGCAAATGAACAGGAACAATCGTCTCCATCAAAGAATGACGATAACAATTCGCGTCAACACGATGGTATACCATCTCCAAAAGTCATTATTTATCCTGATAGTAATATCAAATTAACTTGGAATAAGATAAAGCCTATTGGTGCTGGTCTTGTTAACCTTGGTAACACTTGCTATTTAAATTCAGTCCTGCAATGTTTATGTTATACACCACCCTTAGCTAATTATGCCTTAGCTGAACAACACAAAAAAGACTGTAAGTGCACTATTTGATTATATTATGTTACAATCTTATTAATAAGCTACATTTTACGTACATTTTAGGGTACGACATTAACTCTATTGTATCATCTTAATAATCTTCACGTTCAATAATCTAATTCTTATAATCTTAATCGTTCTATGTTTGCCTTTCCTTATAGGTAGAAAAATTGGCTTTTGTGTACTATGTGAATTACAAAGTCTGATGGTACGCTGTTTAAAGTCCAATGGCTCGTCGGTTAAACCTTGGCCGATTGTTAATAAACTAAAAAGTAAAAATTATCTTACTATTCAAATAATAAACCTCAATTTAGAACTATCTAATCAATAAAACATGCTTCTTTGTTTTTAATAACTTTTGGAATTCATCCATACTATCATTTACATTAAATTCAATACCTATAACTTGATATCATTGAATCTTAATAGATATTGCTAGTCATATTCAGTTTGGGCGTCAAGAAGATGCACACGAATTCCTAAGATATCTTGTTGATGGCATACAAAGTAGTTGTTTAGCTGCTTACCCGAAAAAGTAAGGTTTATTCGTTTAATAAGTATACATTCCTTCACATCTTATTACTTTATGTAAATTGTAAACACTTTCATATCGATTCGATCTTGGTTATATAAAATTAAATTTCTATACATTTAATACACATCAGTAAATGAAATGCGCTGTTTATCTAGATCTTGTAAATAATTATGGATGTACTCATGCTTAAATTATATCTGTACTTAACAATTGGTTCTACATACGGACAATATACTGTGATAAATTATTATTATCCATAAAGACCTTACGATAGATTCAATAGTAGATGCGATTAATGTCAAATTGTACTTAGTATATATTCATTATTTTGTAAGTTAGTTAACAATTTCAAGACTACGTCATATATTGGTGATTTGTTCAAATAGATTATAATGAATATCGCAAAGTGAACCAATACTTATTTTATGTTTAATCTTGTATTTAATTACTATTAGTCTGGATCAATACTCTAAAGATACTACAATGATCTATCGAATCTTTGGTGGATATCTGAGAAGTTTAGGTAAGAGAAAATGAAGTTTTTTAAATAGTGCTCTACGCTGATATTGCTGACATCTTCTCGAAGTTAGATAGTGGATAAATTAATTATTAGTATTGTTATCTATCTTACTGGATCTTATGCATTTATCTATGAAACTAATGAATTGCTTATTATTTCATTAGTACAATGCGCTCAATGTAAATACAAGTCTATTAAATATGATCCAATGTTGGATTTGTCACTAGATATAGCGGTATTGTATTCCTTGTTCTTGAAATAGATTTAAAACCAAGTATTTATATTGTATAACGTTCTGTATTACTACATTTCAGGATCTTAACACTTTGTCGGCAATGTTAAGAAAGTTTATAGAACCGGAAATTTTATCTGGACGTGATATGTATACATGTTCAAAGTAGGTGATTGTGAAAGGAGTGGAAATATTGTTAGTTGATGTTATTTATTCACGCTATGGCTGATGTTGTTCATATCTGTATCAATATATTAAAATTAGTATGCTTGAATATATTTTTAATAAGATGTAAAGTCAAAGTGAAAGCTATGAAAAAGTTTACTATTCACAGAGCCCCGGTGGTACTAACTATACCAATAAAAAGGTAATTTAAAATTTTGGTCATAAATCTATTTCATGCTTGGATGCACTTTCAGAATAGTTGCAGGAAACTTTTTAACTTTGTTTCAGATTCAACAAATTTAGTTTATTTGGAGGGAAAAATTCTAGAAAGATAAAGTTCACTGAAACACTCGATTTGCGCCCATACATGACAAGTAAAACAGGTTCTCCTCTTCTATATAATCTTTATGGTGTTTTAGTACATTCTGGTGGTTCTTGTAATAGCGGACATTACTACTGTTATGTAAAATCATCAAATAACCAATGGTATTGCATGAATGACTCCCACGTAAGTTTAACATTGCTTTAAAGATTAATTGATTGAGATTACAGTACTGTTGTATTAATGTAATTTAAATATTCAGTACCTGCATATGCAGCTAAAAAGGTAGACAACTTTAGCTATATCCTTTTGCTTGACTTCAAAATTTAGGTTACCAAATCCAACATAAATGCTGTTTTACTACAAGAAGCATATATTTTATTTTACATTTCTTCACCGACGGTACTTTGAGACTATTATTAGTGTTATATAATTCTATCATTTCTGATATTAGCTGTAAGCATTTATATGCAACTATTGTCTAACTATTTGATTATAAAAATTTTAGTTATCTTCTTCCGAATCTGAAAAAGGAATGTTTAATAATTCGTCATCGAAGTCAAATCATAATCAAACGTTTTCCTCGAGTAAGGAGATGATCAAATTTTATCATTAGATAAAAATTAAAAAAAAATTCTGTATGATTAATCAATATTGATGTTGACTTTTCAAAGGTCCTATGAAGCACTTAAAGAAACCGGCAGATCGTGGAAATTATTTCTCTCGATCTACTTTTATACCAGTTAGCTCAAAAGAGACCGTACCCAAGATGAACATTGTTCTTAAACAGAATTCAAATTCTACATCAGATTCTAAATCCCTAGACTGTTCTCCTAAAAAAATATCTAGTCCAGCTAGCCAACCTCAGACGTTAGAACATGATAATATAGTGAAATTAACGAAAAGGCACAATGTAAACATGCAAAATGAGAAAGAAAAAGCATCAAATATCGGTAGTTTAAAGCAGAAAAAAATCAAGCAAGGGTTTGTCCCTCGCCAGGTATTATCACTTAAGCCATTTAGTCCGCGTGTAATAACATCGGATGCTAAGAATTTTAAAAGTCGAGAGCAAGAAAGCAAAGAAGTTAGCAAAGAAGTGCCAGAAAGTAATAAAAGTAATTCACTAGACGGAGAAAAGCCAAAAATAACTGTGGGATCCAGCGAAAAAGATATAGAAAAGAATCAGCCTGAATGTAACGATTCAGGTGGTGCAGGTGACGAGCCTATGTTGCATCATAAAACTACTTTAAAAGATGATCAATGTGTAGATTTGTCAATCTCATCTGAACCGCCGCATAATAATGACGATCGGACGAAGAAAAGATTTCAAGAAGAGTATTTGACAAGCAGTAAGAAAAAGAAAGAAAAGAAAAAGAAAAAGAAACGTAATCATAGGCATTCTAGTGATGGTAGCGATGAAGAAGAAATGGTGAGAGCTAAAAAAGAAAGAACGTCAAGTAATGATGATAGAAGAAGTTCGCATTCAAAGAAGAAACATAAGAAACACCATAAAAAACATTCAAAGAAACATAAAAAATTGAAAGAAAAGTCTTCATCTTCGCGTAAATTAATTGATAGTCACAATAATACGATGAATTCGTCGCATAATTCTGTGAATGAGTTATCTATCGGAACTTACGACCAATCAGCACCTCGCACTCCCAACGCAGCTCCTGTAAAAATGTGGGACGATAACAAAGCAAATCGATCTCATTGGGATGGATCTCAGGGTAGAAGCGAAGAGGGCCGTGTTGATAGGAAGTCTCGTGATGCTTACAGCATTTCCGGTATAATAATACTGCTTACAAGTTATTATGTAGCTATTAAGGCTTTTCAATGTTTATTTTTTATATTTACGTGATCACAGTTAAAAGTTGGGAAGGAGACGAGAGTAACCTTGAAAAATATAAAACCGGAGATTTAAAACGGAAACGTCACTTTCTTGATGAAGAAATAGATCGTGGAAAGGTAGAGCAAAATTTTTCCAATGGTTTTATTATCTTTAACTATTACTTTTGAATCAAATTCATACATTATAATGACCTCTATTTGATCATAGATTAAAAAGATCAAGAGAATAAAAGTAAGATTACCTCTTTCTTGAAGGGGAAAAGCCCCTTTCAGAGATACCAAGATCAGAAAAATTCGTCTAAAGTATGTATACTGTAAAATAAATATTCATAATTATGACCATATAACGTAGCATATTATATTAAATTAATGAATTTCTGAGTTACGACGGCGGATATCGGTCACAGTAATTTATTAAAATTTTATTAAATTCGTTATAATTATAGAACCGTGATAAATATCACCGAGATCCCAGTGGATACCGTAGCAAGGGATTTCGGAGAATGTAAATAGGCTCCTATGATGCTTACCAGAAGATATAAGAAACTATTCTGATTTATTGTATAGCTACTTTGCAATATAATAATAAATTGGTACTGTAATATAAGTTTTGACGCACAGCTATTTTTACTAAATTGAACTTGAAAATATGTGTCTATCCATGATTCATTGAACAATGTTATTACTATATTCTCAGACAATGTGATATTATGCATTTTACTTCATAGAATTCTTTTAGCTTGCTACGTGTATTAGTTAATTGATAACCTGTTTGCTTTTTAAAACATTTTTTATTGCGTTGACATTTACTGTTTTATGTCTTTGAGCTGTAGGCAAGAGCATCAATTTGACTTGTAGTGTGCATAATATATATCATGTGCATACCATAGGTTTTGCTTACTATGTTGATATTTCGTATACCCGATGACAGTATAAGTTGTACTGTATTGGTATTTTGAACAGTACATTCCAATGTCACATCAATTTAGCTTAAATGTGCATTTACTCTGAGTATGAATGCGTACTCTTACCGTATATCTATTGATGTTACGCAATTCTGTACAGGCTTGCAGCATCTTTTTGTAGTCTTTGACTGCGCTATGCTGTTACGTAACTTAACGTCAGCTGGATTTAATAACTTTTTTGTGGATAATCTAATGTGCCGATAAAAGTCTACAGAGTGTTAAGGTAGCGATACTCTTAAATCATCTAGTACCAGTTATCTAATAGTCTAGTATCCGGTGCTGTATCATACTTACACCAATATATCCACTACAATAAGTTCATTATAATTTTATCCAAATTTCTGGTAGAAAAAGTCTATAGCTCCAGTTGCAAACCATTTGCAGTACGGATAAGCCTTGTAGTTTTTGACTGATGGTGATTATAGCAATCGATATATTACATCAGAGACGAATGGTCTCTGACTAGAGCTACACTCGTGTTCGCTCAATGATCAACTATGAAATTCCTAATAAACAATAATAATGAAACATGATGTCCTATACCTGGCCATTACGAGTATATGTTGTAATCGTATGTATAATATACGGACATAGCGGTTCGTTGGATGCATGTTATGCTATTACTGAGATTGATTTACTTTACAACTGTACAGCTCATTACCACTACCAGTGCCTCTTTTTCTTTAGACTGGCATGGTGTACAGTGTCCTGTAGATTTACGCAGTGACTGTTGAGACGTAGCACTGATATTAGGGTTAAGGGTATGGCTTGAAATTGTTAAAACTTTTCAATTCGTATTCTAGAGATGAGTGCCTTCCAGCTCGGCTTGTGTGTATATGTAACAGATCAATGTAGGTAGGCATCAAATCATCCAGGATGTGCATGCGTCAGATTTCAAAATTATATTAAATCCAATAAATTCAGATCGGATAAATTCATTCTATTCTATGGACTATCAGATTCTGCTCGACACTGGTATTTAGTAGTCCATGTTCATTTCCTGCCCGATCATCCCCAACAATGTAACATATTAATGGATATTTTTTACATTTTTTATTATGATACTTGAATTTTTACACATCTAAGCTATCGATTGATACTAAATTTGTCCAATTTGGTCATGATATTACGTTTTCAGATCATTTCAATCGTCGTCGATTTTTTATGAGACACCCTGTACAGTACAGTAACGTTATGATCATTGACAGTACAGTACGTCTGTACTGTAGCCTTTTGTAATTTGTACAGTACAGACGTACAGACGTGTACAGTATTTCAACAGAACCGGGACCGCGAATATACGCATGTCCAATTATTTCAAAATTTTTTCGCGGTACGTCTCCTCTCGGCCGTGTCTCTAAACAGTACGGTACTACGAATATCCAGTAGTACTGTAGCAGTACAGTAGTAGTACCAGATACGGCTGACTGAGTGAGTAGTGTACAGTGTACAGTAGATGTACTGTACATTGTACAGTATTGATGGCTGGTTTATTCAGTGTAAAGCGTATCGTAGAGAGGCATGATAGAGTACTCTAACTGTAAGACAAACAGGATGCTTGTTTTGTGCTGCTATCACTTTTATGTAAGCTATTAACGGTCACTTCAGTTGGTGTGACCGCTACCTGCTCAGTTACAGTTTATTGACACGATCTTGGGCACGTCAGCCAGCGGCGATTCAATCTTGCAGGTTGACTCCAGCTCCGTGTGTCACTCCTTTGACTGATTTTAGCTATTGCCAGTCTGGTCCCAACCGGAAATAGTAGCCTACAACTTGATCGGCCATTTTGAACTTATTCCTCTTGTCATTAATTAATTTACTGCATTACTTTGATGGTGTTGCCATTGAATAATTTTGACGGTCAATACAAGAGATTTCAAGCTTGTTCAAATTATTGACAACATGTCCAAATGTAAGTTTACATTGAAGTTAATGGTCACCTTGCCACGTTTCAGTAGCACCAATGTAAAATGCAATGACAGTCATGATTACTGTATGTGTGTAAAATGGCATTGCATCATTCCTAAGACTTATTGCTCACCCATATCATCAAGAATGGCAATAATTAACTTCATCTCCAAGTTAATCGGATAGAACAAACATAAGGAATCTTGCACTCGGGTCTATTGCAAGTGCTTGCAAGATTCTTGCAATCATATTAGCGAGATGTATGCATCGAGTAAAGGCAGATTGAAAGGCCAGCCGTACCTGTACAATCAGTGTACATCCACGACTTATGTTACTGTTGCAGACTTGCAGTTTGCATGTAGCAATAATCACAGCCTGTACATAGTAATCCAATTTTGACCGTTTTACTGTAGTCAATTTTTAAAGTTGATAGATAATTCATTATCGGTAATCAATTAGTCTGTAGTTAATCTAATGTTCACCATTTTACTGTAGTACATCTTAAAGTTGATTCGATAATTAATATCATTAATCTGTAGTAAATCCAATCTTTATCATTTTATTGTAGTAGTCACTTTTAAAATGGGTTGAATTTTTTATTTATCTTACGATCCACTATAGTAGTACAGTAGTAACCCACTTTCAGTGAATTTAGTCATATTGAATGGAAATAGAGCATGCCATCAGCCTAATATAGATAGGATGTTACATTTTTATTATATGTCGATAAAGTATAGGTAACATTACAGAACTACAAATAACTAAATTGCTTGTATGATAATTAATATCTACTGTATTACAATGGAATACGCAATACGTATGCTAATAGCGGTACACTTACTAATCATAAATATGACTCTAACTATTTTAATGTTTAATTTTCATGAATTCTATTTTCATGGTTATAGTGTGGCAGCAACCTTATGTTAATGTCTTCAAGCATTTCGATGTCTTCAATCTTAAACGAGCTAGCAAAGAAGGCGATGCATTGGTTACCATGGTAAAGATACTTACTGTACAGTGGACCATATTTGTTATTGCTTCGTTCTATAGCATTACTGTGCTTCAGTAAAATAATTATTTAGCATTGTACTGTACAAGTATTAACTATCGCATCTCAGCATTTGACATCGACACTTGAAATTCATTTATAAACGCTTGCTACTGTGTTTTATAACATCAAAATATATCTGCTTATCGCTCAATAATTACTGATCTAACATATCTTCGACCAGCCTTTTTTCTAGTTGTTATGTAATACCGTAGATACAGTAAAATAATCAGCTTGAGGAAGGGTATTGAAATTTCTTTAACATATATATATATATATACACATATACGTAGAACATAAGAGTTAGTTTCTTACCCGTACATAAAGTATATTCTATTTGTAGTAGTAGCAGTAGAATTTTTTCGTAGAATGCCTCCTTATCTAATTAGCAAATTCAAAAGCTAGCTCTTCTAGATGTTTATCGGTCTATCAGCTTACAACATAATGCATCAGAAATGATTTATATAATGGATTCGGTACATGATTTATAGGACAAAACGTTACGTTCATCCGTCTTCAAGATTATCGGCTCGATACCAGCTAGCAATTACTTACAAATCCCAAAGACATCTTCTCAATCTTTAGGCTTGATTGGCCGATATCTTTATCTTCTTTTTCGACCGATACCATCCAAGTACTTTGTCGTCCATATGGATGTAGCTACTGACGATGGCTTAATTGTACGGATATCATTCTCAAATTTATTTCGAGAATTTAAATCTACTTCTACGTGGTTACAATTTCCGTTTATTGTTAAACCTGCTAATGGTTCGATCGATGAAATTACATCGATGGGTTTTTCCACTAGTCATCAAAGTAGGCTTATCTTACAGTATACCGTAATATCAATGAATACTAACTGATTACTTAATCTATTGTTGTAAATTATATGATTGCCTCATCGCGCCTTTAGATCAGCCTGACACTGCACCTTCTGCTACGCGATGGACTGTTCTACTTTTGGACATGTCATATGTTTTATCAGCTTATCTAAATTATAAGTATGCATATCTAAAAAGCATCAGACTATGTGCCAATATGTATGTCAAAGGTATATTCACTAGCGATATGGAATATGAACCTGGTACGTTGCATCGGCTATCATTTATTTTCTCTTCATTGTAATGTATATGTAAAACTCTATATGTTACGAAACTGATGTACTTATACTCTCTACACACGATACTGAACCATTTGTTACTTATATCAGGGCTGAGTTTCTCAACTAGCCGTCGTAAAACTGCCGTTGCTGGCATTGAGCCATTACCACGAGAAATGACATTCCCTATAGCCAAAGGACGTGATTGGTACGACGTTTATGATTGCATAAAATTCCCTGTTGATACACATAGAAATAAAACGGATTGGCAATCAATGATGACTGATAATACTAAAGAACGTAAGTTACGCAGAATAGCTTATTTCGTTAATAGTTACTTTTCGTAGAAACTATAAGTATGCCTTCTTATAATCGATAATTTTACATAAATATTGATATTTTGTAATGCTTGCTTTCCCTTGTAATGGTATCAGATTCCCTAGGATTTATTAAACCAAGCAGAAAAAAGGTACTAAAACTTTCGTATCAGTTAGAATTTATAATCAGATAGCCTGTATTTGACCATTCTAGGTTGATTTGATTAGTAATTATTTCGATTTAACTCCATCTTATGTAGAATAAAGTTAAAGAGATTCCTGACAATCCTTTGAAACTTGGTACACCTCCACGAACTAAGGTTAGAGCTAAATATGGTAATGATTAGCTGATTTATAGGAGCTATAGCGACTATTAGATTACTAACTTTAAGAATTATAATGAATTAATATATACATTGGGGTGTGCGTGTTATAGGTACGTGAGGTACCATCTAAGTTACCCAAAGCTGGCACTGCTGACGGTCCAGTTGGTGCTTGCCCGGACAATAATGGTGAAGTGCATGTCTATGCTTATCCTAAGCAACAAATCGTAATTCATGAACACGATAAGAAAACGGGACGGGTATAATAATAATTGACAATATCCATGTTATTATTTATCTGCTATTGGTAATTCTCTTACATTTTCTAACTATTTATTTTTGCCTAGGTCCGCTCTAAAGTTATAACTGCTCCTAAGGCTGAAGAATCGAAGTTAAAGGTAAAATTTTTTGGACTATTTGCATAATTATTCATTCCATCAATCAAATGTCAAAAAGTAATCAATAGCTTTCCTGACGCTTAAAATTATTTAAACTGAATCTTAGAAATTGAAACCAGATCCAATATTGAACCTGAAACGTATCATTGGCTTTGGTGGCAGTACAAGTGAGGTAAATCATTAGTTATATTGGTGTACCACTACAATGAAATAGCTATTTACGTAAGTAGTGTTTATTGATTAAACATGGAAAATAAGACATAATTAACATTTTAACGAAAGGCATTATGGACTTGTGATGGTTCTCATGTACTCTATGCCTGTAATGCTGTCATCGTTGCAATGGAAGTTAGCAGTGGAGACCAGAGGCTGTTTATAGGACATACAGATAAGGTAGCATTACTATCCCAAAATAGTTCTACTGATTTAAAGTTTTGTTTACCTAATGCTATTACTTTTCAAAAATTTCTTGATATAGATTTCTTCTCTTTCTTTCAATGGTAATTCGACTGTTTTTGCGTCCTCGCAAACCGGCCAATTGCCAGTGATAAGAATTTGGGATTTTTATCGTGGTGATTGCCTTGCAATGTTTAAATCTCATGTCCATTCTGTTTATTTATTAAGGTATGAAAATGATTAAGATTGAAATAGTACTCATTCATTGAAGCGCAAAAAGTTTTGATATTGATAGTTGCATTCAATCTAAACTGTATCTGTAATTTTATGCTTGATGTACCCATAGTTTTTCGTTTTCTGGAGATACACTATGTGGTGTTGGCAAAGATAATCATGGCAAACAGGTGGAGTTTTGTTTATTTGGTCACAATTCCGATAAGTTAATTAGTATCATGGTCTAAGAAGTGACGAAGTTTCTGTATACTAAAAAAATTATATTTACAATTTACAGTTAGTCATAGTTTGGAATACATCAGACGCTCAAAAATCTGGGGAAGTCACTGTCATTGCTAAGGCTCATACAGACGCAAACATATCTAAAATGAAAATTTCTGCCTTTGATAGTACTAGGTAGATTTATTAACTAAAGATTTTAAAAAAATTTTAATTTTATATTGTCACATTAAGCAATATCAACATAACTTGTAGACTTGTATCATGTGGCCTTGAGAATATACGATTTTGGCGAATACGTGAACAAAGCCTTAGATCTTGTCCCGTTAATTTAAAAGATTATCATAACGAAGAATTCACAGACATCGTTTTTGCTGATGAATTCAATGTGTCACAAAATGTGCCAGATAGGAGACTGTTAGTACTAACTAAATTCTGATTAGTAATTAATTTGAAATTTTAATATACCATCTGCTTGCATAATACCTTAAACTTGACCACTTTATTTCATTAGATTTGCATCGAGCGCTTCCGGACGTATATATGAAATTCATTATGGAAGAATATGTATTGATCATGTGTATACCTTGACATCAGTTGGCCCCGATTCTAAAAGTAGTGTTTCTAGTATTAACACCATTCGTCCCGGAATATCATTCTTCGCTATTGGAACGGATGATGGTTATTTACGTTTATGGGCTTTTGATTTTAAAACTATTTTGCTGGAAGCAGGTTATTATATTACTCTCAGCGATGATTGTTATTTAAGCCTTTTGTTCCTGCCTAAATTTACGATGAAACGTATCTAATGTAATAAAAATAATGATTAGAACATGAAGGACCGATTGCCGCTATTGACGTTACAAAGGACGGATCACGAATACTAGTAACTACGAAAGCGGTACTTATAGTTCAGTTCAAGTTGCTATTTTTAGCAATTGATATCTCGTATAATACCTATGGAGGAATTTAACTTGCGCAATATGTGATATAAAATATTATTTAAATTTGGCTTTAATAGGGGAATGTCGGCTATTTGGAATATTCTACTCGTAACTACGTTACGATTATGAGATCACATCTGGATCAAGTAGTTGCAGCATCTATTGATTCTCATCGCAGACATTTGGTAACTGCATCGCGAGATGAGACTATTCGAATTTGGGATATAGATACTTATGCGCAGGTGCCGTTTTTGCTTAATTTTAATTTCAATGTTGAACGGTAAAGTATAATGATAGCATAATATTTCACAGCTCTTCGATTTTAAAGCACCTGGAGAAGTTCCTTGTGCCATTTGTTATCATCCAAGTCAGCAGTGTTTTGCCTGTGGCTTTACAAACGGAACTGTTCGAACTTTCCATGTCGGAACATCTAGTTTACTAGCTGAACATAGGTATGTTTGAAATTAGAGATTTTAACAAATATTGCAGTACATTGATTAAATGATACAAGTGTACGTTTCTGTCTACCCTCCAAATATTGTTATCTAAAGCTAAATGTATTACTAAACTTTATTAGCAAAAACCACCCTGGGCGTATTATAGGATTGGCCTTTTCGCCAAGCGGTAGATTTATGTATAGCGCTGGTACTCTAGGAGCTATTGCATTATATGATGCCACTTCACAGACGTACGATTTGTTACGCCTGCTACCGTATACTATTGCGCGAGGAGATATTTATGGCCCAGATGCGATATCTGTTAGTAGTGATAGTAAAAGAATCGTTTTTGTTGGCCCAACAGAATTTACCGTAACAATCATGGATGCCAGATCCCTTGATGAGGTGATCTTATGAATACATGCTCAATTTTTAACATTGCAGCATATTACTACATTTTAGTGAGTGAACAGATTACTTATTGATTTGGGTATTAATTTTTTCACTGTTTTTAGGTACTAAAAATCGATATCGGTAATGCTGTAACAGCTGCTGCCGGATCTACAACAACTGACAGGGCAGTTAAAGTGCATTTTGCGCCAGCAAAAACCAATGAACTCCTTGTGATTACTTCATCTTGTAAGCTATTGCGATTTAGTGCAAATAATGGACAATTACTTAGCGAGGTATGTAATGAACATGTGAGAAAACTTATCATCGAGTTAGGTTTAATTTAATCACGTTCCGCCATTTACTCTTGCAATGCTTGCCTAACAGGTTAGAAATATACATCGCGAAGAGTGTACTAGTTTAGATGTCAGCTTAGATAGCAGATATCTTGCAACCGCTGGTGATAAAGTAATTAAAATTTGGGACTATCATATGAGACTTGATCAGAATTATCAGGTTAGGATTAGGCAGCTATAAAGTAAAATTTGATAGCAGCCGCTTTCTTTGATACAATTCATGATTTTCTTGCAAAATCTTAATGATAAGGTGATAAGTAGATATGAAACTTTATTGTAGCTCTTTATTGGACATTCATCACGCATCAACCAAGTTATGTTCACTCCTGATATGGATGGACTTATTAGTGTTGGAGATGGAATATTCATATGGAATTTTATGGGGTATACATCTAGGTAAATTTAGTTTGTGTTGTATGTAGCAAGGTTTATTTAATTCCATGTATTAGTAGGCTTATTAAACTATTTTCTCTTCCAGTAAATCCGAAAATGCAAGGTCATTTATCTCATCTATTCCAGGTTAATTTATTATGATTCATATTCAATAACTAGAAACCTGTGTTAAGGTTTCAAAATATTGTCAACATTATCATAATTTGCAAAATGCGAGGCTTCATTACGATAGACTAATCCTTTAACACCTATCATTAGATCGATCAATCGCCATTGATCAGCCTAGCCAAGATGTAACTATGAATGAATATAAAGAGTACAAACCTCGATCTACGATCCCTCAACCAATACCAATTACCCAAAGTCCAAGTACTCGTAGGAAATTACAGTTAAGTAACGAAGATGCGGACGAGATTGAAGCTACAAGTGATCAAAGCGAGCGAGAAGATGAATCCAATTCTGTTTCAGCAAGTGAAAATTATCAGGATGAAGAATTAGGTGTGGTATCATTGCAGCAAGAAACAAACGTGAATCTTACATCGGCAGGAACTAAGGTATAACCTACTATTTTCGTATTATACATAGGTACTTTACTCAATAATTGCTATAATTTCTTTCCTCAATGTGCTACAGGAAGGTAATAATGAAAGGATATTCGAAGCTAGCGAAGAGCCAAGTATATCGGATTCTGAATCAACGAAGCCATTCACCAATAAAGCATTATTACTGCCTACTTCACATCCAACACCTGCGGTTATGAAGCATTATACAAGACGAAACAGACAATCAACTTTAGCTACGGTACTAAGAATTTCAATTTCCGATATTCGCTTCAGCTGTATCTAATTCTCATATTTATTATTAGCGACGCTATGCTGCTCCTCCGAATCAAGCAGGTCTCAAACTTCATAGTACAGTCGGTTACAATGGCTGTGGACGTGGGAATATGGTGTGGCATCCGGATACTGGTAGCAAAGCCTTTTTGTATAGTGTAATCAAGTGTATTAATTGATTGATTAATTCTCTGTTAATAATTCTTAGGATTCTTCGCTTATACGAACGGATGTATCATTGTAATTGAGGATTTACAAACTGGGAAACAAACGCATCTTAAAGGTAATTGAAATTGCAAATGGTATATTTTTTTGATAATTTTTCTCGTAAAGCTTAAGATTATGAATGTTGTAGTATTATGGTACGGTAGTATTGATGATACATATCTTAATTGCATAACATTAAACTACTATTTGTAGGACACATAGAAGAAGTATCAACACTGGCATTGCAAAACGACTGCCAGGTGTGTTATTGCTGTATTACATACTGTAGTAATATACAGCATACAGTATCCTATCATTATTTACAAAGATTTATTCTTTTAATTGTTATGATACTGCAGTATTTACCCTACTTTTAAGTCCTTGATCGAATCTCTATTTGATATAAATTTAGGTTCTGGCTTCAGCTGCTTTAGAATCTAAAGATAACGGTCATATTTGTTTATGGAATACCAAATCAGGAATATGTGAAAAGGTACTGATTTTAATACATTATGCCTTTGCTATTTGCAGAGTATTTAAAAATTAACTTTTTATATAATATATATCATATATACTCCGTATTCGGTGATTTTTTAAACAGATATTGAAACACCATAAAGGCGATATATGTTGTCTTGCATTTTCACGAGACGATCGGTTTTTAATATCTGTAGGTATGTTATCAGTATGCAGAGCATTAATACCAGAAATTTCTTTTAGTACTTTTTAAATATACTCATTTCTTAATCCAATGCAATTTATTTCTTATTAGGAAATTATCTAGACTGTGCAATTGTTGTATGGAGTACGAATGATCATTCAGTGCTTGCAGCTACGCAATTAACTGAGCCAATACATGATCTATGTTGGGATCCCTACACTGTCAACGAATTTTCTTCTGTTGGAGCTAATGGCAAAATAAAATTTTGGCTACTAGATGAGACTAACTATACCATTAGCTTGAACGTAAGAGCATACTATAAATATTTGCAATGTATTGCAATGCGATCGCTACTATATTACACGTATAAAGATACGGTATCAGCTTTTATACCAAGATTGCTTAAATTACTTAGATGCACGAAGCTGAAGTCCCTGAAGAATTGTTAAAGCCGCGGCTTAATGTAATTTTAATCTTCGTTCAATACGTACAAAATACTCTTGCCTTAAACTTAATCATTTTTACGTGAGTGATAGTATTGGATTATTTCTTTTAACTGTCAATTAGAAGTCTAACAATTGTGTCGATTTCACGTCTGTTGGATATGCTGGGGATAGTATCCTTTATGCGGCCACTAATTCTGGTGAGATAAAATGTGTAATGTGTATTATGTAGCCAAAGTCATGATTTAATGTTTCTAAAATAATGCAGGCATTATAACCGCATGGGATACCAGAAATAATTCATGCTTTGCTCACTGGGAAGCGGATAAAAAGGAAATAGGTACGTATCATTTTTATTAAGATATATTTAATTCTGGATGAATTGACGACACCTAATGAATTGGAAAACTTAATGCACAGGTGTAATTGTCTGTCGCGGAAGTCGAATGGTAACTGGTAGTTGTACCAACAATCTGCGCCTCTGGTCTATAGTAGGAATTGGGGAAATGAGATTGCCAGGCGGCTCAGTCAGGTTTGTAATAAACAATTGAATGATTAACTAGTTAATTGGGCAACTACTTAACATAATTTTGTTATGCAGGCATTGTTTTATATCATTTTTACAGTTAATTTTTGATAAAATTTGTAACGTGCCCATTTTATTTATACCATTATATAGTTACTTTTTGAAATATTGATAGTAGCTATTGCAGTGGTACCATCTCCTTTGCAAATGTACTTTTACAGTAACTAAAGTGTACTATGCACATTGCGTACGCGCAAGGTAGCAACTGAATTTCAATTACCAAGATATTAATTTCTTTAAAAAAATTAGTATAAGAAGTGAAGGATTAACGATGGAAGACGAAATGCCTTTAGATGGAGCTATAATCGCGGCTTCATTCGATGAATCAATTGATACGGTAAGGAATATTACAATAGATAAAGCGGACACAATATATATGTATATGTTAAATATGGAATACCAAATACATAAGCTATCAGTATACAGTATCCTTCGATAATTATTTGTATGTGTTTATACGAGTATAGGGAATTGTTGGAACAACCGCTGGAACACTGTGGTACATTAACTGGCCTGAAAGAGCTAGTATTCGCTTAGTCAGTGGACAAACTAATCAGGTTCAAATAGACACTAAAATCTGCTAATACCTAATTAAATTAATTGGCTTAACCAATATTGTATGAACTCTTATACACAGCTAAGTTATTCTTTGCATTTCAGGTCAACGATGTAGTATTTAGTGGTCCTGATGATAAGTACTTTGGTACATGTGGTGCTGATGGTAGTCTGAGAATCTGGACGACTGATAAAGTTGAACAAACGTTGCAATTTCAAGTCATGGGAGAGGTACATTGCAAACATGACCTGTTTTAAAGACTAAATATAATGTGATTACGCACTATTGTTATCATAAAGATTTATAAATGAGAAATAATCAAAGTAATGGTAGTGATTAATCTCGTTTTTAACGTATCTTTCCTACGAAGTCTTGTAACTGTATGGCATTTAGTCCTGCCCCAAAAATACAAGACACGATCTCATATACAAGCTCTCACACTAACCCTAAGTCAACTGTGGTACTGAAAAATGTCGGAGCGGATAGTATTACATACCCAACACACTGCGTTGCTGGATATAGCGATGGTACCGTTAGACTTTTTGATATAGAAAAAATACACATGGTCATGAAGATGCAACCTCACGCAAACTCGGTCACGGCAATAACATATGCAGCTGACGGTAGTAAAATGTTATTTAGTAATATTTGTTAGTGTTGTTAAATGCCTTTGCCAAAATTCATAACTTAAATTCGATACTGGTAAAAACATATTTTAATGCAATTAATATAGGTCGGGTAATATTGTCCGGAAGCGCGGATGGATTAATTGCGATAAATAGTCCAAGTACTGGTTTAACTTTACGAGTTCTCAACGATCATAAGGGCGCTTCGATATTAGGATTTGATGTGGCCGTTTCTTGGGTAACTGATTATGTGCTTGATGAAGTATCTACAACTGTTTTATTTTTCCCTGCAATATGCGTTTTGCCTATTTACAAGCTGTTACAATATTCTTATTGGTTCAACTTTGCTTACCGTCCCTAATTTCAGTATTGTCCATATAATTTAATTTAAATAAAGGACGAGAAATGGAATTTATCGTCGCCACTTCTCTGGCTAGGTGTTAGTGCGGATAGAAGGATTAGTATTTGGAGCGCTGACTGGTCTAAAGATTTTTGTGAGCTTGTCGATTGGTTAACTTTTGCTGCACCTGATTTTGCACCAGAAGAAACTTTGATTAAAGGAGGACTGGTAGAAGACTAATATTAGAATATTATACAACTTATCGATTCAACTTAACAGCTGTAATACTACAACTCTTGATTCTACATGTTTTATAGCGTGACTAACAGATTTCTTTTTATTTCTCCCATACCTACATTTAAAAATTATAGCCAAACAATGAGGACTTTCCTCCTAGCCTAGCTGCTTTTTCAAAAACAGATTCAGATATTGTAATTTATACCGGTTACGGAATACAAAAAGAAATAATTTTCTATAGTTTATCTCAACAAAAGGTATTAACTAATTTTGTTTCTTACGCAGCAATCTTTCAAATAACAGCATTATAGTTCTTTACCTAATCCATTTCTAAATTCATGTTTCTAGATTATTAGACAATGTCCACTAACGCACTGGATGACTAGCTTAGATGTGTCTCCAAAGGGACAATTAATTGCTATGGGTTGCAAAGGTACTATTTTAACATGTGTAGCCAACTGCAACAAAGATAATTTTTGTATTTATCTGAAGCTGATTATTGCTTTAATACTTAGCATTGCATATGTATCGTGATCACATTATTAATATTATAGTTATTTAATCTAAAATGTATCACTTGTACTACTTAGAACGGCTGGTACAAATAATGGATTTCTATGAGGGTAGTTTTCAAGATTTCGTAGGCCACAGTGACTGTATTAAAACGGTCAAATTCTCACCCTCCGGGAACTATCTTATCACTGTTGGATACATAGACGTACTCATTTGGTCTGTGACAGTATAGCATGAACAAAGATGACGATTGTAATAACAAGATTTAAGATTTTATTTCCCTAAGATAAACTTAAAGGTAGTGAATGAAATGTAATTATTATCATATCTAATGTATATAACTTCGTCGATAAAGTTTTCATTTTTATGTTTAATACTTCAATTGACCGATGGCATTTTGAAAATTAATTAGTGAGCATAAGTCATGCAGTACTATTTTACTATATATACACCTTTAATTTTATCGAATACTGTAGTATCTTTTTTATTTAATTTCATTGATAGGTGATTAATTTTATCCCTAATCGATACCGGCAGTTTAAATTTTGATCAACTTCTCTATATATATTTTATGTAATTTACTGTACGTGTATAGGATACTTAGGTTATTCGCAAACTTAATGAATGTGAATAATCCAAACGTACAGCTGTACTGTATAAGTACGCTCGTATTATCAAAGCTTTTTTAAATATGTATATACACTTATGCATTTATGCATAGCGCTGTATGAATTTCTGATATGAAGTCTGGATACGAATGTATGATTAAAGTCGATCAAAGTAGAAATTTAATAAATGCAATATATTCTTATAATACACGTATGGATGGCGTTAACTAGTTATACTTAGTAAACAAGGACACCGATACTATACTATTATTAATATTGTAGAAATGAGTAAGGATAAATTTGGCGATGTCTGATGTAAAGTTTTAGGATTTATACTGTACTGTAGTGCGATATTGTTCTGTAGTCTGTTAGCTACAGGCTTAATGCAGCTGGCACTAGTCTTCTATGTAGTACGGTACGGTACGGTACTCAACAGTACTTCCATACAGTAGACGGTACAGCACAGGACAATACAGTATTATAATAGTGCATGCGTACAGTAATACCGTAGACTGGATTAACGACATTAAAGTTGAGAACTTGCGAGTGGGCAGCAACAAATATCTAGCACAACTAATAATGTCTACCGATACTAATGTTGATAATAGCCATGATAATATGGCGAAAAGTAATAATGATACTGATGCAGCTCTTAGTAGCGATAATTCGGGTTTCTTTGGCCCAATTGTTGATAATATTTTCCAACCTGGTGTTAATTCTCAAGTAGTCATTTTTATTAACGTCGTCTTCGTAATCCTGTTAATTTTATTTATAACTTTAGCGGTGTTATGGGAGTTAAATATTCACCTTATCATCCTAGGATCGCTAACCTTTATCTTAATTATTTCAATAAATTGGTAAGTCTGCGATTGCTACTCTGCATTATAGAGTAATAATAACGCTACCAAATGGGTCATCATGTCAAAATAATGTAGAGTTATGTTGATACCATATGATGACTCATATTTCATAATCTTGCGAATGTATTGATTGCCCACTAATTGTAATTAATCGTATTTAGACGTATTAATAAGATATCTTATACTGTTTGCAGTATATCTATCGATCAGCATATTAAAAATCATCATAGCCAAGCACTAATGACTACTGGTACAGTATTTAGAAATAGTGATAGCTCACCCTTAGTAATCAACTTAAACTAAGTTTACTTGCAAGATGTACTGAACGATGTAACTTACATTCCAGAGTATTCTACCTTAAACTGTAAGCAGTAGTCGGATTTAAAGTCTTCATCACAGTTACTATGTAAAGACTGAGAAACCTTTCAGGTGCTTGAAAGTGAAGCCCATTTATTTTCATCATTATTATCCTTACTCCTCAGTACTTTAGCCAAGTTATCAACGAAGCCAGTTCCTATATACATCCACTGTATAAGCCATGTATTAACAGGGATTGCATGATTATACGGAATAATCTTACCATAGATCCATGCTAGTCTAATATAAGTGATAACTAACAAATTATTTGATTTACAATTCCCTTTTTCGTTTAGGTTTCTTGCTGAAATCCAAAAAGTAAAGATGGAAAGTGCACAGGAACATAACGAAGAGGATCATAACAAAAAGGATTAATCATCTTAATACAATTATTTTATTTTACCTACTGTACTACATGTTCTAAGCTAAACCCAAGTTATAATGCTGTAACGAGTTCAAGCATCATTGCTGCACAATATCGTACAAACTACCAGTCCACTGACGTGCCAGTTTAACTCCTATCTAATTTTAAACTTTATGAATTAGGAGAACTCTGCAATACTGAGGCTGCTGTATTATACTAAGAAATTTTAAATCTGAAAATTTTTAGAACCGGCTTCTCGTATACATGCAAGTTAGCAAAATGATGATACAGCAGAGCTTATACGAAGTGTGATCTTACTGTACTAATGATACTTTCAATGCCATCATGCCATATTATTGCATACGAATGTATAGTCTAAAGTTAGGCAAATGTCTTCTAGAGATCAAACTCGTATATGTAGGTATTCATAGAATTTAAGTCATTAATTTTGTCAGGGCGATTGATATTGTATTTGGAGTTGTGATATTTCATGAATAAAATTTTCTCCTTAAACTAGATCATCCCGCCCTATTTAAAAATTAGTCGATGACGAATACTATTTGCTATGCTACATGAATTGCTGCTATCGTTACTGCCGCTTATACTGCCGGTTACTGTGTCTAATATTCTTAATGTAGCTTAAAGATAACACGTTGTAGTAACCTTGGCTATCTTACTACTGTTCGTATGCTACTGATAAAATGATCTGAATTCCATCAACGTATCTCAAAGCAACTATTGGTCCAGTCTGGTGATCAATTTCTATCTTATAACAGTGGGGCACAGATAACTGATACTTTTAAATAAAAGTAAGCCCCAGTTAAGCGATGCTGGTATTATTGGCTTTAAACTATTGATGTTTACTAATTATCAGAGATTCTAGTTTCAATAAACATCCCTCTAATTATATTATAATGAAGGAACTAAGTAGATATATATATCTAGTCGTCCGTTAACATATCACACTCATGATATGATTTATTGAATACTTTAAGAAATCGAATGGATTAAGTTGCTATTCTACGATTAGTTAACTTTCATAAAGTTTAGTTTACAATAAAATAACGTCTTACTTGGCCACGATCATCTTCGGATATTATCCCTTTAGTAAAATGCATGAATTGTACAATTGGAATCTAATTAAGAAATTTTACTAGTTATAAAGTAGAAAGCACAGTAAATAGTATTAAGGTATAAATATACTGTACAGCAGAGATCTGCAAAATCTGTTGAGCAGCGCTGACGTCTGCTGTGCAGTACATCGTAGTATGTAATACTTTTCACGTATTACTGCGCTCCGTCTCTGTTATTTATCGAAATTAGAATTACTGTACATACTTATAATAGATATTATTAAAACCTTAAATTCCAGAATAAGTTGTCGAGTGAAAAAATGTAGCATAGAAGTAACGATACGGTAAATTTAGTTCCATAATGGTAAATACTAAAATATATCATATAGCACGCCATAAGTATACAATAAGTAAGCAAGCTATAAATTAATTGTTCGTCAGTTGATCTAATCTATGATTCAAGTTAAGGTAAACATTTACCCCCAAAATTACTACTTACAGCATTATTGACTTTCAGCGTTTGATAAACTTAGAAGTCAAAGCAGTTACTATACGCTGTAGAACATCCTATCATATATAAGTTTTCTGTATAATACATAATTGCAGCAATATTAGGTACATGTATCCCTTGAATTATTACAGCTTATAAAATTATTTGTATCAGTTCACGATTAATATCATTGAATCATTACAAGGTAAGTAATCTCTCATCCTTATTATTTGCCATATCTGTATAGTAAGTGATAAATTAATCTGAGGTAGTCGATTCATCATCAATTAGCCACGATTTCTCCTTTTCTACATCCTCAGAAACCACAAGAAATATATGACAATTTGGGTTAATGGAATATGGTTGCAAGAAATCTGTAATATTTTGTACTTGCTGTGGACGAGTTAATTTCGAATCCAGATTGTAGTAATTATCACCAATTTGACGGATACTAAACCAATGGCTCCAATAAGATTTTAATACCAACCAACATAGTTTGAAATTAGTTGAAATATTGACAACAAATGAGAAGACGTTGCTAAAATTTATGCTTGATATTTTCCTAGTTGTAATACATCCAAAAATAGGTTGTTAGGGAATATATCGGCTTTTTAGGTAGCATTGATATAATATAACTAATATCAATAACTAAATAGAAATTATGGTATTGCCCAATTTTTGCTATATTTGGTAACTGTGCAATATAGTATGATAACTTATTCAAAATAACACAATCAACTTTCAACTAATTACCGTATTTTAATATTATAAGCATTCTTTTATATTATCACTAGTATATGCATATATCATACTTTCTTCTGTCGAACCAAATCAAGGAATAGGACTTTTTTCGTAAGGCTGAAATAATAACGTTGACATCATAGAACCCGCTATAATTTTTATGTGGATTGAACCATTTTTTGCCAGATAATTCGAAACAAATATTATCGAGATCTTTTTTGGTAAATGCACCATCTTGAAAAGTACAATTTAGCGTATGTAACGCACATAGACCTTGTCTCTGGCGTTCATGATAAGGTGAACGTTCAATTTTTTTGTTGTTCTCATCTGCTTTTGGATTGCTAGACATAGCGAATGTTTGACATTACTTTACTGAATGAAGAGAAAAACGGGAGAAATGAGGATTAATTGTCTCACTCAATATTGAATAATAGCCGTACATGATATTTTAAATAATTTACTGTTAGTAAATAAGCACTTTCTATAAGTTAATAGTTTTGCTTTAGTGGTACATACCTTCAAATAGCATCAGTTAAAAACGGTTGAATAAAGCATAAAATGATGATGAAATTAACTGCGCTACAAGTAACAGGTTATTAACTTTGAATAACAATGTTTATGGCAATCGAGTTTGTCAAATCCTACGATCGATGGATCTGATTCTATTCCTATGTGCATAAAATTTTTAAGAATTAGCTTGTTTCAAACGTTCTGTATACATAATCTAGGAGGAATAAAATTAGACCTAGATTTCGTATATTATTTTATGACAAACAAAAGATCTGTATATAGATGTCATTTGATATTATTAACATTGACATGAATCACATTTAACACACAAATACTTAAATTTGGAACCTGTTGTCATTATAAACAGCAAACAATTTAATTAAAAATTAAAGATTTACTTATGATATCACAATCATCTTAATGTTATTTCATAATAAGCATGTATCTAGTAGATCGAATATTTCTAGTAAATAGCAGCCTATAAGAATAAGAATTCTACACTTAAATTTATACGCAAAGAATGAGATCCTATCCTATCTCAGAACAAGCAAGTATTGCTGAAAATAATTGATCATATATTTTTCTTAAAAGCTGTGGAATCGCAATAATTTACGAAAGCAAATGATCTAAAATTAGAGTATTTAATAGTTCCTGGTATCGGCACTTTTACTTCATAAACTATATTCGCCATTGCTATTTTCAACTACTATAGGGTCTCACAATTAAATCTCAAAATTTGTACGCTATCAAACCGCGATCGTTCATACTAACGACTTTCTACTATGCTAAAACTTGGAATTAGATCATACAAAGGTGTATGAAGCAGTTATTATTTCAGACAACGGAGAATCCAATTGTTTGAAGGATCTATAAAATGGTCAGCTAAGCAGATTATTCCTTGAAGGTAATAATATGATTTGATAACTTAGGTTGAAATTGATTAATTAGGGACCACTAATAGCTAATACAATTCTTAATCTTGTATTTTAGAATGTCTATCATTTAATCTACACACAATGATGCTTCAACTAATAGGACTTGTAATATTCCTCATTTTCGTATTTAGGAATAAGGTAACAGGAGGAAATAGCATTCATTACAAAGTAAAGAATTACAAATGTTTAACGGTATAAACAGTTGGTAATCAAATGGATACGATTTAATGGAAGAATTAGTAAGTCTATTTAGACAACCTATGTTGTGTAATGTAATCTAATTTTACTCAGGAAAAATAATAGATCAAAATAATAAACTGCTGCAACCTATAGTCACACGGTTGACTTTCAACATTCTATTACCACGATATTGAAATAAATAAAGGTATACCCTCTTAATCGAAAATGATTAATTGGCTTATACTTGATTCAATGCTTAAAGAGTTGTTACAACTTATTAGGGAAAATTTTCCGCTAAAATTATCATTCATATACTATGATTTAATGCCGTATACTAGAACGTATTCTAGTCTATTTTAATTTATTGTCTACTAATAGAATAATTATAAATTAGTTCCCTAGCGGATAACATCACAGCTGAAAAAATGTTAGGATATAAACTTCAATCCATGAGTACTTTAGAGTTGTCAAAATTGATTACACTACCGAGAGAAAAAGGGAAGAGACTTTAATTTATTCTTCGGGTATGTTCGAAGTTAGGGTGTAAAGCTTAATCAATACCATTGAAAAGTTCATGACGAGTAAATAACGATGAAATTACCGTACGTAGATGTAATTGAAGATCAAGAAAATTTATTGTAGCGGTCTCAAAATTTTAAGGATTTTTACTCCATTCACGAGTTTGCACTTGATGTTGGCCATCTTCAAAGACATTAAATAGTGAACAGTCTGCTTAAGTAATCGTTATTTACTTGTAATGAATACTTTAATCAATGCTTAGCTAAAGATTAAAATGCTAGACAATTTATCGGATTAAGTCAAACTGAATTATGGATGAGTAGTTTAAACTAAGCCCTACTCAACATTTTCTGTATCGATTTGTCATATCCATCTTACTAATGATTTTACATAAACAGTGTAAATTTTCTTTTCTTCAAGTTACAGTAGATTGATGATCAACATGATTAATATAGCATTAATCACTATCGGTAATAGGAATTTGTCAACTATAATACAAAGCATTCACTATCTATTGAAAATTAAAATCATATTTATGTTAAATAGTAATAGAGTGATCGTAGGAGAATATCATTGAGAAATCAGCCTATATTATCGTAGTAGACATAGCAAGAACTTGATCCATTTGGTTCTAAAATTGTATTTATTTTCTCTCTCTCTATCTCTAATAACGCTGTGATGGGGTTTTTAAAATGATCTCTCAATTTATAATGTCTACGCATAGTTTCGGTTGGCTCACAATGGGTATTGACTGTTTTCAATATTATAAAAATCAATGTACTAGCGAATGGGCGGTTAACTTGATTGAATTTTATTCTATCTAAGTTGTTTTCCTGTATGAGGGATACTGTAGCGATGAAAGCGAATATGGATCAAATTCTTGCATATTGATATTGAACTGTCTTTCATTGTAGGAAAATGACGTCCACCAAATCAACTTGGACATTTAAATATTATTCTACACATACGTGCAGTATCTATAAGGTAGCAATTTATCCATTACTTGGTTGTCATTGCATTCCATAACAAGAGATGATCATATCCATGTATTCTTACACATAGCGTTTGTAAGATAGTACTGGTATGTGATGATTGCACCTGATTAGAACAAGAGAAGATTATACACATACTTATTCTAAGCGTCATGTCTATAAGATAGTTAAAGTATGAATTCATTGGCTGCCATTACGTTGTACTTTTCGAGTATGCAAAAGTGTGTCAAGTTATCCTATCGTATTATGATTAATCGTTGTCCAAGAATAGATTGATTACAGTCGCATTCCATTTTCAATCGAACGTCAATCGACTAATTGGATTCCTATCATAATACATTATCGGTCGATTTCAAGCATCATCAGCCTTTCATTTGCATATCCTGTATCTTTATATTATGATTAGTTTAGAAAAGCGATCGATTATTTTTCCCTACACTAGTATTAAAATAAATTGTCATCATTGAATTGATATTTACGTTTGGTCATGATCAATTGATTCAAAATAGCAAAATGATAGACTATTGCAATGGTGTTTATGAAGTTTTAAAGTCACTGCTTATAGTTAAAGTATAAATTACTAAATGATATTGATCTATCCACTATATTGTCACGACAGTAGTCATTTACGCCTTAATTTTAATATTCAATCGAGTCATTTTGAATCGACAACAGCTTTCTATACTGTGCTATCGCCGGCAATTTTACTTACACCGTCATTTATGGATTCGAGCCTAGGATAGGATGATGTCTTCGTGGATAGCATGGGGGGGAAAGAGGGATAATGAATGAGAAGTTCGGAATCCTCTTCAGTAAAAAAGGGGCTGATATCTTTTCTCCTTTCAATCCAATTTGATCTTGAAAGTATTTAAAATCAGAGTGGGAAGGACTCCTTGACTCCAGCCAGCTCCAGTAGACGGTTGTTATGACGATCGGTATCCATTATCGTCCTCTATAAATCGTACGCAATTATTGTTTGGAACTTGTTCCAGCAGATACTATGCATTTGTATAGATTCTCTACGAGTGTTTTAGCTGCTATATAGTACTGAGTAGTACAGGATAGTACAAGAGTACGACCGCCTGTCCGTCTGTATTCCATACCTCCATTTTTTTTTTTTTTTTGGCTTTTGGCTTTCTTATTTCGTGTTTATACACTTCTACTAGAGTGATTGCATGCCTGCTGCTGTCTTTCCAACTGTTTAGAGACGAGAGAATTTTAGAGGTAAAAGTTGGAAGTTTATAGTATATTGATGTCGTACAATATAAACTTTCAATAGTGTTGGAATCTGTTCGCGTAGGTCATGGGGAGTAGAAGTACTGAATGGAATCTCATCGACTGCAATAAACCCTACTATTTTAACCTTAACCTGTCAGAATAGTTTATTTTATTAAAATGCACCAGTATGAGGATGCATCTAGGCAACCATAATTGGTTATTATTTGTGACGCGATAGTGAACACTATTATAGAATTACACAAAAGGGGGTACACAATATGGCAATTTTGCTAAATGCGATACCCACTGACTTATCATTGCTATGCTTAATTATTTTGTGATCAATGCATTCTATTCGAATGATAATTTGGCTAAAGCAGTTGAATCAGATTTTATACTGAAATTCAGTCGATAACCTACTTCTAAATCTACATGATAGTCGTACCGGCATCACTAAAGTCGATACCATAGAGATATTAGAAAACCTCTATGGACAATACTAGCGCTTTGTGTCGTAGTTCTCTTTCATTCGGTAAAACTGCACTAACGAAATACTTACAGTAAGACAGTGAATATAAGCGAAGGCGATACTGTATTATGAACTGTAGACCATTCTAAAAACTACAATCAAATCCATATTGATTGATAGTTTTAGGGGCTTCAATATAGTATTCGCCATATACCACATAAAAGATTTGGTTGTGGATAAAATATATGTATGTACTATACACTGCACACTATAAGGTTATACTACTAAACACTAATTTCTTAAGATAATTGTAACATGCGTATTTGTATATTACAATTATCTTAAGAAATTAGTGTTTAGTAGTATAGCCTTATTCAGATTGCGAAAGTTCATATTAATTAATTTAAACGTTTTGTAACGAAATATGTGATTGTGAGTGAGCTGTAGTAGGCTGCATATTATGCCTAAACTAATTCCATAAATGGGTACACTGTGCTCAAGCTATTTTGTGTTAGTTATCAGATCTCTATGTCCTTCAAATCTCGCATTATTGATAAATTAGGTATTTCGATATAAATTTGCAACCTGATTTATAGGTGCTATCGATTCCAATTAATTATAACTTCTAGCTATTTTAGAAATGCATACATATAAGCTCAGCATAGCGCACTATAAAGCAGGGATTTTAGATGTCCCTTGTTACAGTGTTTTATACTGTATTGTCGAGATTAGAGTAGAAATATTTTAGGATAATTCTGTTGGTTTACCCTTATTTAATTTGTTTCTAATTTAGATATACCAAATATAGCACTAGCTTGTTGTAATAGTGATATATATACGTGTTCTGAGATAAATAGTTAAATTAGGGAATTAAGAATAATCTATTCACGGTTCGAATCCCTGTGATTGTAACTTTCTAATAGTAGATGATCATAAAAATGTTTCGTGATATTACGATTGCAATCTGATTATTTTGCACTAGTTATTAGATATCTATGTTCGTAAATACTATTGTCTTCATTGGGTAGCAGTAGGTAAAGTTAGCTTCTAACTCATTGAATGCCTTCAAAGATAATCTTACTATGAGGCCTGCCTCGTATTTTATGTTGAGCACTAATTTTAAGAACGGAATTATATTATGCGGTATACCGCATTTATATATCCTTTACAATAGTTCATGAATCGTAGTTAGTCTTTGTGCTGCCTGTTAATAGAGGAAGGAGTGTTCCTGATAGTGCAGATATTATTCCCAGATATATGGCTCGGGGAATTGACTTACTAATCGTACATTACGTTATCTTGTTGCAAAGCCGTTTTGTGACCTCCCTGAATGAAATTCTTAAATTTAATGTTTAGCACAAAGTCAATACCGTGCAAATCACTGGGAATCAGGGAGAAGTGTTCTAAAGTGTTTCTTGGATAGATTTTAGTGCCCTTCTACGCGGTTCAGGGAGAAGATTTGTAGATTTAGCTTTCTCCTTATCTTGTCGAGAAGTAAATTTTCATTAAACTGTAAATACCAGTGTTGCATGATAACATTGGACCGGAGAGAATTTGATAGTGTTATTACTGATGAGCTATTTGCCTTCTAAAGATCAGTTTCATCCACCATCAGAAAACGGAAGATTCCAGCTTTTGTTATAGACTTAAGAGTAGAACGTGCACGCTTCCGCAAGAATAGAATTGAGTCACAACAACACTTTCTTATTCGTTTTCGATTGTACTGTACTGATAGGATATTGCTAATTGAAATATGTTTTACTTTAGCCAGTCCTCTTGTCGATTGCTGTGCCACCTTCATAAATTATAATCTTCCAGTAAATCCCGAAACATGATGAAGAATTGGGTCTCAACAACACTTTCTTATTCGTTTTTGATTGTACTATACTGATAGGATATTGCCAATGGAAATATGTTTTACTTTAGCCAGTCCTTTGGTCGATTGCTGTGCCACCTTCATAAATCATAATCTTCCAGTAAATCCCGAAACATGATGAAGAATTGAGTCTCAACAACACTTTCTTATTCGTTTTCGATTGTACTGTACTGATAGGATATTGCTAATTGAAATATGTTTTACTTTAGCCAGTCTTCTGGTCGATTGCTGTGCCACCTTCATAAATCTAATCTTCCAGTAAATCCCGAAACAAGATGTCCGAGAGCTACCGTAGTACCTTGGGTAACCGTACAGTACAGTACTGTACAGTGTACAGTACATGCTAAATTGTACTGTATTATACACAGTACTGACTGAACTGCTCGTACCGTATGGTGCGCTGCTCCCTACAGTACCGTACCAGTTAGTGCGTGATAATATACTGAACACAGTAAACTTCTACTGTACTGTACACTAGTGTACAGTGGCCAAGCTAAAGTGAAAGAGCCAAAATCTCCAGTTTTGGCTCAAAGCACAACATGGTTACTCCGTCGTCAAATCAATCATGAATATAGCACAGCAAATTGCGGCTTTTGATTCGCATTATAGCATGTGTAGGACAGCGAATAGTCCACGAATAAGTAAGTGAATTGATTTAGAAATTAGCCATCTTGGAAATAATTTGATCGTCGTTTTCCAAGAAATATTCTCTCTTGCAAATGATCATTTCTTCTACACTGCCATGAGTACAAATGACAACGGCAAGTGCCATCTTCACGGACATCATTGATTGCATTAAGCAGAATAGTCATGCTTGTAATAAATAAAGTGATGGATGATCCATCTTCCTAGGACTGATTCCGTTATTTCATGTATATCTAATTGTAATGTATTATATTAATTATATCAATCCGGATTGCAAGGATACGAATGTGTAAAGCTTAGTTATCACCTACAAGATATATACTCGTACTGTACTTACTAGTAGCTGACTACATCGAACAACTTACAGTATCGGAATCTGCTTCTACTCTACCATCAAGCAATTACATCTCGGTTAACGAAAGTATCCAATGACAAATTTCTCTTTGACTACCGATATACTGTAGCTAGAAGTAGCTCATATTTGAATAGAGTAATTTGACGATATAGTATCGTGTCTTGGTCTATCGACATTTGATCTAGTGAATTGTATACGTATTTTCTGTCCAAATTAGTAAATAAATCAACTTATACGCGTGTTTTTTAATAGTTCTAATTAATTAATGGAGAGGTAGTAAAAGTATCTAATTACTAAATGGTTTTACTATATCACTAATTTACGAAATATGACAAGGCTACTTTGCAAAGATATCTCCACAGCCATGAAAATGAATCATTCTAGAGTATAACCTGATTGCCGATCCGGTCCAAACAACATAGAAAGAAATCACAGACTTTTTGTTGCCCACGAACTTGTATAATGTATTAAAACCAATCACAACAGTATATAGGAGTATTTATACTCGTAAGTGTAAGTTGATGAAGTTTACAATACAATTATCATATTTCAATTACATCCTTTAACTTATGAATATTGAATACATCTTCGTTTTTATTCCATGCATTTAAAGATATACTGTAATTTACAATTGAACTGTTAGAATCTTTATAAAACGATATCCCTTCTATACGCAAGTATTGGCTTGATAATATTATCCAAGTACTGACAGTATGAGAATTATAAACATCTCACAATCTTTCTCTACTTTATGCGCTGTTATATCAAGAAAATCAGCAATGTATGAAACAGCTACTAACATACTGTACCAAATTATAGGAACATTGTATCTCAAGAGAAGAACACAATTACTGCGCGAAAATACTAAAAAAGAGGTACAATAATAAATTTTGAATATGATGTAACTAGCTTGAAACATATCTTTTTTACTACAGTAATCATACACAAATGGAACAATGCAAATTATTACTTAGAATACCACGGATGCCATTATATATCTGGCAAAATATGCCTTATTTTAAAATTATAGCTTATCGATATTGATGTTGCTTCAATATAAAGTTATTAAACATTAACCCAATATTTGTACAGTTGGATCCAAATATTAGAAAACAATATCTGAAAATCAGAACTCAAATTTTAACTATAAAATACGGAAGTGTTCCTGATTTGAGGTCAGTTTTCATAACGCTTGTTATTATTATTTAATTTACAATATATAGTACAACTCGTTCGTATTACATTTTGTATTCTTAATTTTTAGAAGCCGTGATCCTAGTATTAGAAGTAGAGCGGAATCGTTATATGAGGTTAACTCAATTTTAATCTTATTTCTTATAGGACTACAATTAGACATACCGTGTTTACTATTAAAAACATTAGCCATTTATGGTATAAATTATACTGTAATAGAAGCTGGCAAAATTTCTAATATATAAAATGAAAAATGTCTATATTAAATATTATAGCAACCTATTGGATCTGTATCATTGCAACTTGGATCCTCATCCCCAAGTTCTACCAATAGATCACCTAGACATAGCCGTTTACAAAGTGATAGTTCTTTCTCCTTCTTACGACCACGTTCAACAAGTCTAGGTTCTATCAACTATGAAGACAAGAATACAGCAGCTAATAATACTAAAACTCTAATTGTTCCTCAACTTGACAACGAAAACGTTATACCAACGGAAGATGCAAAAGCTAGCAAGTAAATTATTTTAGCTATCGAGAAAGCCTTCTTAATAATGTTCATTCGATCTGTTATAAACTATCTTTATGTATATGACGGATTAACTATTTGCTCTGCTAATATGCAACTCTACAATAGAAAATTAGCTGGCAATCAAAATATCGAGCAGTACTATCAATTCGAACCTGTTTATCATGTATTTCATCAGCATATGAAAGCAGGTAAAATATTCCATCTACCATAATTTAATTTACTTTATATGGATGTTGTATAGTCTTTACAATTAATTTTTTTTGACTTTACCTGTCTATGGAAATCAAATATGTTTATCAATTATCAGTCAAGGTTGTTAAATTTGCTAATGAAGAACGAGATAGACTGGCGTGCTGTTCTGTCGATGGTACTATTTCTATACTTAGACTTAATCCACCTACTGTACAATTTGTATTAAAAGGACATACTAACAGTATAAACGGTAAGTAATACATCGTGTTAGTAACAATTAAAGCAAGGTATTTAAATTGCTATACAGTGAACTGATGTAGTTATCATGACCTCTTTATAACTAATACTATCATTATTTATCATTGGGGGTACACTGGATATCCTCAGATCTTTCTTGGTCTCTAACAAATGATTTAATTATGAGTGCTTCTTCCGATAAAACAACGCGCATATGGAATTCTGTTGGTGGATCATGCCTTAGGGTTGTTAATGATTATGGATCGTCTGAAGTTAACTGTTGTATATTTCATCCAGTTAATAATAACCATGTTGTTGTATCCTTACACTTGCAAAGTATATAAATAACATGATATCACTGTAATTATGAATGATAGCTACAGTATAACCATCTATATTGATGGCACCAGTTTATAGTCTTGTTTTCTTAACGAGTAAAACTCTGGTTAGACTGGCAACTCTAAATGGCAAGTACAAGTCTATAATACTTCTACTGGTAAAAGAATTAAGGTATATTCACCTGAGATATAACTGCAAAACTAAGAACTATACTTAATACACTATGAAGTAATCGCCATTTATTGCTGTATGACCTTTAGGAAGTTATACAAGTTCATTAATGTTAAGAGACGTTATTATCTATTTGATTTCTTAGGGTGGTGGCAACAAAGTTTCAGGGGTAGTAAAATGCCTTGCATTTGATATAAATGGAAAAATACTTTGGTCCGGTGACACTAAAGTAGGCCCTGTTATTATTGCTATTGAGGCCTAGTACTCACTGATAATTCTCATTTATTTAAATTACTGCTCTAACACTTCGAACTTCAGGGACATATCTACTCGTTTATTTTCGATACAATGACGGGAAAAATTATAAAGAGTAGAAAGTACGCTTACAATAATGTAGTATGCTATTAATTATGGTTAATTCATTAAGGTACCACTTTTTTTAAACGAAAATTCATCTACTATATCATGTAGGATTACTATAAATGAAGGTAGCCCGATTACTTCGATTGTATCTCGTAGCTGGTCCAATCGAGAAGGGAAAAATCCAGTATTATTAATGAATACTATGAGAGATAGCTTGTGGTTGTTAAGGTATACCTATTATTGAGTCTTTAATGTTGTTACAGGAATTAATCTTTCGCTATGTGGTATTCTCCTACCGGTTTTACTAGTTTTTCGTTAATAATTATAATAAACCTACCCTGAACACAGGCGTATATAGAAATTTCGATTTGCTTCATTTTCAAGATAGACAATGGTAGAAATTTTACAGTTAATTTATAATTGAAAATTAGAATAATTTCACCAGATGGTAATGCTGAATTGAAAAGTTCATATCCGGTATGGCATAGCAAGCAAGATATTAAAAGTACATTTTGTCCGATAATGTCATTTCGTGAGGGTGCTTGCGTAGGTAAGCGAACTACTTGAAATATTTTTGTTGTTTATTTATAGTGTTTGTATCCTCATCTAATTATTAATACTGTAAATAGTCTTTATAGATAAAACTAATTCCTAATCATGTACGTTTTACCTATCATGCCTGATTGAATTCTAAATTTTTATTTATAACCGTATATGCATATATGTACAGTACGCATAGTGTAGAAAATAATTATTTGCAATTAAGGCGTCTTTCATTTACCGTGCCTTATAGTGACAGGAAGTGAAGATCTATGTGTTCATCTGTATAACATCGAAAAAAATGATGAAAATGCCTCTGTGAATATATTACACGGTCATTCTGCCCCAGTTTTGGGTGTTTCTTGGAATTACGACGAAAGTTTTTTGGCTTCAAGTGATTCTCTAGTATGTATTTTTATTTCCTTATTACATTCAAGTTTACGATAAACAACCTTGATATTACAAGTAGACTTAGCAATGTGATAAATGACAATGATAATAATATTAATATCAATTTTTAGGGTATGGTGTTTATATGGAAAAGAAAAATTAACTGCAATAGTGATAAAGATGACAATCTGTCTCTTGAAAACCAAGTAGAGGATGACTGACCATTTTAAAATTTTTTATGCTATTTCATAATACCGTATATATGATATTTAATTAGATTATATCAATTATATGATAGAAATCTATCATTGACATCAGGTGATAATCAAAAATTTTTTGTTGAATAAATATAACTGTTGCATGGTTGTTTATCAAGATACATAGACCTGTTTAATTTATGCGAATATTTGAATACTGTATAGTAGTTTTACAAGTACAATAATATTATTCAATGTTTGTTAATGGTAGTAAGTAATATCGGAATTTACTTTGTTACGTAAATCTTTTGCAGTTATTAATATTTATTGGAATTATGTTCTATTTTAGTTAAGCATATGATGTACTCATGCGAGAATAGATACCAGAATTCTTGTTTAAATACTTCATGTATGTTAATGTTGTGACCACACACAAATAATTAATAATTGTCACAGTATACAGCATACGTAGAATTAGCATATCGATGTACGAGTATGCGTATGTATACAGTCTGTACCCGTACTCGTACAGAAGGGTATGTGATTAAAATACATGTTTACGATTAAAATTTTAAAAGTTTTTGATCAGACGTATTTTCTCCCAAACTTAAACCATATCATGATCATGATTAGCATCCAATGAAGTTACATTGATAGTAACGGATTTTTTTGCTTGAGATTATCATTTTTATACTTTGTTTCGATGTAACTCATGTTGATTATAATAAATATAGTGCTATTTTGGCATTTTAGATAGTCACATTACTGATGGAGCAAAAGCCAATAATTGGATGGAATCATTTTTGGTTGAATCGACTATGCAAATTTCATAAACATTTTTCTTAAATGTCTTGTGTTGATCAGATAACTGAATATGCATACAGCAATGATACATAATAATAGGAATCCTTGGCAATAAAATAATAAGCCGGCTTGTCGACAAGCATATTTTTTTAAGGTTTGCCGCAAACACAGTAATAAATTATTAATTATTATATGTAGAAAACCTTTCTTTCTCATTAGACGAATTATTGCTAATATCTAAGCTTATCATGAATCTGTAATATATGCCATCTAAACATGAACTGATATGTATGAATACTAATACCTTATTTTAGATAAAACATGGTTATAAATTAAAATATATTACACATGAATATACATTACAATTAATGTGCATACCATGTGTATAGTTCATAAACCTTGTTTTAATTTCCTGTTATAACGCTATAATCTGATATGATCGATTGATATTAATAGCAGGTAACTGTACGACTTTACTTTAGTTAAAGATATATGCACACTTAATAAATCCATGGGTTACATAAAATTCTATTAAGAAAAGTTTCATTTTAAAAATTATTATCCAACCTGTAATGGCGAAGGCTAGACAAAATTTTAATTAAACTTTACGATAAATAATATAGTGGGTGTATAAGGTTATCTATAGCTGCCTAATTATGATATTATGTTATCCTCGCAGCTGGCTTCTGTCAATGTTTTTAAGCAGTCAATCGGATCAATCATTTGATTTGTGGGAAATTCACTCAATACTATACGCGATAATATGATAAACAGGTGATAGATTAATGAAACAATTTCAAGGTTTAAAGTTTAATATTGCTTTTTGAGCAATATTATTTAACCTCGTTTTCTAGACTTACGAACCAATCGAAAATAATTCATTGATGTACAACATCTTTCATAATGACGGATTTTCTTTGAAGTATCAGTACAGCGTTGAACCTCTTGCAATTCTGCAATTGCAGCTTTAAATATTTTCACTAGCTTTTTTCTAAGGTTCACATTATTAGTGTTCAAGCTTTTCTTATGTCGTTCTATTTGATCATTTCGTTCTTGTGTCTGTCTATAAACATTACATGGATAATGACGGTCACCACTCACCATTGCTATGTTACAACATTTTATTTCACGAGGAGAAAAATACCTCCCTCGATTTGTATTTGTCCTAGTTGTTGCTAAACCTGGAGATGATGGCGAGGTAGATTGCTGTTGCCACTGTGTTGTCACAACCATAACTTGATTAGTATTGATGTAATAGTTGTTGTCGTTATTGTTGTCATCATTGTTATTTTGGTGACGATGGCTATTATTACCTTGCGGATGGCGATGATGATCGATATTATTGCTATTAACCATGCTATGATCCTGATTATGATCGGTATTGTTTGAATTTGTCTGGTCTACGGATGGTGGCAAAATTGTACTATTTAATAATAGCTCCTGTGGTATAGTTGAATTTATTGTCGTTCGATGAGTTATCGGTGGATGATTGTCTGAAACTGACGGATTATTTCTATCATTTATTGATAATGGCAACAATGATGATGGAGATATTGCTTTGGCTATAGTTTTATTCCATTTATCCGATACTACAATGTATTAGGAAAAGAATAAAAATTATTAATTTAATATCATTATGCATACATAAGCCTAATCCTGTTGGAGAATAGAAAGTAACATGTTCAATGATTTCAGCTAGCAATTTTTTTGTAATTTATTTTTTTTTATAATTTTATTTGCTTAGTGTTACTTAAAACGAAGGATTTTGAAGCGTGAAGTAATTACAGCACAACTTCACAAGAGCAGAAAAAGGAATTGATAAAAATTTTTTTTATAAAATGGAAAGGTATAAATATTATTTTGAAAAAAAATTACCGATCAGATTACCTGATATATCACAGTTGTATCGCGTATAAATGCAAGTGGGTTGGTGGATTCATATTATTTTTTATTCTATTAGTGCGTGTCTAGAATAATCGATAATTAGTTACAGACATGGGGGATTGCTATAGCAATATGTCCGTAAATTAAGCGTGGGCATGAGTGGATACAGGTAGACTGACAATTAGGAGATTTTGTATTGTATGTCCATAGGTAAGAAGACATCTAAAAAGCAACTGATCAACTAATAATTATGGTCAACAATAGCAGTAGATTGAATTCTACTTTCTTCATCTGAAATTGTCCAATAGATTGGTTTTCATTATATTCAAAAAATTGTTAAATAGGAGCCATCTGCCGATTCTTCTTGTAACCTACGACTTGTAAAATGACTAATATTGTATAATAATGACAATTTTGTGTCATCTTACCAAAACGACAACAATTACAATTTTAGGCAAGGTAGATTACGCTCATTCATTACTATTGGGCCCGTGAATGGACCATATCTTCGTATTCGGACAAAAAATGATCAAAATCATGAGGAAGAGATGTTATTTATTGTTGCTTCCTACTTGATTCTATGACCATCGTGTCAATCAGTTTGCTACACCTTCAAGACGCCCCATGTGATACAAATCAAAAAAATTTATATGCTCTACTCCTTACGTACTAGTGGATAATGACGGCAATATCTTTCACTATTTATTCTTAGCTTCCTGCTTATATCCTTTGCATGACAGTATTCTACTTTTCCAACTTAGACAATTGAACCGAATTCAATCTTTTTTGTATAACAATTATTGACCTTGCATAATGATTCTCTATCGATTACTGTTTGCTATCATCATCATATTTAGACAATCTAACTTACCGCAAACGAGATAATATGAAGAAATCGATCAGCTATAGAAATTCATACAAGTTAAAATTGGTCTAATTAATGCTAGCTTATCATTTATTGCTAGCAACCAAACTATTGGCCCATTGAATTTTAATTAATTATTATGGAAGAAGAGGGGAAAGAAAAAAAATCAATGAATTGACACAATAATGAATCATTCTAGTAGGAGTGGGATAGCAGAAAATTTTTTTAGTTTCAAATGCACTATCCGTTATGATATTGAGACGACAACATCTACGGTTGATCTCAAGATAGTATATCATGATATTCAGAAGGATTTGATACCATGTCAATATCATTATAGAAACGATTACAAGTTGACTATTCAAACATAGGATGATGGAATTTAACTCAATACTATTATAAATTTATTAAAACGACCAGGGGTGAAGTGATGCCCATCTAATAAAAGTTAAAAATCGTATTTTACAGTCGCTCGATAAATAAAAATTTAACCTATTTTACGGTGTATCTAGTTAACTGATTCAATTTAACGAAAGAAAAGTTAAAACTGTATCGATGATGCTATGGATTATTAGTCGAATTGGACTTACTTGGTAGTGCTATTATACCCTGTTGCTTTAATATCATCATCCAATAGGAACTTTGCCAAATAAGTAATGTTAACAAGGCGAAAATGCTATTTCTCATGGCTAGAATTCTTTCTTAAATATGCATATATGACCTACACGTATATATATACTATGCTTACACACGAGTATATATACGTAATATACTTGTATGGTTTTCTTCTTTTTTTGCCTTCGAATAGCAGTCACCAGTAATGCCAATAGTTAAAAATTTTGAAGTAAAATAATTATATTGAATATAATGCACCCCTTTGTAAATCTTGTATTAAAATGATGATAGTAATAGTAGGATAGGCAATGATTCAAACCAAATGATCACGATGTCTTCCTAATTGATGATATAAATGTCATCTAATTTTTCACCTACAATATTAAGAATCAAGCATATCAAAATTTTAAATCGTTCTCATGTGAAGCTAGATCGGGTATTAAATATTTAATAAAATGTGACTTTGGTGCAACTCAAAAGAATTTACTTATCTAATAGACGAGAGTATAAAGAATGTAAATGACTACTATTGAAGAAGAATACTAAGCAAGAACATTATACGAGATTTAACTATGCTGTATCGAAAGTAATATCTTGCTATCTTTATACATGGTTGTAAATCTCTCTCTCAATATATTGATATCTATATATAGCTACTTCGCTTTATAGGTATATGTCTTAATTATACATTGCAAAAAGAAGTTATATATTGTTTGTACAAGATAAAACGAAAAATAAGGATAAATTTAAAAAATTTTATCGAATGTCTATGTAGTCTAACCTAGACCCCAAAATGCGAAATCTTATCCTGGATTTGTTATATTGATAATAATGTCAAAATGCAGAATTGCAGTTACTTTATACGGATTTGGTAATCTATTTGTAGCGTGGGTAGAATAGGTGGGTTATTTTATTAACTTAGACTCAGCAGCATCGAATATTTGTAATAACCTTCATAATTAGTGTTGATATGAGTCCTCTTTGATGTCAGAATGACAGAAATAATATAATACATGGCTGTATGTGGGCTTCTGACTCGTAATTATCTAGCGGAGTCAGCCTACGTACTCCATATTAAGTTATAATAGCCGCGACTACATCAGGTGACAAACAACCGCAGTTATATTCGCTTCCAATACCGTAACTTGCTAGATTGTAGATGGATCAATACCTATTCATCCTTTCGTAAGCTTGCCGAATTAAGTTAACATGCTATCTACGTTAATTACAGTAGCATACGCCTAATACATTGCTTTTTGATGAACAACTTTCAGTATCTAAATTTTCATTTTTACCTTATTTTTCGCCTTTTGTTTGCTAGCATAACCATCGAAATGAAACACAGAAATGTATTGATTAATTGAATTAGGCAATATTTCTATGGGTGAAGTAGTACAAAGGCAAGATTAATCTGGTTTAAACATAGACATGCGCCAATACTATTCCTTTCCTCATTATTATTCATTCCCTTGTTATGGGTTTGTTATTTATTCATATCGGCAAATTACAGCTAACAAATTCTACGTGAATTAGAATTGACTAAAAGTTCCTATTTTATTTTGTTGCTTGCCTAGCGTTACATACTATCATAAAATTATTTATGTATGTTATATAAATCTATCTTTATATAATATACATAGAGATATGTATCATACCTATAATATACGTACGGATGTATAAATAAACGGCAAATGTCGGCTCGGTTTCCTTCTTGTAAACCATGGATCAAGGAACCGTAGGACAAAGATCACAGTAATACAAGCTAAATTATCGAGCTATGGACAAGGAAATCGATACAGTCCTTTACAAAAGTTCATCATTTTTCCTTTCTCTTTTTTAAATCGTAATATAGCTGTAACTATTAGAATTTTTCTTCTTATTATAGAAGTAGTATTCATATTTAATTTTATTGTTTAGTATGATAAATAATATATTTATTATTCATCAGAGTGTTATTATCACCATTGTAGAAGTGTCAAGACAGTGAGGATTGTTTGCGTAATATGAGGTAACGGTAACGTAAAGGTTAATACAAGACAATTTTACAGTTGCAGATATAAGAATGAGTTCAACAATCCATATAGCTCTATTTAATCAATAGGATTAAATATGCGATTTGAATATATCGACCATTATATTATTTTCATTAATGTAATACACCATTTAAGCAATTAATTATAGTATAAACTAAGTATAATCAACTTTTTAATGTTCGCCATACTGCCTTTTATTGTTCTTCATCATTAAGCTCTTCTTTTTATTATCAAGTACCGCTGAAATGATATTAGTACAGGAAAAATATTGGTTACATCATTGTAAGTTATTGCAATATCAATTAATATGGATGAAATAGACTAACAATCTATAATTAATGCCCATGGAAGCATCAACAAGACCGTTATAAATATAATTTTCGTTGATTTAATAAATAGGTAGCAAATAAGTCATACCTTAACGAAATCAGAAGGTGAAGAATCAAGATACTTAGGCCAGTTAACAAATATCAATATAATTCATGCCATTCATCTTTCATTTACGAGATACTCTACGATTACACATCACAGTTAAATATCAATTCATTCATTTTAATATAATTACCTCTCTATATAAATTGGTTATACTTGATTGAATAACTTTAATCCCTGTATATTAATCTTTCGAATTAATGCCAATGATATCAAGACTGTTTATGCTGGTGTATAATAGTATGCAATCATAGAACTAGAGTTGAGTATCGCTGTTGTGTAAGTGGACAACTTCTGCAGTACTGTGTTTGTTCGCCTACAAAATCGTTCATAAAAATCTAGAAGTGCTTTCAAAATTGAAAATTTTTTAGCCGATCTGCTTTTCATTTTAAAGAGACTTTGAAGTATGCACACCAGTTTAGAGTTATAAGCCATTTGATAGTATGAATGGACATCATGTAGTCAACAGTTATCAATACACTTAACAAAAAGAAAATGATTGTACATTATTAATAAAAACTTGAATTGAATATTTTGACATTTATTTTTATTCCAATGAAAATAAAAATTCCACTTATGAAAATCTTAGCAGTTATTATTCTTAATCACAAATAATATAATAAACATCATGGCTAATCATGTGTAATTCACATGATAATTTAAGAGGTAAAATATAAATTATACAAAATATTTATCATCAGTAAGTCCTACCTGCATTACTCAGGTAGAACATTATACGAATAACAACTAAAAATGCAAATAGATAAAACTTCCTATTTACTCCTTTTCAAAAATAATTTCGGCTCCCAATTGTTTTACTTTTATTTATTCGAAAAATGATAGCAATATAAAATTTTTTAACAATTCTTAATAAATTTATTGTACAGTATCAATAGTATCTCAATTTAATAGAATAAATATGATTATGATACGTGTTTACAATCGCGTATTCTTCTCTCGCACCTGCGCCGCTCATAATGGATTATTGAAATCTATTTTCTAATAATACGACTATGATCTAATTGAAAGTCTAGCATCCATATGTAAAGTCATCATTATTTCATTCGATCAAGGGCCAATATTAATTCCTTGCTCTTCAATTAAACGGAAGGATATGGCAGTTAATGTTAACTAAGCACGAAAATACAGATTTTATTTTTATAGTTATTCATATGCATATTTTAAGTTCTCTTTTTCTTTAAGTTATTAAGATGTATTAAAGTTGCAATAATTACTTATTTAGTTGGGCATCCTTCTTAACTTTTGAATAGATATGAAGACAATTAGAATTCGTTGCTAATGCAAAAAGGTGAAGCTCGGGATGTAATTGAATACTAGTAATATATTGACCTAGAGAATGAGTTATGTTATGTGTTACTAAAATTTTTTTGAAACTTATTAAGCTATTATCCCTGTAAATCATAATAATATACAGTACCCTGATACGGTATTTCTGCTAAGCAAGCAGATGTATAGAGGTTCCATAAGTAAATCGTGTTATTTCTAGTGACTGTTGCGATGTGTGTTTGTGATACGCAACATAACGCTACATCAGTTCTAAGAACAAGGATATAAAAACAGAAAATAATATAGTTACGATAGATAAGATAAAAATGATTTATTGATGAAAATGCTGGAACTTTTTTAACAACCTTTGGGTACTTTCGCACTCTTGGAATCCATAGCTTTGTAGCTTCACTATACGATTACTTTTATGATTGAGAGCAAGTAGACAATAATTATGCATCAATGCATCGCTGTCTTTATTCTTTCAAAGAAGAATTATTTGCAGGTACCAGGTACATATGTAAAAATGAGACGAACGAAAATAAAAAAAATCGATCGCTATCAATAATAAATAAATATCTAAGGCAAGAAATAAACAATATCCGAGACTTTAGCAGTTATTATTTATGCTATATTACCTTATCGAAACTGGAACCAATCACTGCGAACAGCCAGTCCTATAATAGTATTAATATAAATGAAAATGTAAGAAATCTCGTACAATATTTCCTAAACTGTTGTTCACATTTTACTTATGCAAACAAAGCATGCATGAATCTGTTTTTAAGCTACTAATTAACCTTTTCGATTACAACTCGAAAACATTTTGCAGCCTCTTTTTCAATAAACGACCCGTCTAGCGCTATTCTCTTTGTGATTTGATAGTTACTCCAATTCCTATTTTTGCAAAAATTATTATAAAGTACTCCTTATAAGAAAAATCCGATATTTTCTACAAAGTAGTTTATTACCATAGGACAATCGTCTTTTCAAATAATCCTAATAACATCAGTTCAGATCCATGCGCTACAACAATAGACGATAACTTTTCTAATATATTGGGTTTTTCGAAATCATTACAAGATATTAAATTCCTGTGTAGAATATAGACAATATAAATTAATTATCTATCAATTTACCGTTAAAAGGAATAAATTTTATATTAGTAATAATATGAAGGTGCTATAACATCAAACTTACTGGCATTTGTCATCAAGACAGTATTTTCTAAAGTAATAATTTTTATCGTTTCCATTCAATATTGCAGTAATAACGTTTTTGTGACCAGGTGGACAATTTACAGATCGATATTCACATTTACACGGGAACCTGGAATTATTTCAATGTATATTAAGAAATAAGATGAACCAGTGCAGTATAATCGCTTCGACTACATTCCTATTGGGATTTTTTCTCTTACTTTGAACAACCGCTACGAAGTTCTAAACTAAAGTCTTCTTTGTCTGTTATTCTATAAATTCTAAATATTCATATTCAAATAGTTATATCACCGTTACAAGATTACAAAAAAAATTTGCTATCAACGCGTGATAATTGTACAATATGCGTAATAGTCTTGACAGGCTGTACTATGTTTACTTACCTATTATGAGATGCCCGAAATTTACCAGTAACTGAAATACAGATTCCGGTGTCCGTTGAGAGAAAGTTAACATCGCTAAATTTTTCCATCTAAATATTTAAGGATAATCAAAATATAACGTTAATTTGTCCATCATTTTTATTGTTTTATATTAAATCCAATAGTTTGATATACGTTTTTATCGCATGTGAGACATTTTACGAAATTCCATTCAGAAAAATCGTCCTTTGATAATGTCCATATAGTGATTATTCGGTCGGAACAAGTAGCTATCTTAATAGAGTCATTACAATTGCCATTGTTACTTGAAAAAGCGATCGATTTGACTGGTTCTTTAACCTTAAGGTCGTTAGAAATTAAGATTTAGCATTAATATTAATAAATTCTAATTCATTATTTAGTTGGTAATAATATTGTTCGCCCATTTACCTGTAAACATGCTTGTAATTGAAATTCATACAACGTTGTACTACTTTTCTCTATGTCATCAACGTCTGCGCAGCTATTGATAGTCCAATTAAGTGATTTTATTTTGGTATCTACAGATTGTTGTCTTTTATTTCCAGTACTTAAGGCATGAGAGTTGTCGCTATTTATGCTAGCATTGTTATCGCATTTATATGATGGGGTTGCTTTTGCCTCCAACATCAATAAACTATCATCTTCAACAGTTTCCATACCATTTCCTTGTAGATTACTAACCAAATCGATATCATGACCTGTTAATTGACTATCATTTTCAATATGACCGTCATGATCTTCAATTTGGGTTAATGCTTGATTATCGTCATCATCGTTATCAAACATTTGTAGTGTAGGTAAGAACAAAGCGGTATCCTGACTGGCTATCATATCGTCGGGACATGTTACTGGATTATGTTTGGATATATTTCCGGTTTTATCATTATTCTCGCTAATACAGCAATCAGTTGAATTAGGAGATTGCTTGATAGATTGCTTATGCTTATTTATGTAATCCTATTGCGAAAATACGTAAAATAGAAATTATCAAAAATTACATTGTTAAAATATTGCATGTTTGAAAATTGTGCTTTCCTAAGAAAATAAAATTTTATTAATTGAAGTAAGCACAATAATCTTTATTTTACTTATCTATTACGTAATTCATAGCAATTATATAGACTAGATACACGTGTACTTAACTACGTATACAAATATATAGGTTACCTTGTAAAGTTAAACGATAATTAAATTACTAATTAAAATATACGTAAGTTAGAGACGGATTGACGTAATTAATTATACCTGATAATAACTGGTCAGCTTCTGTAATTGCTTTTCATGTTTAGCTATTCTTCTAGCGAGCTATGTACCATATGCATCAGAAATAATAGTTGATATCAATCTCTCATTAAATGAGGTACATATTACTGTATTGCCTTTCAAACAAACGTACTTTTATTCTATTCTATAGTACTGTATATTATAATGAATCAATCATACTGTCTGGTAGATAGTAAAACTGGCTATTATCTCATCTTAGCATATGATATTTCTTCTATTTTTCCATTAATATTACATATTATGCAACTTATTGATCAATAACTAAATTACCCGTTTCGATAGAGTTACAACATATTTTTAGACGTTGTGTTGTAGTCTCATTTTTTTATCTATTACTAAATTACCGGTTTCGATAGAGTTACAACATATTTTTAGACGTTGTGTTGTAGTCTTATTTTTTTATCTATTGAATAATATCGAAATGGTTTAACTTAAGCTAATTGTGCATCAGTGAAAATGGGAATACTTCAGTGTTTTAATCCATGAACGTATGCAGTAGGCAGAATTATTTATATTTTATTTTATTTTATATTGCGTCAGTAAGTATTCGCTGATGACGCACTACGCTATACCTGAATGCTAAGTGAACGACAAGCTATCTTAATAAAGAAAATAAGGATAATGGAATTGATTAGACTTTAATCTACGATAGTAATCATGATGTAGCGCTACCGTGAAGGGGATATCATCAACGTAACAGGACTTGTAATGATATAAATACTGTAATTATGTTCCGGCAGTAGTCATAGCGTTCTACAGTAGAGCACAAGTTAGCAAAGTCCAATCGACTAAGAAATAGATTTGTTCGCTCAACCAGTATTGGGTTATGCGTTTTTATTACCGGATTGTCTTGTCAATTTATCATGTTTTATAGTATATGTGCATATATTTGAGAACTTCTGTTGCTTATGAGTGCTTGAAAAATTTGCCAGGCATGACCGATCATCAATTAATCATTTATATTAGTCAATAACATAACGTAATCGTCAGTATTCAAATCGTATTAACAAAGAATAAAATATTTATCGATGCATAATGATCGCAGCGATATTATGCTGTCTACTGTACGTGCGTCACTGTACTTCTCTATTGCTAATCTGGTTGACCCGTAGACGATCCAATATAATAAAGAGTAGACAAGGTCAACATTTTTAGCTACTGTATATTAGTATAAAATAGATTGTGCTGATTGTGGGTAAAAATTTGAAGATTGCAGTTCGTAGTATCATAATAATATGATTAATATTATGCTACAGCAATGAAAATTTATGACAGTCATTGGATCGATTGAGCGGCTATAGAAATTTCTATTCATACTGTGTCAAGTCAGTCAAGTTAGGGTTATCAAGAAGAGTAAATGTGTGTCTACTTGGTTGCATAGAATAAAGATTGAATATGTCTTGTACTGTATAACCTTTGCAGGCACCATTTAGTTCTTTACAATGAGAATTGCGCAATTCTGAATGATATTTATAACTTGATCCGGGTAATAGAAGTCAAACTACTACAGAAATTCGGTCATTTATGAATAATTAGGCTGTCACAGCGAAACAGTAATGGAGTCAATAAACAATTTTGCAATGATAGCGCTGATATCAGCAAATAGTATGCAACTAATGGATAAAGAGAGGCTACAAGATTACAACATCTGCTTGAGCCAGAATTACCACAACATTGTGGGATGTAGAACGATTAATTTATCAGATCTACTGTACTGTTGTCTACCTTTTCTTGAAATCCTTTTCCCTTGTTCATATTGAAATCGATATTCACTGTCAGATAAAAATGGCAGAGAAAATTGACAATCGCCTCGATTTTCAGATCTTAGACCCAGTGATTTTTCCACTTTTAAATTACAACTCGATTGACACAAGCATGACGCCAATGAAAGGGCATCTTTCAGCTCTCTTGAACTAACTTTACTGTATTAAGCCATGCAATAGTCGGCCTTGTCGAACTTGGCTATCTTCATCTTCAAACTTTTCCACTTAATCAATCAACAACGACCTTTTACATCAAAGTAATTCAGGATTCAATGGCTTCCAAGCGTAATAGAAAGAGGAGAAAATACTTGAAGGTCTATGTTAATATTTTGAAGCAGCTCGTTTACCTCAATTGAATTTTGTTCGTCACTGAAACGTCAGGCGTTGCAACGACACGTTGTGCAGGTCGTGTTTGAGCACTATACTGAAGCGACACAAGATTGCCGCCGGCCAGCTCTAAATATCTTCTAACCAAACTACTGTTCGCTATCTTTATCTTTAAACTTTTCCACTTAATCAATCAACAACGACCTTTTACATCAAAGTAATGCAGGATTCAATGGCTTCCAAGCGTAATAGAAAGAGGAGAAAATACTTGAAGGTCTATGTTAATATTTTGAAAGCAGCTCGTTTACCTCAATTGAATTTTGTTCGTCACTGAAACGTCAGGCGTTGCAACGACACGTTGTGCAGGTCGTGTTTGAGCACTGTACTGAAGCGACACAAGATTGCCGCCGGCCAGCTCTAAATATCTTCTAACCAAACTACTGTTCGCTATCTTTATCTTTAAACTTTTCCACTTAATCAATCAACAACGACCTTTTACATCAAAGTAATTGCAGGATTCAATGGCTTCCAAGCGTAATAGAAAGAGGAGAAAATACTTGAAGGTCTATGTTAATAATATTTTGAAGCAGCTCGTTTACCTCAATTGAATTTTGTTCGTCAGTGAAACGTCAGGCGTTGCAACGACACGTTGTGCAGGTCGTGTTTGAGCACTGTACTGAAGCGACACACGATTGCCGGCCAGCTCTAAATATCTTCTTACTAAACTACTGTTCGAGTGTACGTGTTTAAGCAGTTTCCACAACTTCAAAGATATCTCGCCGCCTTGGAAGTGAGTTACCGCGCTTACGGTACATTTAAAAAACTGGACTGTACCGTATCGTCCGAGGTCCGTCAGTCATGGGTCTGTGTTTCCAAATCTGTCATACGGTACAGAAGAGTATCGCCAATGTTGAAAATTTTCAAAATTCGCAAAAAGTCCCTGACTAAATCCTCCTTGACCACATCCAAAAATGACACTAATTCACCTAATGCTGCTCAGCCTATATTGATATACATCATGAATGGATTAATTAATTCTATTTGTGTATGAATTGAGACGGAGATTATTTGGAGTGAAACAGGAGGCTTTAGTACAAATAGTCCCTGGTCGGACGTTTTAAGGAGATCTTGCTTCTGCGTCGCTTGAATTCGACTATTATGTATTCTGATCGGGGACTTTCATATTAATTCCTGTAACAAATACACCACATAACATAGGTATTGCAATTTTGATAGTGACTGCAAATAAAATAAAACCTATCTATCGTGACTACCTGTGTAGAAAATACGGTACAATACCAATGCAGAAGCAAAGCATGTCAGAGAAAAATGATCGTCACTGACTCTCTGCTCTAGTCATGGACTCCATCGTAATAGTCGAGTACATGCAACAGGATTAACAGAAATACCACATTTTGCAGCCCCTATCCTCAATCTTGTTTGGTAGCACTAAATAAAATTCTTAGCATCGTATACTCTTCCCTCAAACCTATTCACTCAATATTTTCATTCCTATATCAGCCTTAATATTTTCTCATCCAAAATCACATTCAGCGAAAACTTGAAAGAAGAATCTTGCATTTTCCCTTAACACCATAGCAAGTTTTCATAGCTTTCAAGTAATACTACAAGACATATATCTTCATATACCAGTAGTAATACTCTTAAAAGTAACAATATAAAAGTAGTGTGATTTACTATACCAGTACAATGCCCATTGAGCGAAAAAATACGTATTGATGTCTGCATAATCATCATGAAAGCTCAAAAAAGTCTAGAAGCTACTGTAATAAAAGTAATTATCGGATAAAAAATAAAAAACCTATAAATTGCACAAGTGCCACAAGTTTATGGATGTATTCAAGGGTATCCAAGCTTAATCCGTTACTGTGTTAAAATAAATTTGTGCGTGTACGTGTGTTTGATGTACACTGTCTACTCTGTCAAACTAGCACAGTATAGTTTTCATACTTTGAATCTAGCATTGATCAGTAACAAAATAAAATTAATCTATTTTAATCAAAGGGGCTAACCGTTCCTAGAACGGTCTTGGGGCTAGTATACTGTAGTATTACAGTATTATAATAAAGATTAAGAAATCAATACCTAATAATGTCATTTGTGATAACCTGCGAAAATTTTATACGATACATCCCGAGCCCGTATGTCGATAATGATGACGATAAACGTAATTTTCAAGATTATATTGATTACTCTGGGATACCTCAATGGTTGCAGGTTAGGAGCAATTAAAAAATAACCCAGAAATATCAAGACAATATCCAAATGTATATATAGTATACGTAGAAAACCAGTCGTTTATATCCTTCCGTCATGGACAAAACATGCGTGTATGAGACGTGCTACATTACTATACTGTATATAAATATGAATTATATGAAACGTGATCATTAAAGTTAGAAATTACGCTTGAACTTAATTCATAATCTACGTGCAATTTTTAAGGTGATTTATTTACATGTCCTCATCCGGGACTTACGCAGTCGGTAATGACTTTAACCTACTGTATGTTTAGGTATCAGTGTAAATAAAGCAGAGGCTGTGCCTAAAATATACTGCGTAAGCCGTTCCTTATTGGATAATGTTGCAATATTGTATAAAATTGATAATGTTTATTTATTCTTCCTTTAATATAACATTAAGTTTACGAGTAAATATAAATCGTTCGATACATATTAAGATTTCTCCCCTAGCATAGGAACGTAATATTACATATAGAATTAAGCATTACAATAGCGTGTTACCTATCGCTATGATTTTTTATTGTTAGCTTAATGCAATAGTTAACGCTGGAATAATTCCACTGCTTTCACGACAGTATTTTACATAGTCTATTGCAGACTTTCGTAGAGATATCAAATGGATCCTATCGATGAGGTAAGGTATAAGAGATTGGTTAGCATTGATTTTCGTCTTTTAATGTATCTATTTTGCTTTCCAATTTTACTGTATACTGTATAGTGGCTTAAGATCCGTGGCCAAACTATCATAAACAGATACTTATTCTTGCTAAATCTTCAATTTACATTTCGCATTCGTATAATATCGTTGCAGCTAATTGCGTTCGTCTTGCATATGCTATCTGTTATTTTTATGTTAAAACAGCATGTTCAATGTAAAGTGAAGAGAGCAAAATAATTGCGTTAAATGAAAAACTTTGTTATAATTGGAATGCTAGTAGTTAATAACTAATTGTAACCTGCGATTGATGCAGATAGTTAATTTAATTAGATCGTTCGATCAAATTTTTAATGCAACTTAGTGTTGTATCGTACAGTAGTGTCCATTTCTATTTAATAGTGAGTTACCATAAAGTTATTAATAATTCGAACTTGCACGCGTAATCGATTGTAGATATTCATTGGATAGACTAATTATACAATATCGTATCGATATTTTTACCCTTGCTAACAATAATTAGTAAGGGAGATCAAGATACTTCTTTCTGTTGATCAAAAATGTTGCACCTATTAATCTATTATTCACCTGCATAGAAATAAGATTCCAAATGCAAGCGATCATTTATTAACCAAGATTATCAGTTTATTTGATCCTCCATAAACTTTCATATACTTTACTGTAGGTATGTAATTACGCCCACTAGCTCGTTATATTAGCATGACTAGTGAACAGTATCAATTACAATAAGAGATTAAAAGTCGTAAGGAGTTGAAAAATTTTTCAAAGCACAATCGAGACTATAACATTTACCGTACTCCAAATCTATTGCTAAAACAAGCGTAAAATATCAATAATAATCATTACGATTCAATATGCGATATCGACAATTACATTTTGGAAAATTAAATCTATCTTCTTTTTGCTGTCAGACGCAATAGGACTTTTGTAGACAAGGGTAGTTACTAATTTTTATATTTTTCGATGTTTAAAATCTTATGGGCTTCGAATAACCATGGTAAACCAAGTCTGTGCTATCACCTGTAGAAGCTAAGCTAACTACATGCGCCCTATGTAAGGAAAAACTGACAACTAGCGATGACAAATTGCCACGCTTAATGCTTTGTTGCCATGTATTCTGCAACGAGTGCATTGAGAAACATGTCCGCATTAAAGAATCATCAGTTATAACTTGTCCTCTAATGTGTAAAGCATCTATACTGGCAATACAGAATGTTAAAGATGTTAAAGTTCATAATTCTCTTTTAGAATTAATAAAAAATGATCATTTCCACAGCAAGTTCAGAAAGGTTAGATATATCTTTATACAGTTGTTTCTACTCATAAATAACAGTTTCTATATAGATAAATATCATATCTTACGCTCTTAGGTTATTTAAAAATTTAGGTGAGCCAATTATGCGCATTAAGGAATATGTTCTGTGATGTGAATACTATTGTGTTTTCCTTGCCTATTTGATATTTTAGTAACATAATTATTGTTACTATTAAAATATGGCAGACTGGTGTTGCAGATAAAGGTATGAATACGGCAGTCAAGCAATGTAAAGTGGAGCTATTTGATACGTTAGCCAAAGTAAAGAGAGTATGTAATCAAATAGATGATAAAATGGGGAAACACGCTTACTATGTGGCTAAAATGACTGCTAATGCTTCAGACACGCGACGACAATTAACAGCCCATTTCACGAAAGGTTATGCAAGTGTATCTACTGTAACACGTTTGATTTTAATTTTAATTGCTGGATGATTAATAGAGTATGCCTAAAGTATACGAGAGGTTTCAACTGTAACCTTTTTTATTCGCAGCGCGCAAAGCAATCGTTGATGCCTTAGAAAAACGTTTAGATGCACTTTTAGCTCAAGTTGAAGCCCAGGAACATCGACATATCAAACCATTCTTAAATCAACAGGAGAACTTAGCAACACAATTAGCTTCTGGAATCGTACTTATGGAAGAAGGTACGTGCAATATATGATATGTTTAATTACAGCATTAAGCTTATACCGCTACCATGCGTATATATATATACATATTGGCTGGTGCATCTATAGGATAGTTGATCGTAATCTTGGCATTTCGATTGCACGAAAAATTTGTCTTATTCTCAAATAAGTACATTAATAATGTAACTAGTCTAATAGTTAATAAAAAATAATAGATATATGATGTAAGAATATATTACGTCGAAGCTTTAGCGAGATACATGATAAATTCTTTAAATATTATTTATGCTTTGTTGCTGTATGCATATGTACAGTTTGTATATCACTACTTAACAGAAAATAATTTTAGAAAATAGGTTGAGACCGTTGCTTGTTATAGTAACATGGATATACTATTAACAAACTTCTAGGTAAGCTATTACTTAAAAGTAAAGATGCTGAAGTTCTTAACAATAAAGCCACCCTCAAACAGAAAAATTTAAAATTTTTAGAACAGAGGTTTGCAACCGTAATATAATATGTAGACTTGAATCTTTTAAAATTAAATCCTGCGTTATCAGTTACTATTATTACGTAAATGCAGTGTGAAATCTTGCGAGATTTAACCAAATTAACTGGGTCTTACTCTTTGCTCTTAGTGGTAATAGCTTGAATGAGCAAAGTGGTCAACTGCGTTCAATATTGGTCAATTTGAATGATAGATATCTAAATTCAATTTTAGATGCAATTCAGTCCCACTGTTTTGTATCAGAAATTCCAGTCATTGTTAAAATGGTAGAAAGGCCTGGAGCTTTTTATATTGAATGGTCTGAGGTGAGAGTATTTTCTATAGAACTAAGGCTTTAATAACTAGATGAATTTTTAGTAGATTGCTATATGATATTTTAGATAAGATATAGTATGCCTTTTAAACTTTTTCAATTGGCTAATCTAAACAATTTTATGGCAGTTTTATATATTTTTATGCTTCTATACTTAATATAGCACAACGATGATACCATAGATACCAATTCGCAATCTGACAAAGAATATCAGTTACAAATCTATGAAGGTGATATCTATGAAGAAACACCGGGTAAAGTTAAATACGAAACAGTATATTCGGGAAGGCCGAACTATTTCGTCGTTAGGGATTTACTTTCGACAACGACGTACAGTTTTCGCGTGCGTTCACGACCTTCCCCTTTTTCTGATTGGGGAATGTGGAGCGAGCCTAAAACAGGTCGTACAGCCATTCCGTCACACAGTAAGTTTGGTCTAAATATTCGATATTCTATATCAGTTATTTTATTACTGTAAAAATATTTACACGTATTGTTAGTTTTAGGAACGGCACTATTTTTATAAGAGATGATTAAGAACTTATAATACGTAGTTTAGTTCAGTTTAGTTCCTGGTTGGATATGATATCCTTCTATGTGCATGATCTGTTGACGCTAGACTTGACGCTTTTTAAGGGTTAAATTATCTGTTTACAATAGTGTATTAAATCTTAAATAGTAGAGTATACAGCTGGTTTATCCTGCAAGAATTATTAACTTTTGAGCATCGTTTTTCTGATACAATTTGTGAAAGAATGGGCGTTGGAAAATTTTCGTAGCGATCCCGATGCAAAGATGGAATATGAAATTAGCAGTGAAGGCCGAACAGCAACGCGAATTTCTAGCGAAGTTGCCACAATTTTACGCTCTAGTGGCACTTGTTATATTTTAGGTGAAACAATCACGCTAATTGTTAGTGGGACCGGTAAGTCAGAATCAAGTGATGCTATTGGACTTGCTAATAATCGAGTGGACTTCGTGCAACGGAACCTTAGACAGCCAGGTGCTATCTACATCAGCAGCTCTGGCTTAATTTACAAAGATGGGAACGCGTTAAAGAATAAATTGCCACCTTTACGACGTGGCAATGTTATTAGCATATGTGCACAAGAAATTATGCCAAAGAGACTAAGAGTTTCGTTTACAATCGGCGAGAGACAGATTACAATCGAGTGGTACTTGCCTGAGCCTGAAATAAAATTGTACTTTGCTATTTGTTTTCGTCATGTTGGTTGGTCTGTAACTGTTGATTAAGATGAAATCTTGTAATTAATAATTGCTATTCAATGGAAATTAAAGTTTTATTATATGCACGGCGTAAATTGATCTACAGCATTTACTAAAAGGTCATAAATATTTTATAAAATATTTTACTTTACTTTTTAACGATTGACAAATAGCAGGAACAAATAAAATTGATTCATAGTACAATATTATTAATTGATGAGGTAGGCGATTAATACTGCAGTAGTCTACTGAAGGGGCATTATAGTTTCAAATATAAGTGTATTACTAATTAGATTGAAAAAGAGTAATTTTAGGTATGATGCTTTGCCGAAAGTATAAAATAACTGAAAAGAGATTTTAAATCGAAATTTTATTTGCAATAGGGTAATAAATTCGTTTTGTAGATTATATTTAATTTGGATTGACGGTATTACACCGATCAGTTCTTAACAGTTTATCATAGGGTGAATAGCGGAAGTTGTACCGGTAGTCTGGATCGGTTTCGATAAATATTTCGAGATACACAAATATTAAAATTTAATTCAAATTCGTTAGCTTGGTAATTAAGTCTTTGACGCACTTCCGTACTGCGGTTTCAACTGATCAGACGCTACGTATTGTAACTTATTGTTTTCAATAATATAACAGTTGATGTTTGAACACATTTATATCGTATTATGAAGTTTCAAAATTACTACGAAAACGATACCACTGCCACCCTAAGCCGATTCTAATTGTCAGTGAGACAGTACTGTAAAACAAACACAACTTACTAGTCGATATAACGTTATTGATAGCATGCCCGCTACATAAAGCATAAAATACTATCAGTAGTTTTAAGTCAAAAACTAGCAGGAACTAGCTTTTAGTATAACACATTACCATACGCTAAACTGTAGCCTATAGTATACTCAATCTTGGACAAGCATTTTATCCAGAACAACCACGGCATCCACAATGCACACATTCGATAACACGATCCTAAAGCAAGGATAAGTGAATGATTAAAAGGGATTTCAAATCCTTTATTGATTGTTATATAACTGCATCTAAGAACTAACCTCCTCTAATTTAGATTTGGGCACACGACAGATACATGAAGTTCCAAAATTGGTATCCCTGGTTTGAATGCATCTTAGGCAACATAAATTCTCGTAACCGTTCTTTTTCCACTTTGCAATGAGGTTTTTATCTGCGATACTTTCTTTTAAACAATATTCATATAGTTCTGTAAGGAATGCAAGAATTACAGGTATTAATCAAGTTGTAATGCGGCAGTTGTTGAATGTCCTCGAATATATATCATAAGGACCAATAAAAGTGCGTATTGAAGGAAATGGAATTATAAACTCAGCTACGATTACTGCAGTATCAGTTATCGAGACCAGAACAAATTGAGTAAAATAGAAAGGAAGATATTTTCAAGATTACGCTTGAAGCATTAGTAAATCATAAGCCCGATTATGATTATTACTATAATTAGAAGCTACAATAGGGAAATTTTTTCAATCCTATAGTAGCCGTACACTACTATCGCTACAGTTACGTCTATTACACACTGTCTTCGAGTAAAATCATGACCATACCTTTACTGATAGCCTTTCTCTTGTAGTACAGATCGTAAATATACCTAGATCGTTGATGATGGACCCTATTGCATGACATGAAGGGGTATATAGCATTAGTTTCATTATGATCAGTAATACTAAGTGGGAGAGTTAGATGTTATAAGGCAACAATTATGGTACAGTTGGAGTTTTCATAGGTAGTAAATGCTAAATATTTGTTTCAATGTTGTTCTCAGTACCTAAAGATGGGCCAAAGGCATTCTACCTTTCTCTTTCCTTCGTGAGGGTCAACTTCAGCTGTAAGAATTTTTAATCGTCATTAATAACAGGATTAGACATGAATTACATTATTCCTTTGAGTATATTGATGATGATACACAAACTCGTATAATAGTAGGTTATTTAAGATATTACACGTATTGCAGCTCATTAATTAATTAATACTGTTCAAAGTCCATAGCGAGATTAATAACGTTCATGAACACTTATTGATCTGTTTTCGCACTGCTTTACGCAGATGGCATAATTAGACGTTGTATGAAGGTTTCCACAATGCTATGGCAAATAATATTGCTTTCAGCTAAGTTTTGTTGCTATTATCATCATTATTCCAATTGTATCAGCTACATTACAAACTGATAATATCTTGTTACTAGATTTGAGTAAAATACTGTATTTGGATGTTGAATCTGTTAAGAGCTTGCTATTGCGTAGCAAGCTAATTTACAGGTATCAAGGTTGTTCATGTTGTACAAGACAGGACATGACTGTATTTTGTAACCGTCATTTTATACCACGGTTAAAGTCAATTCATAATACTGTCAATACATATAAAAGGCTTCATCAATCTCGTTACCTTCGCGCATTTTAGCATCTAATTCCTCTAGTGTTGGTTCGATCAATTCGTAACCTTCTGGAGGAGGCTTTTTGCTACGTTTTATCTTCCCCATGTCGGCAATAAAGTTTGCAAGAAGAAGTTGAACTGAATGATGACGAAGTGATCTTTTACCGCAAGCGATTTTCAGTTAGTAATGTGGCTATGCGTCAGTTAGTATGGGTATCAACGGTATCATGCAGTACTTTGCTACCAGTACAGTACAGTACTAATAAAATACTGCAAAAAGAGGCGAGACATCTCAAAATACAACGCATCACGCATGACTGTTTCTTGTTTTTATGGACTACTGGTCATTTTGAGTAGGCCTGTATAGATCATAAAGGTATTGAACCGAACCGAACCGTACCGTACCTTTCTCAGGTCTAGAAGGCCTTGCTTGTACACTGTACAATGTACAGTACCTACAGTACTGTACAGTACAGTGTGGACGGGCTAATTTCTATGATTTTGGTGCAAACAGATGGATTAAATTTTTTTTTTTTTTTTGACAAATTTTATATCAGTCTATAGAAAAAGAGTTAATTTACACGAATCTGTCATCAAAATTTACGTACGACGTTTACTTTCATCGTAATTATTAATTAAAGTACGCGAGACGCTACAGTACAAAGTAAAAATGAAGGTTTTGTAACCCTGTACAATATTATACTGTACTGTACTGTACAGTACAATCAATTTCATTTACAGTACAGTGTACCGTACTCAAGAATGGACAGTTGGACTGTTGGACTGTTTCAGTTGGAGACGTTTCAGCAAGGAATCCGGACTTTTATTGGTAGTTTATAGTTTGTACCACTGCGTATTGCGTAATGAGTGAGTGATTCAACGGATTGAGTATGAGTGATACATCCAAAGCCGGAAACTATGAGTCCATGACATCAGTTTTCAACAGCCCTAATGCGGATAATGCGTATGGTACTATATACTGTCTGCGATTGACATCCAAATTAGCTGGTATTAGCCTGCTAAGTTGCAGTATGGTACCGCATACTGTACTCTACGCTTTCATAGGTAAAAATGGTACGTACCAGTATCAGTACTAAACAGTCTCATTGTTAGTCAGTTATGGACAACTAGTCCATCAAGCCCATGCCCCTACAGTGTACAGTATGGAGTGTGCTGTGCATAGCGTACTGTACACTGTAAGTACCTACAGTACTGTACAGTACAGTATGAGTGTACCGTACAGTGTACCTACTGTACAGTACTGCAAAAACGCGATTATCCATTGTGTGGTAGAGGGGGGTCAGAGCAATTGCTTCCACGTGTAGAAATCGAGGCTTTTAGTTCACTGTGACCAGCGTATCAAGTTCTTTTGCATTCGCCATCTTGATAGAAATTCCGGTCCTAAGGACTCAGTGGCGATCATGGTTAAGCGTGTATATTCCAAAACTTACACCACTCCTAGGCGTCCATTTGAAAAATCAAGGTTAGATCAGGAGTTAAAATTAATCGGAGAATACGGATTACGTAACAAGCGAGAAGTATGGCGTGTTAAATATACACTTGCAAAAATTCGTAAAGCTGCCCGTACCTTGCTTACCCTGGACGATAAAGATTCCAAACGATTGTTCGAGGGTAATGCATTACTTCGTCGATTGGTAAGAATAGGTGTACTAGATGAAAGTAAAATGAAGCTCGATTACGTGTTGGGTCTTCGTATTGAAGATTTCTTGGAAAGACGCCTTCAAACACAAGTCTTTAAATTGGGATTAGCAAAAAGCATTCATCATGCTCGAGTTTTAATCCGTCAACGTCATATCAGGTACAGTCAAATTGGAGAAAAGGCGTGTAGCAAGCGCGTTGGCTTTTGCCGCGTAGAGTAGAGTAATCTATCAATTCTACAGCGCTATGACCTTTCACACTGTTCTACTTTTAACAATTTAACCCTCAAAGATGTACTAAAAATGTCGCGTTAAGAGAATAAGCCTCATTGAATATGTTGTATATTCTAAAGTATAAGTACAATCCCGTAATCGTAGTTAAAATGTCCTACCTGTCTGGGTAGAGGTTGTTGGAAAAATGAAAAGAACTCGATAGTGATGTCTTTAAAGTAGTGGAAAAGACTTAACGTAACTTTAAAGTATAGTTGACTACTGTAATTTATTTATATTAGAAGTAGTCTACGACTACTGTAGATTGTGGCCGAAGTAAATGGATATTCGACTGCAATTCTAGGCTTAGCTATTAATTGCTTACTGTTATTGATCATTTACGGTACTCGTATGACTAGGTGTTGTAAATTACGAAAGACATCGTGTATAGCAACTAAAAAAAGTTACATCGGGCTAAACTTACAAATTGATATCACACTAAAGCAAATAGGAGAATACTTTAGCGGTATTCAGTAACAATCATCACCCCATGACTAGTAGTGTTTGTAGCTATCAGAAGATACAGTATCATCTATACCAAGCTATATTACTGAGGTTGTTGATAGGATAAGCGTAGTAGTAGTCTGTGAAAGGTATTACATTGATGATTACGGCTATGATTGATCACTTTAGCAAATCTTTTTTGGAGTTTAAAATTCCTATACTAAATTTGCTCTTATCCTTCTGTATTAGGGTTCGCAAACAAGTTGTAAATGTTCCTTCTTTTGTTGTACGTTTGGATTCGCAAAAACATATTGATTTCTCGTTGAGTTCTCCCTTCGGAGGTGGTCGAGCTGGTCGTGTGAAGAGAAAGAATATGAAGAAGGGTAGCAAGACTGATGATGCTGAGGAAGATGAAGAAGAGGAAGATAACGAATAGGTGAGACTAAAATAGTGTGTAGTTGTCGATATTTAAGACTAAAGGCTATTATTGATGGTTTAATATCTGTACTTATAGAAGCTAGTATTATATCTTTTTTTGTATTTAGCTTACCATACGTACAAGTGAAAGTACAGCAGTACGCTAATCTACCGACTCTATACCACGGTTGTACTAATTTTGTGATTGCTTTGTTTTTCATATTTATATGACTCCCGTCGGCCAATGGTGCTTTGTAGATCTATTGAATTGCTGTAGCAATTTAAAGAAAATGTGAAATAAATCTTTTCTTGTAATTTTACGTATCATATACCTATTAGCGTGTTGATTAATGTGTAAAATTGGTGCATGCAATAATGTTAATCCCATATTGAGATAAAGATCATTTATATTTGGCTACTATTGTAATCATTATTGGAAGGGGTTGAATATTACTTGCATGATATCAGTTAGAAGCTAGAATTGAGGCTATCGATAGCTGCTCAGCCTGATGACATTTTCTAAACGTTGGCTCCTATTCGTGTTAAAAAGTTAACGCCTAACCCTCTTTTTATTGGGTAGGTTGGATACGTGCATTGGATAATGATAGCGCCTAGTGATTGTTGGAGTAAATACCTTTAGAAATAAATGGCATTTGTATAAACTCGTACAATACGAGTATATAGACCGTAATTGCACACCACTCGTTCTAATCTACAATAGTGTAATGGCTAAAAAAATAACTGACTCTGTTATGAAACAAAATTTCAAAATTGATAAGAGATCGTAGAGGACAGAAAGCATATTTTATGCAGTCCTGCATAAAAAGAAAAGTAATTTATGGACGGAGATCATAAAACCAATGAAAAAGAATTTATTTTGGTGATGTCATAAGCATGAAATGATGGGTACATGTCATACGATGCTAATACCTGTGAAGTTTTCTGGATTTAGAATATCATCCCGTATGGGTAAATGAGACGACACCGAATAGAAGTTTTGAAAAGAATTTGTACGACAAATGCAATATTTCGTAATAATTGCTTAAGAATTATTGCAGCCTTAGTAGATAATTTAGAGAAGTAGTAGTTTTAGTTACAGTATACTTTCGTAGAGATGAATGCCGGACAAAGTATAAGTTACAACAGAATAATGTGATTAGAGGTTCGAGTCATATCTGTCTGTACACTACAAATACTTTAATAAAGAAATAGTTACAGTTATTTCAGCTACAATCTTAGCATTACTTGATTTTGTAATCATGTAACATGATTACTGTTAATGATACAATAGCGGAAATAATCTAATTTTGATCTCTGTACTATCTATCGGTAAATGAATCTCAATGAGGAACTATCCTATTTTGAAAAAAAGGATTTAGAACATGTTTCAATCACTCCGACACCTTTACAAGCTTCAAACTTGATAATTTCAAATGAGTATACAGATCATTGACATAATACTTTAGGGCATTCATGAATGCACCATAGATATACAATAAGACTATTTTAAGTAAAAATGTTAGGAAGGGTACACGACTCCAAAGAGCTTCATTAATTGGATCCTAAGGTAATTATCACCTCAGCTTTCCTTGTTTGGGACACTGTTAATATAAATAAAAATAATAAAAGTATTTTATGATAATGTGAGAAAGAAAAAATCATGAGTAGACGTTAAATTAGGTAGTTCGCGTTACACGAGAAGATATTTACCCTATTTGCGAAGTGACCTCTATCTCCACACTAAAGATACAAAATCGCAATATTAGTACAGCCTAATCTAAAGTGAGATTTCATGCATTTATACAGATCTATACGTTACACACTATGGACAAAGTTGAAAATTTACAGTTTTCAATACCTTGAAACAGATAACTTGATCCATAGGGCGCTTTTGTTGTTGTTGATTTTGGTCGTGAGATATGCCAATGCTGTTACCATTATCATTGGTTAGGCTATTCTGTGTGACAATAAACCAAAGTTTAGGAACTAGAAGAGCAATACCAATAACATACGATATTATTTTAGATTTGATTGATATTTTACTCACTTCCTTTTGAATAGAGATAAGCTGATTAGGACAAGCGGAGGCTTTATGTCCATACTCTCCACAATTATGACAAACTACTACGCTAGGTTTACGTTTAGATTCAGAATGAATATCGATTTCTCTCGTAGGTAGTTCAAACCTTAAGCTGTACAACAATAAAAGGTCAGGATGATGATCAATTTGCAAAGCATATCAATTATGCTGAGGTATCTTATATTCAATTGCGTCAGCTTACAATAAAATCAATTTGCTACTTTAAATGGAGAATAAAAAACATGAAAGAACTCCAAAATTTAAACCAGTGGCCTTGTACTAGAGTAGAAAACTCATACTATTGTCATGGATTTTACTATCTTTTCATAAGATACTCTCGTAAATCTTGTAATTAAAACTCTTAATTTACGCGTATATACGAGTATACATGTATTACATTACTTACTGTACGTGTTTACAGTTTGATCCTTCAGGGCAGAAACCATTAAGGTAATTTAGGCAAGCAACTCTTCTTACGTGTCGATGTCTACATGCTGGGCCTATAATGAGTTTATCATAGAAAGTGCATAGAAAGTCGGTAAAGAATTGTATTGACAACGTAGTGTATATATAAGATTACAAAAGTGTGATAACTGCTATAACTTTAAGTGTATTGAAAATGCTTAACACACTCCCTTACCATGTTTGCAGAAACCCCTATCATACCACGGACAATCTTTAATTTTACTTTCTGGATTGATATGTAAGTACTGACACTCTTTATTGCTACATTCACCTAAATAAATCAATGTTGTGGGTCAGCTTACAATAGTATCGTTGCTAAGCATTATCGGATGTGCCAGATCTTACCAAATTTTGAATAAAAATAACATTCAGGCATTTTGGTCATATCGTACTCGTGCAAGAACTCGCACTGATCACCTTTCTTGCATAACCCTCGCAGCCAATGTTTGCATACGACAGTTTTATCGCCTTTAGTATGACGGAAAGGGCACATTGACCCTTTTACGCATTGACTTTCTGCGAAATAGGTGCATACAGCTGCCCCAGATTCTAAAACGTTACATTGACAAAGATGTTTCAGATTTTGAATGGGTGAAATATTAAGCTCTGCTATAGTTAACTTTCTATGCTAATGAATGTTTATCTGCAGTAGTAGTTACAATCTCGTATCATGCTAGTCAAAATATAGCCATGAATTAACAAGGTTGGCATCGATTAGGTAATAAAAGTGTCACTCGATACATCTGGTACAGTGGTTTATTTGAATATAATCTATATCCAGTATGATGCGGACAATTAATAATTTCATGTATGTATCTTGTTAAAGATATTTCTATCAAGAATTTTGACAAACTGGCTTTACTTAAAAGTACTACTGTAAACTATAACTGCTATACATCGTATTTAATGGAATGAACAATTAGCGATACATTTTTTACTTACTATCCATTCCTGGAAAGGGTAATTGCTGTGTTCCGATTTGGTCATCGAGCTCAAATTCGATAGTAAATTTGATATTATCAACATTGGCGATGATACTCTCCATTTTTCAAGTTTTTCTAAGTGTTGAATATGAAAATAAGATAATTGATTGGCCCTGTAAGCAGATATTGACAAGCCTCGGCTATTGCAGTACCACCTCTAGGCCATTTGGCTCTACTTTGGCATTCATTTCCATTACTAGCGGACTACTTTCTACACTACAGTTTATGTTTTGGCCGTACTACATCAATATTACTTCCAATGCACTGAATGATGAAGCAGTATTACAACATAGCCATCCTCCACCCCTATGACGGTACATTATGAAGTCATTATAACTATCATTTACTTACATGATCGGAAATGGTGATCCGGTCTAGCCTAGGTCTTGACAATTTGCAAAGTCTTTTTAGCTTTTTCCCTGTTGTCTGACAGCGACTTCACTCCAAATATGAATTACCGCTGATGCATTTCCTCACTTTACACTTAAACCATCCTGACGTCCTGACGTCCATGCTTTAAGCGTTGTTTTCTACGGTAACGTATCCAACGCACATTACCATGGGCGATCGTCCCATGTGTTATGTGTTACCGTGTTTGATATGCCACAGGCCACTAGCGGGTGTGGAAACAGTACCCACCCGGTTAACCCACGCCACTCAACCCCGGGGTTAGCAAGACTAATCGAATTCGGTGAGACTCAACCAACCCCGGTAATGGACTTGACTTGTACAGTACAGTACAGTACAGTACTGTACACTGTACACTGTACACTGTAGACCTGAGAAGATTCGGTTCGGTCGGAAACCGTTATGATCTACTGTATGAGTACAGTACCGTACAGTACAGTACTCTACAGTCTACAGTCTACAGTCATTTGCTAGTCGACAGTGCACAGTACTGTACTCTACGTATGGATGGTGCAGTCAAAATAGTGTTAATAGCAATACAATATCACGACTCTGTCAACGTGCAATAGTAAAGAGTATATAAATACGGTTGCGTACATCAGGCAGACAGAGAAGGCTTGAAGGTGATTTCCAATCCTGGCTAGGTAGTCAAGTCTCCGTTGACGCAGAGACAACCTTAAGTAGTAATTTAAAAATTCAATCCCAATTACTCTTAATCGACGACGACAACGTAACTTATCTTAGAAAGACTCTTGATTTTGTCCGACCTGTATTGCCAACATGCCAAAATGTAAGTTACGGCGTCTATTGTAGGTTATTATTGGTATTTTTATCGCGGTTTTGCAGTGATCAATGGATCGTATTGAGTAGAGTAGAGTAGTAGTATCCTGTCTGCTCTTAGCACCGGTATTTCAATGGTGGATGTGAATTGCATTCTAAATTTTGAAAGCAACAAAATGCCCACTGTAATAGACACATTTGCTTTCCACAGTTGACTTAAACGTCAGCATTGCTAAGCAAATTGGATGATAGGATGCTGTGGTTCAAAACAAGTCCAAAAGTATGAGCTAAAATAATATAATCATCCTATCCATGCTGCGAATGGCTTTGTCTTGAAATGGCACAACGCTTGCTTAGATTCTTAGACATTCAACAGATTTTATAGTAGGTCGATTTTGGAGATTCCTCCCCAAGTATTCCTATACAATCTTGTACTGTAGTACAGTATAGTCGAGAATTGCAGTCTTAATAAGTTGATAATCAATCTTTACTACTTTAACAACATGAACTGCTACATGTCCTAAGTAGTCTTATAATAGCGATCAGCCATAATGTTTTTACTATCTCTGCTGATACGCGTAATCTGTACACTATTAATCAACTAAATTAATAATGACTCTAATCAAATTGTAGCGTAACTAAGTAAAGTCTCCACCAGAAGTATATAGATCTTAATAAGTATACTCTTTAAAGTAAAAAGGATTTCCTTGATATAGCTTGTATTGAAAATGATGATAGCGTTAAAAACAACAGTCATACAAAGTATGAATGTATCTTGATCAAGAAAAATTACATTCTATATTCCTGAGCATTTCACTTAACCTATTAGGGTTTTAAATTCATTCACCTGAAGAAGAATCTCCTTGACACTTTGCATAATTAACTGTTTTCCTGATATTTTGCATGTTGCGTAAATGGATTAGCAGTATGTGTGATACGATGTGTGATAAATAAGAACAGTTATCACTAATATTAGTATCCACTACATTAGCTATCATATTTCAAGCAAATTTTAATGTTTATGCAAATAATGTGCTTTTTACTTACTAATATTATGATCGTTGTCTCTTCTTTTTATACTGCTCTATCTACTAGCGAAAGGAAAATCACATAAAGGTAAACGAAGGGTTTATGCTACCGAACCAGAAGAGCTGAAACCGCAACAAGTAAGTAACTTGATCTCATTTTTGTTCGAATCTTCCAGTAATTATAGTAAGCCAAAATGGACAATTATAAATATTTATACTAGCAAACCCATACATCCAGCTGTCAAGTATGTAATGCTCATCAAGTTCACTACAAAAAAATGACAACAACCTTATACTATACGCAAAATGTTTTATATTAACTTACTACTTTTTTAATTAAATTAGGTTAAACTATACTCCTTTATACAGTAGAATTTCCCACTATAAAATAAAAAAGTAATATTCGATGCCATTCAGATATTACTATTTATTGTATACAATTAGATTGCAATTTGTACCACTTTTCTATCTAGAATCACAGCTAAACTACTGCTAGCACACCCCTCTAATGATAAGCAATAACATTGTTAGAAATAGTGCGATCTTATTCTACTGTAGAGTAGGAAGATTACGTAATAAATGTTATACATTTGCTATTAGTTTCTTGTTGATATTGGTTGATAAATTCTTAAATTACTATCTAAGACAGAATTCACTGAGATCGACTATAATTGCATGAAATTGTTGAAAGAATTGATTAATTTATAATTTTACTTAATGTAGCGTGTCCCTTGAGCTGTAATGGTGATGTGTAACTAATAATCATCTGTAAACTCAGTCTGGGTTGTAGCTACCACTGTAACACCCATTTCTGTCGAATCATCCCATCGTATCATCTCTGCTTTATAAGCAATCTAATATTTACGGTCTGAGTACTGCTATTGTAATCCTAATCAGATAGGATAATGTGAACGAAACAGTAGAGGACTTTTACAAATGTAAAAATGGATGATTTTTATGTATTCATGATATGTATGTACTACTCGTACGTATATTGCAAAATTAGTATACAAGTTACACAGTAACAATATACTAAAATGTTGTATTGCTAAAGATAATTTTAATTATGTAACAATATATGAGCTTTAGTATTTTTCTAATTTTTACTTTTAAAAAGACATCCTTCAGCCTATGTATATGGTTATTATTAGCTGGTGTGTGTTACTTCCTAGTTAAAATTTTAAAACTAGGTTCTTTCATATTTCCATTGGTATACAGAATCGTGATTTACCACCAGGAAGTGATGAAGAAGAAGAAGATGAAGAAAGTGGTAATTCTAGCGGCGAAGAAGTAAGTGTTTGCAGAGTTCATTGCATTGTATGTTATCAGAACAATGTAAGTTCAAAATTGGCGCTCAAGGTGCAATTTCCTATTCTTATTCAGAATACAAAATTCTGACACACACTAGCATATAAAAATAGTGATATTTATAGTTTGAATGATTAACTAATTCATTGAAAAAATTTATTAAATCATTAACAAATTTGCTTCGGCTTTGTACACGAGTAGATTTAATGAAAAAGAAGGAATTTGACTGTTTATACATAAATATTACAATTGTTCTATCACCTAAATTATGTTGTTATGTTGTGATGTCACACACTCTAACACAGTAACTGTCTTCTCATACCTAGGGTTCCTCAAAGGCTAAAGGTGTAGAAGGCTTAATTGATATAGAAAATCCGAATAGAGCACAAGCTAAAGTGAAAAAAGTTAGTCAGTTAGATACAGATGCTGCCCCCAAGGTCGAATTATCGAGACGAGAAAGGTAACATGCTATCCTGTATTTACATTGGCGTAATTTTACATGAATTTGACCATTGCAAAGAGTGAATATGGTTTAAATTCATTTTCTCAGTCTTACAAAATACTAACTAGGCGCTATACATGTAAAATTCGTTTTTAGAGAAGAGATTAAACGCCAACAAGATCGCATAAAATATGAAAAATTACGAGCCGAAGGCAAAACAGAAGAAGCTCGTGCTGATTTAGCCCGCTTAGCTATAATTAGGAAGGAAAGAGAGGCAAAGGCTAAGGAGCGTGAAGCATCGAAAAAGGCAGCTGAAGAAAAGAAGTCAACTACTACGAAAGATTCTGGTAGGACTACAAGCAAAAAGTAGCCCTGTGAAGTAAAATTATTTGAGTCGATCATAATGCAGAAAAAGTAATGGTAATTTTTCTAAGTGTATGTTTACGCACTACAGTGTTACACAGAAATTAAATGATTGAGTGGTTGTAAAGATTTACATATCTGCAATTCTGTATGGAAAATTGGGTGAGAGTATGAACAATAAACTATAACAATAGTCTCATATGACTGATTTACCTTGCGCTATACTGAAAATAATATTATCAAATGACATTGTGTTGTAATAAATAACGTTTGTACTAGACACCTCAGAACATAGTAATTTATGAAAATTTGCACCAGACCCCTACAAAATGTTGGTCCGCACACATTTTTTTGTCGATATACGCATACTATATCCCAGCTAGATAGCCTACATCACTCGTATACAGTACTGTATGACTAGCCATCAAATACAGTAAAAGAAAACTTTTTAGGAATTAACAAGCAACATGCGACATTAATGAAAAATGAATTGAATCTTCGAAATTTCGAATCGAATATAGAATAGGTGGAAAACATACCGTATATTGTATTTTTCTTTAATTAGATTGGTTCAACTTACCGTAGTTATCGTCTTTGCAATAATTAATAGAGCTGGGCAATTTGTGAACAAAGAATCTACTAGTCTACAATCCACCGTACAGCATTGATATAGTGTGATCGAATGCCAAAGTACAGTATTCATACAAATACACAATTACGTAGCAGTCTTGAAGATGCATGTACCATAGATAAAACGGATATCGTAAAGCAAGCATTGTACAGCATAAATACGCATCAGAGGCTATAATAATGAAGTCTATAGCGAAAATGATATAAAACAGGTGACTCTATCAATAAAGTAAGACACAACGATATTTTTGGTTGATTAATCAAGAGATAATAATCATTTTTCAGAATCGATCTATGGCAGCGTCATACATTTTTCATTGTTACAGTAAATGTTATTCATTATATTGATTAACCAATTTACTGCTGAAGTAACACCTGGATAACTTAACCATTGATCTCAACAATTAGGTTAAAGGCCATTGACTTTATCAATTACAAATAAAGAGACTTTAAGTATCGACGATTTTAAAAGATATGTGCATGTAGCAAATCTTGCTCTATCTTCCTCTTTTGCCGTACGGGCAGATAGGCTTGTTAAGGCAATTATCGCATAATGGATTAATAGGCAGACATATAGTTTGACCAAACCCAACCATTAAGCAATTTATTTCTCTCCACTCATTTCTAAAAACAGGAAGATCATACTGGTAATCCCATTGAGTTATCAAGTAGTTTTATTTAAAGCCGATTCAGTATTGTACAGCATACTGATAAAGTACATTTATCTTTACTACAGTATATTACAATGTACTTAGTAAGCTTGGATCGAATCGAATAAAATTGATTCAATCCCAATTCCTTTAGGTTATGCTGACGTCAGCTACAAATCTATCATACCTCGGTAACCATTCTTCTAAAGCTATTCTTGTTTTCTCTGGGTCAGTAGTCGGTTTCTTTACCCACTTTAGGCGATTGGAGATACGATGGACATGTGTATCCACACCAATACCGACAACCGAATTCCATGCTGAAAGCATTATTAAATGAGCCATTTTAGGTCCGATCCCAGGCAGTGCCTTCAATTCATCCAGCGTCGGTGGGATATCCTTGTTGTACTTTTCGATTAACATTGCTGTAGTCCTTTTAATATATTGTACTTTTCTCTGATGAATAATAATACAATACATAAGAATGGATAAGCAATAAGGTACAACACTTAAAGACTGATAAAATTTCTGTTGCCGAGTATTAATTAGATAAGTTTAAATGCATCAGGTCCGGTACCTTAAGCTAACTACCTCAACAATTACTGATACTAAAATTATTGCATGTGAGTATTACTTGCCAAAATCCGACTGGGAAAATTAATTCTCCCAATTGTTTGTCCGAGGTAGCCATAACATTATCCATGGTTAAACCATGATTTTTGAGCCTATGCATGGCTGCTGCAGTGATTTGGTCTTTAGTTTGGCTGGATAGCATTAAGGAGATTAAGATCTGGTATCTTTGCACCTATACAGTACAGTGAATTCCAGAATATCCGATACAAGAAATTATTGAGAGATGTTGATCATACGCGTATACGTAAGTTTGCAATACACAATTCGGACATGCAGTCTGCTTTCAGTGTTTAATGATTGCAGGACAAGAGTGCGTCGTAAATATTACATACAGAATTTAAAATTTACTATTGAGTGATTTGCCATGCCATCAAAAGTAAGGTAGTTGTATACTGAAAATTAGCTATGCAAAAGTAAAATTTTTATACGCGAATTGCTCCAAAGTAAGCATCTGGTATCATTTAGGCAATACCATAGACTACTAGGTTTCTTTGCAGTACAGTAATCCATAGTTCATCATTTCAGGCTAGCTCAGTATCAGAAACTCCTCAAGTACAGCATGAAAAAATTAAAGATTGCATACGCGTAGACGAGTATATACTCGTACCTCTACAGATTCGGATCTATCCGATAATTCAGAGCAGCCCATCGTATCTACAGGAGCGTCCTTAGCTTTTCGCATTTCTCTTATATTTTGCAGTTGTAAATGCCAGTTTTTTGGCTCCCAAGAGGGCTTTTCACCCTTATCAACATGTTGCTTTTGTACCTTCTCGACACGTTTTTTTCTAGCAATAGGACTTGGACCTTTAACTTTTTTGATGGGATCATTTTCATACTGAATATCGAGGTGTTTTCTTCGACCTGCTCTTGCATTGTGCAGCTCAGGTCGAGCATGAAGAGATGCGCTTTCTGCCATATTCCAAATCAGTCGACTTAACCTTGGCAATGTGCAAAAGAAATTTGTCGGCACAAATAACATAAGCTTTCATTGCACGTGCATCGGCACTACTGTAGTCGGTGGAAATTAAATTATAAGATACTAAAGGTTAGACAGTAATCTATTTACTGCTTGAGTTTGTAACAGTTGCAGCTCTGCTTTTCTACATTTGGGCCCAACTGTAAATAAACATTAGCATGCACGTGTACAGTGCACAGTAACAGTATGTACTGTACTGTAACATCGAGTCAATGTCTAGTCTATCAGTACAGTACAGTACAGTACAGTATTGTACTGTACACTGTATGCATCGTGCAGGCAAAGGAATATCTCAGCATAGTGCACACTGCACAGTATGGATTTTCCCTGGCTTTAGGAGATGGACGAACTGGCAATTTAATGGACGAGATTGAATCATAGAATGCTAACTTACCTAACCCAGTATAGCTTGTAATGACGTATATTCACTCTACGGTCAAAGAGTTTTACTGACTTTTCATAATAGAATTAAGAAGGAAAAATTGTTTCTTCCTTTATTGACAACCTGATAGACGAAATGAGCACGCGCATATTTTGGCGGGAGATGTAAAGGGAAATTTGCTCATAGTCATCGGACGTCAGGATTCTGGACCGTAATCTTTTTGATAGCTTTGATTGGATTGGAATCAGGTCTAGATTGGATTGCTGCTAGTAATTTCGATGATTTTTTGGATGCACTACTAGCATTAGCTCTTTATTTTCTAGCACATAGTTTATACGTTTATACCTGTTGCTGACAGTCATTACAGTAGTTAGTCCATATCATTATGGCTGCTGCACTTTACGAGAGTGACGATTTAACTCAATGGACAGTAGCGTTGTCTAGGTACGAGGATGTTCTAAAAGCAAGATTTACTGCTACTGGAAATCGAAAACCAAGGGCTGATGTCGTAGCTTTAGATAACTGGTAAGGAGGACTATATGGCTAGTGTGCATATGATAACTGCTGTATGAACGCTAAACACTTTCGGCTGCTTATTTGAGCTGAAAGAGTACCTTTGAATGCAATCGAACGATCTTAACACATTATACAGGCACTAATATACAATTCATATATACAGCAAATAAAGCTATTGAACATTTGTATCTGTAGTACTTTATTTTCATCCATTAACTGTAAATACCAGTTCGCGTAGACATTAGTAGTTCACACGTTGAAATGTGTACGGCTTGTCGATTGTTGCATTTATCTTTATCGATTATGCAGTAACAAATTCCATGTGATGTGATCTTGGATCGTGATCTTAAAGTGCACTTTGTAGTCTGAATTCTGTATCATGTCAAATGTAATTATAATAGTCGTCAGCTATTTGTTGCAAAATGCAATAATAACTATATTTACAGCACAAGTTGTGATTATTAAATTTGCAAATTGCACAGTATATTCATTCATATTCCATATCATATTTTATCGTGATATAAAAATACATTTTATGTATGTGTGCGTACTTTTACTATGACCAGGTATCAAAATCAACTACCTAAGGCTATCAATAAAAGGAAAGAGAAACATATACTAAAAAGTGAGCTAGTAAAATTAATGGAATGGAAACTCTCGGTTAGTCAACTCAACTTTGCTTATCACCGTCACTTAGAATACATTTTTATAAGGAACAAGGAAAATAGTAGCATACGAAGTTATAAGTTGACGCTATTATTCGTAATGTTTAGCGAGGTAAATTTAGACCTGGATTAGGTCAAATGATCAAGAAAAATGAAGATAAACAAGTTATTGATATTTCGAAGGAAGCGTTTAGTAAATTACCCGATAGACTAGCTGCTTGCAATAAGCTTACAGAACTAAAAGCTGTCGGCCCAGCGACTGCATCCGGTAAGCAACAACAGTAATACAAGCTATTTACACTAGTGAAATTTAGAATTTAAATCATTATATACAACGAAGTTGATCACCTACTTTAAATATAATTTCATGCCATAGTCTAATTAAGTTACTACCACTTAAACTTGTAAGCAATTTTATGTGCTGCATGTCCTGAATCCGTTCCATTCATGGCTGATGAATCGATGGCTGGGGTGGCTAGCCTTGGAATGATCAAATACGATATATCATATTTTAACAAGTATACACAAAAGATAGTTGATCGTGCCAAAAAATTAAATAAGGCGGGTTAGTGATAAATATTATATATATATATATATATTATGGAATGAGAATCCCGATAATTTTATATATTCATCGATTTTATTACTTAGTGATTGCGGTATTACTACTGCAGTATATCATTCCGTAAATAGGTACAATATAAATGTTAGGTATCGCTTCCTTTAGATCCGTGTATGCGTTTAAAAACGATTGCATACGTTTGCGCCAGTGTGGATACTTTAGTCAACTTAGGAATCATACACTATACTTGTGACAGGAAGATACATCTATCCATGTAGCTTTACAGACAGGTATACTCTAAGCTGCACACTGAATTCAACAACACTTTGTTACCTTTTATAGAAGAATCAGACAACTGGAACGCTCATAAAGTTGAACTAGCTCTCTGGGCAGCTGAAATTTCTACTAAATTTAATATTCCTCTTGAAAACGTAAACAAACGAAAAGCTGACGGAGATGGTCAGCAATTAATAACGAAAATGTTGAAAACTTAATCTGATCCAGCGTTTGTATTTAGGGCTAAAGTAGTGTTAATTGCATGACTTTCGAAATTTTTAGCTACAATTTGCAGTAACACAATATCATAATTATACGAATGGCGCTAAGTTGCTGTAAATTCAAGTATTTATATCTCGTACTAAGACAAATACATACATCAATCATGTAAAATCTTTTTGATTATTAAACGGTTACCACGATTTTTACTCGCTTTGAAATTACTACGAAGATAATTAAAATGTGATAGTGTTATGATCTTCGGTTATAGTTTGCATTAACATCTTTTATTATAATAATACAATTTATGAAAATGATCATAATCTCTATAGATGATATCGATCTGAAATTGTAAACATTTTATCTTTACTATTACAAATAAATTGGATTCTTTGAATGTTTACGCCATAGGGCCTTGAAATACGTGTGATGAACATGATCAACTCATACAATTAAAGACGAGTCTAATTTGTATACTATTTATAAAAATATACATATTTGTTAATTGACCTCCGTAACAAATTGATTGCATATAAGCGAGTTATATAAATAACTTAGCTACTGCACTTTTGATTTTAAAACGTAATTCCTGTCTTTGTACGTTGCCTTTCCGCTGAATGCATTTTTTATAGCTATAATTAAAATAATTGTTCCAGCAATTGCAGAAATAATCGTTCCAATTGAGACTAAAACTCCATGCTTCACAATTCCAACAGGTACCTTAAGAATAATTTCATTGCCTGAATCTTCATTTTCATTATCCTGAAGTTCGTGCATAAAAACAAGGTTCAGTAATCAATAGTGTAAATAATTAAGTGCCTGCAGATATTTGTTATAAGGGGTATATACACACATAAAGGAGATTCCAAACGCAAGAACTCTTATTCGAATTGCTGCATGGAGCTGTATATTTAGGTTGACACTGGAATTCCGGTAGTTCTAAATATATATAAATTGACCAAGAGGTTATTTAGCAGTGTCTGGTTGTTAACAGCCGATTTACTGGAAATTGGAGTTTAAGCAATTGCTAACCTTTATCACAATGGATAAGTATTAACATTGGACGAGGCATAACAACTTCTGTGTAGCCATACCAGTCGTCCTGGGGTAGGTGATAACGTAGGTGGATTGGAAGTGAGACCTTAGTAGATCTATTGCAAGTATTTCCGTTCAAAATTACAAGATTAAAAATTATAATTGCGGTTAAAACGTTTTTATCATTTATTGTCATCAAGGGGGTTATACGTCGTATTGTTTAATTAATGACAACGATGTAATCATGTCACTTAAATCAGTTACATCTATGACACGAATACGCGTATTTCTACTACATTTTATTTGAAGCAAATTAAGTAATGAATGACGATAAAAATTTAACGGAAACGGAAGGAAAATGATAACAGCAATAAAAGACGCGACTTACCTTACGTCAGTAATTGGGTTTATTCTTGCATATACCAGGAGTAAATGCTCCGTTGATAAATGAGCAGGTTTTTCGACATCGATTCTGTCAGAAGATATAACCTGTAGCAATAGTAATTACTTAAGATTTAAATTACGGACTGAAATATGATTTTGGATTAAAATTGTGTGTATAATAGGTATATTTATTTGAATATATACCGAGATATCTTTAAGTAGCCTTTCCATTTCTGCTACCTATAAAATGAAGAGCATAAACTAATTTTAAGAAATAGCGAAGAGAATAGGTTGGTTCTCTTTCAATTTCAATTAATTATATGAGAGTGATATTTTATACTATTAAAACCTGGTCTAAATCGACATAAATACCCGTTGGTAACCTTTCTACCAGTAATAATGAGCATTGATCGGAAAATGAAGTTAAATTTGACTTAACCTCGGAGCGAAAGTTGATTTTGGTTATTAAATCCCTACATGATAATGATTATTATGGACGTAGTAGATGGTGATCAGTAATTGTAAGGGTATATGTTTAAGAGTGCAAGTTATTGCTATGATAGCTTTTAAGAGTACACTTTAAATATTTGTTATTCATCCTTGACTCTATAAATTAGTGTGTCGACATTTTTGTTGGATTCGTTGCTTTCCAACTATAGTATTCGAGTTTTCAGATTGATGGCAATATCGTCTTATTATTAATGTACATGATACTGTATACTTTGATTTACAGTTAGTTGAAGCACTCATGACCGTTTGGTATACTGTATCGAGCTAAATTACATAACATTACCACAAAAGCATTCCATAACATTATTCTGAATGAATAACAATTAACACGACTAGGCTATTTTATAAATGAATGCACCTATGAAAACCTTCCAGTGCTGCAGATCGATCGATAGAGGCTAAGTTTTTATTCTCATCTTTATGACAACCATCGTCTCTTTTATCTATCAAATAAATTAATACATATACACGCAATAGATTAGATGATACGTATAAGAAATTTTGATACAGTCTAACCTATCAATGTACATATAGTGTATAGTAGATGCTGATAAACTATTCCATACACAAGATTTAATCAAGATAGGCATAAGTATTAAGTTTCAGTCTCTAATCACTTCAATTTACAAATGAGAAGAAATTATCACCATCAAGGTGCATCCTAGAGCAATGAGTTACCTGGATATAGCGGTGAATTTTGCATGGGATGGGAATCATGTTGACGTAAATTGTGGGTGCAATTAGTAATCGATATGCCAATGACAAAGGATAATAAAATATAAATCGTTCTATATCGATGTAGCACTGCCATTTGTGAATTTGCCTGCTAAATTATGGGAATGTATTAGTTTCTACTGAAGGAGATTGAAATCTTTCGGTGTCTATGTCAATTTCAACGATGGTTTAAACAGATACGAGGTCCAGTCTTGCAATGAATGGATGATCATGAACGACTTGGATTTAATCTAAATTCGTATGATCGCAATTGATACCTCCAATTCTACGATGATCCAACAGATGAAGAAGTAATGAACAACATCATGGTGCTCGATTAAAGTGGTTATTCGCTTGTATATGTTATAGAGAGCTCTTGCAATAACGAAGTAGCTGCATCATTAATCGGCTTGATGATCCACGGAGAATGTTGCTGTATAACATGGATACGATTATACTACAGGTTTAGTATAGATTCGTAGTGTATTTGCTTACAAGAGTGAGCGTTTGATACACTATACTAACACTATACCCAGTCCATAGGCATCAAAATCGAGCCCTCCATGTCTTACGTTCATCGACGCCTATCATTGGTGCTATACTGTACTCTGCTTTACTCTCGTATGTATCGAGCATACTACATCAAATTGCTGCTGTAGGAGGAGGACAAGACTTGGTTGCTTCTTCTCCAGCAATCCTCCACGAGTTAGTTTAGCTGCTATGAATTTCATTTTATTTTCCTGCTATCATCGAAATTAGTAGACGAGTTGTTCTAAATCACATTTTAGACTTAAATTTGAATTGTTTCATTCTCAATTGAACGATTTCAGCTGCGATAGCGCCATTATCCTCGACACGACTGCATACGGCTGGGAAATCAGCATTTCGACATTGGTGGTTTATCTTACACTTTCTTCATTCGCTTTGGAAGTATTTTCACCTCATATCCTGCCATTGCGGGACTTGGCTGATCTTGATTAGAATAGTTGCGTAGACTGATACGTATAGGCCAGATATTAGGCAATAGAAATATTACCTAGTCATATTGTTATTCACAAATTTTTTAAAATTAAAAAGAGATTTTCTGGTGGAGGATGTGCAAAACGATCAATCATTAATTAAAACTAGTCATAGAATGGAGTTGCCAGACAATTATTATTTCAAAGCTGAGTATATTGAAACGGTAGGCTTACAATCACATAGTTTAGAAATATAGATGTGATTCGATGATTACTTACGGATGACGATGGATGTAATGGATGCGGTTTTATACTTTTATTAATTCAGGCTTCTGGTAATAAAGTAAGTCGTTATTCGGTGTTGTGCGGAAGTCAAAACATCATCCTCAACGGGAAAGTAAGTAGATTGCACTGATTGCATTGGTCTCACTAATTTAAGCCTAATTTAAGAATTTGGAGGTCTACATTTCAAAACGAGAACGCGCTCATTAATATAGACTGTCTCATGCAATTAACACTGCGATAAATACCTTAGAAGACTCTGTTAAATGATAATAATCAATCATTATAATTCTACATTTTGTTGGTATGTCGAACGTTGTTCATCTCCATCGTTCAACTTACCAACTTGCTTTACTAAGAAATAATTTTTCTGACCTCGATACTTTATTTATTCGTACATACTTACTATGCTACAGTTCTCTACTAGCACACGTTGACTGTAATCATAACTAGCAATCAGTGTACTCAATGTTGTACTATCAACATGCAATGTAGGAAATCTTATTTAATTGTTATGAACTGTACAGGCTGCAACTATCGTTACTAAGTAAAAAAAATTCTTATACTTACTTGTACCTTGTATAACAAATTTATCACATCGAATTCTTCGTGGTATAAAATTATATTAAGTATTTATACCTACAAGATTTTTCTGTTCAATTTTTATAGACTATCATTCAAGATGATTGTATCATTCGAGGCGATTTAGCAAGCGTTAGGATTGGTCGCCATTGCGTTATTTCTCAAGGAACTGTTATCAGACCACCCTTTAAAAAATTTAGTAAAGGGTTAGCAAGCCTAGAAGTATTAATTATATAATTATCGTTAAGATGGATTAATTGCTAGTGTCGTTGCAGCTTGATTTACTCTATGATACATTAGCTCATTGAAGAGTACGTATACACTATGAGGTTGCGTATATATATGCCTGTTTGCCCGTTGGACACAATTCATAAGGTGAAGAATCGTATTAATTTAAAATAATTTTCTTTATGCGGTAGGGTTGCCTTTTTCCCATTACAGGTAGGAGATCACGTATACGTGGGTAAAGACACTGTCATTAATGCAGCGCAGATAGGATCGTATGTTCACATTGGAAATAATTGTGTAATAGTAAGTACACATCTTATACGTTTATGCGAGTAATTTATTGATTAAGAGAAGCAAGTACTTTATTGTATGCTCAATGGTGTAGCAGCGGCTAGACCTTATTGATTGTTAGTAGTTAATGCAGTTGTTGTTGTTGTCCCATATAATTTTATGATATTTTGCAGTACTATCACGGTCAGCGATTGCCTAATAAAATGGGTATAATCCATTATAGGGTCGCCGATGTATCCTAAAGGATTGCTGCTCTATAGCTGATGATACCGTGTTACCGCCTGAAACAGTGGTTCCTCCTTTTACTTACTTTGCTGGCTCTCCTGGCTCTTTAAAGTCTGATCTTCCAGAATGTACGCAAGAAATGATGATCGACATGACAAAATCTTATTATCAACATTTCATTCCAATCAAGGAAGAGAAGAAGCAGAAAAAGTCTAAAGAGTCTAAATAATCTTGCTACTGTATAATCGAGTATGTGTACCCTTTGCTGTTGAACGTAAATTAAATGATTACTAAATTCGGCTCTTTTTTGATGTGCAGCGCGAACTTTTTACTGTACGTACATTTGTGGTACTATGGCTTTCTAATTCATGACCACTGTCATTTATCTTTAGTTATTGATATTCATTAATTTATTTCGTGTTGTAGAATTGAAATCGTCCTTATTGTCCTGTTGTGTTATTAATGTTACGTTATTGCAGAATGTTAACTTGGCTAAAGTGCAGTGTTCACACTGGTAAAAATAATACATCGTACCATTCGCTCAATTTAGACTGAGTTGAAAACCTTCAAGTCATCAAATTATGAAATTTAGATTATGAATTCTATTTTTATCGATTGGCGATGATGCTTACTTTTTGGTATTGTTTTGCGTGTTTTGACTAGCATCTGCGTCTAATATTTTGTATGGATTTATGACGCTAAATGTGCGATTACTTTAGCCATCCTGTGAAATATATTTTGTAATAGTTGTGTCGCAAAGTCAATCATCATACGAATACAAATGTAGGCAAATTATGTTATCGGTATATCTTGTGGACTGGGTTAGAATTTTACAGTATAACTGTACGCGTACGCTTGTAATACTTTTAAAATCGAGATAGATTAAGATGTTTATGGAATGCTTGTAGTATCTTGTATCCAATCTTGTGTTGTCAATAGTAGATCTGTATGGTTTGAAATATATTTGTATCGGTCCAATGTTATTGTAAATACATGCTGACATACTTTATTAGAAGACAACATGCGTAACTTATTTCTTTATTCAGAATAGACTTTCAAGTATGCCGTGATGATGTGTCTCATTGCTTAGCGCAATATCGATGATAATACTGTATAACTCATGTGAGTTACTGCGATTCAGTCGGCATAAACTACTTTCGTAAATACTTTAGTCGATTTTATTTTTAGTTCTATGCCTGTTCCATTATGAGTATAAATTGAGTTATCTAGTATCTATTTCTTTGCATAGAATTAGCTCCGAAAGTAAAGGAAACATGAAAATTTTCTCAATTTGGTCAATTCATTGACTATACTCGTACACCAATCATTTAGGACATTAGCTAACGTCCTAAGCATGGACTACTAAGGTAAATTTAGTAGTCCATGGTTTTAAGATTCTATTTATTGAGTTTGATGATCATGACTTGGCATTGCTATGCATACTAAGTCTATCTATATACGCTATTCATTCTATCATTGCTATTCAAGACATCGTTTATTAAACAGTATGTTATGCTTCATCTACGAGTCTACGCATACTGTACAGTTCGGACATCTTCCATGCGGTAGAATGTGGAGCATTTTCTAAAGTAGAGGTCGTTGTGTATTGGGTGGGCTTTTCTGCTCTATGTTGTCTACTGTGGAGCTCCATTTAGTATCCTGCTACAAGTTTGTAATCTCTATTCTGCTGTAGCAGCTTTTCCCTGGGCAGGTATCCTACCCTATTTTGTCGACTGCTGTAATAGTCCTTGGGTCTGGTGAAAGCCAACGTTGCAAGAGAGTAGTTTGCATGCCCCCTAGACTAGTGTGTCCCTTGGGTGTTATGCTACTGCAATACCATCTTGTACTACTAACTATAAAAGAGACTGAGTCCGAATTCAATGGCGACGAATATATGATTTAGCGGCATTTTGATTGAGCTTAGATCAACTACCTTCTCACCAAGTACTGTTTTGATAAAGTAGCTATCGTTGTGTATCTGGTAGACTTTCCTACGATGCCTTGCGTTGTCTATGGCGGAGCTCCGCTTAGCATCCTTGCTCCTGCTGCAGGCAGCTCGAGCAGGGTCTGTCCTTTTTACAGTGTACAGTGCACAGTGCTAATACCACCTTGACGATAACAGGACTGTAAGAAACTACACTGGACGGACAGTGGGACAAGACGCATGAGTGCGACGAAGTCCCTGGTACTAACTGTCACAAGGAAAAGACTCAGACGTGATAAAAGTGCTAAAATCACTATCACGGTAACACCTTGTATACTAGAAACTGTGATGGGACAGACTACACTATAGAAAATCCAGGACAAAAATCAAAATTAGTCAACTAGCGCAATCACTCATTTGAGCGTTATACTGTACTACTACCGCTTACTGCTTTTTGAAAGCCCGTATCGCTGCGTCTATCAAACGCAGCCTCACGGTGGAGGGGGAACTGCAACAAGAAGGGAGAAGTGGGCTTGAACTTCTAAAATAGATTTAATTAGGCATTTCTAAAGACTCTCTTCCATTCTCATCACTGACTTTGATCAACCAGCTATTAACTATTGGTAGCAATAATCTTATAATCTTATTGGGGAAAAACGCCAACAAGACGATGATGACTCTGCAGTAACGTGGATTTAACCACAATCTCAACAAATTAGATAAACAGTGTATTGATCGAAAAAAAATTACTTTGATAATATTATTGTTGTTATCTTTGGGCTAGCGTTATCGCTCGATTGCAATCGAGGAAATACATTCAAAATGCAATCGAGCTCTACTACAGCAATTTGGTCCAGAACATGGACTGCTTGGATAGTCATGCTAACCTTGATGATCATATTTAGCCGTCAAGTAAAGTGTGAAGTAACTGTTTTAACTAATACAACAACCTCGATCAAATACTGTCCTTATTTTCATAATCGATTAGCTCGACCCCAATCCCAGCTATCCAGCTGTTCTTGGTTCCGTAATCAATCATGTTGTTATCAAGCTGAAATCGATTCTATCTTTACCGATAATATACCGTTATTTAATGTTAATGATCAATGTCGACAATCATTAACTTATCTTATGTGTTATATCTGTGCACCAGATCAAAAAGATTTCTACGCCGATCGGCGATTAACCATTTGCGATGATATGTGTCAAGATCTTTATGATGCATGTATCAATGCGACTTATAAAGGTGATCCTATCTATTATTGGTATCGTAATGGACGTGAATTTTGCCAAGGTCGACAATTTCAAGTTCAAAGTTATCAATCTGGCAAGTGCTATTCCATTAAGCGTTATGAAAATTTATTAAATATCTATCAGACCGGTCATGCTAAGCAATTCTTTACATCTGCTTACTTCTATCCTTATCTTGTCATCGCTCTGTTACCATCATTATTCTCTACTTTATCGTGGTCGTATTGAACATGATTTTATCCTAACGACGTCTAATGTAGACTCAAAATTAATGGATAGTATCATTGTGTAGAAATAGAAAATAATCATCAAGCATGTTTGCTATCACTGATTTTACTCTCTTATGTGATCATTCTGCTTGACATGATCAAGATTGAGCATCAACTGTAAATCAACGGTTTTGTATTTTCGTTGATTTGCCACTGTTTTTTTCTTGTTGATCCTTTGATGATGACTGTCTAATGTCATCATGTAAATTTTTTTATTCATTTCAACTCTTCCGCATTATCGTCTTGTCATCCAACATGGCTGCTCTTATTGAAATAAAAAGATATAGCGCGCGATATCTTGATTAGATTATTGATTTAGAAATTCAATCTGGAATGATAATTAACAACCAACTTGCAAGCAAGTTGGATACCCCCAAATGTTTCCCTTTATAGATAAAATCTCCGTATGGTATTGGATGTTAATTAAATTACATCCAATGTCTAGTTTACCATATCGAACTTATAGGATCACATTGCAAAGTTCATTTTGACTTATTTCATCGACTATCGACTAAGAGAGAGCAAAAAAATACAGTCCATTTTAATTATTGATTGGCGACAGATTCATTGACATGCATAGCATGACTACTGTAGTCAAACTTTGCCAATATCTCTTTCATTTCTATTTCGAGTTTCATTCATAATAATTTTATGACATTATAAAAAATTTTCTCTCCCTTCTTTGATGACTTTTCCTTATATTTTATAAAAGCCTTACAGATACTTTAATGCATATGATCCCCTTTCACACCATTATCTCCTTGTATTAAAAAAAAACCAATTAGTCGATAGTATAAGTATTGTTAATCTTACTAATGATTTAATATATCATTCATGACAATTCGCCAATGAGCTATGCCATGATTATAATTTTAAAGTTGATAGGATTGGCTTAATGGAAACTATAACATATAATTGCCCTAATTTTAAAATCCTTAATACTGAATATTCTACCAACAATATTTTTTCTCCTCACATTATCTATCATTTCTTAATTTAATTGCAATTTACTAATCCTAAACCTACTTCTCTTTTGATATCTTACTTTTTTTTGGCTGAGTTTATTTCAAAAGTTACTACTAGGAATAATAGAGTTCGATCATTTAATTTTAAAAATTTGTCCATGTCGTTAATGTTATCATCTTATTTCTACATCTAGCTTTATTATGTATTATCATCAATTCTCTATTGGATCATTTATAAAGTAAAAGTTAGTGCTTATAGTGATCAAGTACAATTTCTCTTTTTTGAATATCTTGCTAGTATGGTTAATTTTTGCACCATGATAAATATTATAACGGATAACTAGACTACGGGTAATGACCAAGATTGATTTTTTTCTCCTCCGTTTAATGAATAGCTGCGATTTAGACCATCTTTAATTTCAATACTCTTATATAATTTATGCCAAGAGATAACATTAAGCTTCAAAGTTTAAACTAGGATAATGATGAACAAAGTATTTGTTTCCATATTATTTACACATAAAGTGCAGCTCTTATCCTTCCCCATACGCATCTGGACTAATTAATTATTAATGCTGGCTAAGCATTCTTTTTTGTACCTATCATGTTATCGCATTTTATCACATTTTAGCCATGGATCTTTGATATACATTGTCTTATTCTATCCTGCAAGAGTTACAACTACGACCATGACAAACTAGTACCAATAACTATTGCCGGCACAGATATCAATACATATTTTCCAAGTCTTATTCCATCGCTGTAATTATATATTTACTGTTAAAGGGCATATCCATGCTTACTTTTTTGTTATATGCAATAATTAGATCTATATCTTTTTTTACTATTGTCTGATGTTATGGTAATAACACCATCGAATAAAGTAACTATCTAAGAAACTAGTTTATGTTTTACTCTATTACCTGATGATGGATCGCCTAAAATAGAGTTTATCGGCGTTTATCAGACTCTTTGACACTGTCAAAAATGAGTTCCTATCATGTAGTCTTTGCTATTGTAATCTAATTGAATACAGATATTGAATGAGGTAGAAATGACTAAGTAAGACGATTGTTAGATACAATAACTTTTATACAGCGATTGTAATGCAATCTCTTAATTAACCCACTACGTAATCGTTGATTCATAGATTTTTAAAAATAAATAATCTGTCATGTAAGAATTATTTTCGATATACATTTACTATATTGGCAATAAAAAGAATATCCTTGTCAATACAAATTATTCAGAAATAACAACATCGATAACGATAAAATCAAGTCATAATCATATGCTAACTATCGATCATAATCTATAGAACGGGAATATCGACGGGCCAACGACTGGTTTATTTACCTAGCACTCTATTTATGAAAAACTAATTCACAATACATAATTTCTTGATGTTTGTTAACGTCTTAGGGTATTATTGAAAACAACAACGTTTTGAAAGGTATCCTAATATTATAAGGTAGTCTGTCTAACATTCTATGCCTTGCCTATCAAAAGCTCGACAATGATCTGATTTGACCAAGATAAAGATATCCACGAATAAAGGAAATAAAGGATACGGTAAACTAAAATTCCAGATGTTGATGCTAGCTTACAAATACTAAAGTGTATTTGCGCTAGTTATGTTTGATATAACGCAGAAAATTAATTTTAGAATTAACAACATTGCCTTTTAATGGAACTTCTACTTGTGAGGTTATGCAAGTAGTACGTTAATAGCACATTAATGTCGTCGTAATCTGTTAAAAGGAACTAATTAAAATACAGTAGTTTCGATTTTCTACTCTGCAGTGATTTATTATATAGAAAGTAATTATTGATTTTTAAATTGCTATTTGTAACAGTATAATACCCATACTATGATAGCTAATAACTCAATTGCAATGTAATTTTCTAGTTTCAAATTTTTCAATGCATTCATCGTTAGACGGCAAACCATACATCTACAAGAATTTCCGTTATTTTTGGAGGCATGAACAACTATACGACATATTCATTTCCATTGCAGTAACATTTAAACTAAACTAAACTGGTCATCACACATTTATCTCTATTGATGTAGTATGTAGTCCTTTGCATATGGGAATTTTCATATTCATTATATGTACAGCATTTTGTAAATAAAAAGTGTCAATTAGATAACTTTATCAATCAGTAATGATAACATGTTATCTTAACGTCTGTAAAGCATCCTAACCTGTAAAAATAGCTAAAGTACTTATATAAATTCATTTCGTATCTCCAATTTCGTATACATAACAACTTATAAACATTTCACACCGTGCATTATAACCTCTGACATTCCGTGTCCGGATTAATTTGTGTAATTTTTTACATCTTAGACGTATTAATAATGTATACGATATAATGTACGTGAGTAAAGTATGTAACCGTTCCTTCTCCATTTTAAGACAATATACAGTACATTTATTTGATAAGATATTAATATCTCGTATGAATTTTGAAAAATTTATGAAAGCTATAGCTATAGAGTAGTATCTCGTATCATGACTGCTACCGGTAGAGTTAAATGCACGCTGAAATATCTGTAGTATTAAACATCAAGGTTATAATGATATTACTTCAATAGAATAATTTTGGATTTGTTTTGGCTTGGATAAACTAAAAGAACCTCTAAAATACTCTAAGAACCCACGTAGGCGATGAATTTTATCGTAAATATGAATCTACAGAAACAAAAATAAATTTCATCAATTTAATGTATACATCGAAGCTTCTCCTTTGATATAAGAAAAGATAAAATTTGCAGACCAGTAACATGGTATCATTAGAATCTCGGCAAAAACAAATTTAGCCGGCTTACTTGCGTTTGAACAAGCTGAAATAATTCCTTAATAACTTGATGTGCATCCTTTGATAAAGTAAACTGAATGTAATGCGAATCCAACAGTGCATTTATCCAGTCTAGAACCTAGGATTATAAAAATTTAATCAAAACGTTAAACGATCAATAAATATTATGATTATGCAGTATCAGCTACATCTATTGGCATGTATAAAGTTACAATACAGAACAAAACATTTTCTCATTCTGCGTTAGTAACTATCATTGACTGTAAAGTAAGTATGTGATAATTCTAACCAAGGTTTGTTTGATAGCTTTCATTCGGTGGTTTTTGTCATCTATACACAGCTTCAATAAGTATATTAAATATCGTACAAGAGCCTGTAATGAAAAATGACAACATAAAGTTTAATTTTATATCGGTCATTTTTCTATAGTTTGCTTTCCAACTCATAAAGCCATCCATTAAAAACATTAAATTTTAACTTCAGTAAATATAGGAAACAATTCACTCCATAATAATTTAAGATCAATCAGAATTAGAATGTATCATACCAAACATTCTTGAACAGTGAACGTCCTCAATTCTTCATTCATAAAATAAAGATGACTATTTAACTGCCTCAAGAGCAAATTTCTGATTGTTTATATTAAGAAAATAACCCTATTTCAGATATTTTTAATTAGAGTGCAGAAAATATGAAAGGTATTAAAATGGACTATCACGCTCATTATTTTAATATTTCGTAGAAATATAGCAACCCTTGGTGGGTTAGTAAAATTTTTATAACAGGATACAAGTATTCAGCCTTTCGCTTTGTGATTTGAATATCGTTGAATTCAATTAATGTTTCATTCAATTCAGAATCATCGTTTTTCTTTAATTCTTTATCTGCTTCTGTAATAACTGATTCGCTTGCCCTGAAAGTGATCATAATCATATTTAGACATTAAGAAACCGTAACACGGAATAATTTCCAGACAGCGGCAATCAATAATATTACGACAATGTTCGTTATCCTAAACTGTAACGAAAAGATTACCATGTCCATGGCTCATCGATAATAAAAATAAAATAATTGATGATACTTGACTAAATGATGTAGAATAAGACACGATTTTGCAAGAATAATAGAATCATGACATATACGAGCATTTTATTTTTAAAAATCTGGATTGTTAATAGTTTTCTTTTAAGGTTATTGGGTAGGGTGTAACATTCACTGCACTTACAACAGAATATATTTCATCCCTCTCACGATAACAGCTTCTGATAAGTTGCGAATTTTTTTAACAGCAAGTAAAAACAGAACCTACAATTACAATAGTAGTAAATTTGAATGAGGAATTAATAAAAATCACCGATATTGAGTGGGGTATCACAAATACCATATCATCTTTTTCGAATATAGTCGGAAAGAGTGATGGGCAAGCACTACAATTAAAAATTAACAAATGGCATCAGTTTTTAACAGCATTATAAAGGTTAGGCTTTATAACAATCAATCCATTTGCACCAGAAGAATAATCCATTCAGAGAAAACTAATAGGATCATAACCTAAATGATATCCCATTCGCGCGAATAAGTTTTATAAAAGCATTTCTTGGCCAAATCTTTTCCATAACGATGCACTGATGCAGTAATTGAGATAAAGCGTTGCAGTACATAGCTTTGGCATAGCCCTTCATCCACGGAAAAAAAAGAAATATTACGCATACATTTTATGATGTTATACAGCTACACTTTAGACTTGTTAGGTTATGCTGGTCGTGATTACCTTTACAGGACTCAAAGCAGATAAGACTTCATCAACAGCTTTTTCGAATTTTTTCACGGCCGTATACTGTGTATATTATCAGCATAGCAAGGATGAATATAGATAAAATTTAACATCTCACCCTAAATTACTTTATCGTATCAGATTTAATCAATAACTTTGTTCTCTCAACTACTAAATTCAAGCAATTAAGAAATTTATGAGCCTTATTGTATAGATACTAACGTTACTTTCATTTGATAAATAAGAAGCTGCCTTATTCCATGCTTGTAGTAAGTTTTGATCCTATAATAGACAGCATTATGAAGTTGAGTACAGTAGCTTTTAAGAGCTAGTACTAATCATTAGTCATGTAGTAGTAGTAAATATCAAAACTACTGATACCTTCTCGTGACCCTTCCAATCCGATATATTAATGGTATTTGTACATACAGAGTTGCTATCACTATTATTTAAAAGAATACAACCATAGTACTGTCAGTATACGTCGTATTTCCTTATGAAACTTGAACTACCGTAATTCAATTTGTTAATGCGTAATCAGTATTATTACATTACAAAAGAATATTCGATTTTCTACGATTTCAAACTTTGTCACATAAACTTTCGTTAAATTCAGTCTAACCTGGTTGAAGGCATTTTCATACCCAAAACAGACAACAATGAAGCTGGTTGACATTCGTAATAACACACAATCACAGCGGTATCAATAGCGATAAATAAATATGGAGAGATGTTCACAATCTATAAGAACAAATAAGAGTAATTGTTAAGGAGTACCGTAGAAAAATATAAAATCATGCTGTAAATTAATAGTACTTGTTATTAATGTATTTAGTAAGCAAGTATAGGAGTGTCTTGAAGGTAGTCAGATAGGTGAAGATAGAAAGCTACATAAAGGCCGTTCATTACTTACTTGTAAAGTGTTATCTGAAGATTGAGCAATATCTTCGTCAAGCTTTAGACTTTCCAATAAGTTATGACGGCATTGCAAAGTTCCAAATGTTAAATCCCATAACGACAGTATTGCTTCTGTAATTATAAATTTATATAATGGTCAGTATCCGATAGGTTGGATAAATTTGCAGTATTGTCACAGTTCAAATTAAACCGGTACATACCTGTGTTATCACCATCAACGCTCTTCTCGGCACTGACAACATATTGCGAGTTAAGTAAAGCTAATGATACCTAGACAATTATACCAACAGCAATTGCATCTTATAACTGTACTAATATCAACACAGACCCAGCAATGCAAGAAATTTACCTTAGATTGGCTTTTCTTAACATCGGATAAGGAATTATATTGTACTACTTGTAAATTGATACGGCTATCTTCCTCTGATAATGAAGTTTTACTTTGTAATAGATTAGTAATATTCGGACTTTGGCGTAATGATTTATCCGACCCTATGATAAAGAGTCAGTAAGAAATTTAACAGAGATCAAAACAAAGAGTTATAAAAATCGCAATTTTAATGAAAATTCAATTCTTACATTGGGAGACTAAGATATTTCGAGAAAAATTGTAATCCATCGCTAGAAGATCGGTCTAAGATTGGAATAGAACAAGATTAGCATTATCTACTAGAGTACATGTATAAACGTTACAAAGAATTTTACATCATTAACATACATTGTACGAAAACTATTGGATCTAAAGGTTCACATAATCGAAATCATCAATTAGTAGTTGTGCTATAGGTTGTTAACTAAATTACCTGCTTGTCGATTGATAATTTAGCCATCAGAACATCGACAAATGACTGATTTTGATCTTGTAATTCTTTGACATTAAGATAGTATTCATCGTCCTAGGCAATAAAAATGTTTAGCACAAAAATGTCATTAAAATTATCTCTTCATAGATATTTATTGGATAATTTTCAAAGTCTATCGTTTGCTTACCCGACAAGTTATTATTCCTACGTACAAAAAATTATTCTTTTGGCTCCAAATTGAACTCCAAACGACCTGTATATCACTTTAATTCACAGTTTTGAACAAAAATTAATCTATTGGTACTACATAGGTTATAACATCGTAGCTATTTCTTGTTCGTTGTATGTACACGGTAATTTTAAACTCACTTTGGTTTTGTTCTTTTAGCTCTCTTACGGGTTGTGGGCATTGTACCATTGGAATTACTAGATGACATCAGAGCTACAGTTCCATCCGTAGAGATTATAATTGGCTGGTTTAAAGTTACAATGGGTGTAGTTGTTGGTGCATGAAGTCGATAGACTGGCTTTTCAACCTGCGTTATACAAGTTGTTTGATGATTATGAGTATCGTAAAGATATTTTAATAAGTCATGCGAATACAATTGCAGGAAACAATGGCATTAGTTCAGCATATTTCTTCATGACATCAAATCAATAGGCATTAACATACGCGTGCAGTACATTTGTCTGATAAGCTAATTAATCAGTATTATTTAATCCAAGTAAATACTAATGAAATTGAAATATCATCACTTATTTCGAATTTAACGATTAAATTTAACGCCCGTACGTAGGGTATATCTAGCTAATTTGATACTTGAATACTTAATATTATCAAGATCTAACTTTAAAGCGTACTTACAGAAATGTGAGAAAATTCACCGAATGTTGGGCAATGGTCGCTCCACTGGAAAATATCCTGAAATGTAAAATGCCAACATAAAGTCATTCTTTCGGATGCTATTGTAGGTTATGACTACATGTCATCGTTGAATATTAATTAATTATCTAGTAACGATGGTCTATCCTAGCAGTTAAGTCTTTACTGTTATTGTTTGAATTATAATTTCCATAGTAGTTCAATAATTTTATAATCTCGTTGGAGCATTTAGCCTTCATTTACTGAGAGTGTGTTACTTCCAAACCATACTTATTGCTCATTGGTGCTCATGAGTTAGTATTAATTTATTATAATATTGATAATAACAGCTATACCCAGCCTAACCTTTTCATTGAAGACACAGTAATAATCGTTGGTACTTTCTACTTGGATAGCATAATTTGTTGCATGGTATCTTTGCTCTACGGACCAACTTTTGTAGGCACTTTTTTCTTCATACTATAGCAAGATTGCACATATAATCACGTTCAATTTCATCCATTACCATGGTGTTACAAGTAAGATTTTAACAATAAAATATATCCTTTTACTTTATATCTAACTGATGGAAATTTCTATCTATCCTAAGATTGGTAAAACTAGAAGAACAACACCATATATCTCTTACAATCGAATATGTACAGCATTGTGTTAGGGTTAACTGTACCACAACGAATGTGAATGACAAACAATGTGATAGGCCAGTCATAAGATCAACATACTGATCTCAGTTATGCAAGAGATATCGATTGCAGATTCGTTTACTACATGCCAATATTAGCTACCAAGTTAATTGAAATTAGAAGCATGCCCTACAGTATACAACGACTACAATATCGCATGATGAGCATTTAGTAGATAGAGACTTACATCATAGACATAGATTCCCTTTTTAGCATAGGTGACAATAATCCTATTGGGAGATGAATGTTGAGCAATGCCAACGACAAAATCTTCCGCTGCATTATTACGGCATAGTAAGAAACTATCATTGATTTTAGCCATGACTGTCGCTATTTGCTGTTGCACATGCAATATCCACAGTTAATAAGAATACTTCGACAAGTAGTCTAGTGATGAGATATAACTCTATTTCAAGAAAATTGGGTCTTTCCTGTGCAAGAGCAGCGAGGTCGTCAGATATCCTCCAACAATCAATACCCTATCCTCCAACAATCAATACCCTATCTCGTAGTTGTACCGTGGTATAATATCAATAGTACTGTAGACCAAGAACAGAAGCTCAGTAGCATTCAGTAAGGTAAGAAATGGAGGAAGTTTCCAATATTATCAACGATAATTCCAGGTTCCAAGCAATTTTCCGATGGAACGTGGATGCAATGGTGGATTTCGTTTCCGGTGGGCCTTGAGTGCACGAGCACGCTGGTGTGACGTGACGTTGTCTTGGTGCTGACAGTATTGTAGCTACTATACTGTTCGGGATAGTAGTTGAAATTTATAGTCAAGTGTACCAAGAGCTACATTATACCTGGTATATTGACTACCAATTCTGTCTGAAGTGCGGTATAGTACCATCAACTATTCGAGCTGGGGTCTGTCCTTCCGTACGAGGCTTGTACCGCTAAAAACTAATGTCATATAGGGCAATTCAATTTGTAGTGTAAGTGGGTTTCTTTGTATGTAATCAGATGACATTAATTTTACTAGCAATAAACTCGATATTTTGGCCATAATAGAAAAAGCTTTTTCTCTATGGGCTCTGTGGTGGTGTCTGTGCGCCTAGATAGTATTGTGACTGCAGTTGACTATCCAGTATACTGTAGGCACTCTACGAACTGATCAAAGAAACCAAGGCAACCATGGAGGCAACTTGCTCTAATAAATTGCTCTAAAATAATTTAGAACATTTGCAATATTTTAACCACTTTCGATGGCTCGATTACTTGCAGTTGATTGCAAAAGATCCTTCAACGTGTAAGTTACTCTATCAATCAATCAATTTATCGTACCGTAAATGATCTTAATAGACTATAACAGTATTGACAATGTTGCAAAATCTCTGTAAGTCGTAAAACCTGGATTCTTTCCAATATGGATAAATTAGCTATTTTTAGGCTGATTCTATCTAAAAATGAATCTACTGAGCGATAAAGACAGTGCTTGCAGAGTTCTTAACCTAGTAGTTATAATGTTAGCGACTTGTGTTATTGTCATAAATACGCAACTTATTCACCATGTTTGCTATAAATGCAACACTGCAAATATAATATCTTGGGGTACTTCGTCATCAAACTATCTCATGTTGATGTTAAAACTAATGCTCAGTATCCAAGAAGGAAAAATGCGTTTCAGAATTTTACTCCTGAAACCACTTTAGCACTTCATATTATCCACTTAGAAATATGCATTATTTCACGTAGTTAATGAAATAGAGAAATATTGTAATAATCCATTATGCCATACTCATAAATTGCATGCTTGTCCAAGAGGGTAAATATTCAACTGCTGATTTACCTCGTTTAACTTTACTCACATATAGGATCCAGGAAGAAATCAACCAGATATCCATTGCTATTGACAAATCGCAATCATTACTCAATAATTCAACCTATTTGCGCTGCAAAAAATTAATTTCAATCAGGTAACAAAAGTTTATATCCTGTACTTTCGAAGTCCATTAGATCTGTCTTGTCAACTATTACAATGTGATCGATCCTTTGATTTATGTAACTATGCGTATGTTAACGGCTAAGTATTGAAATCAATGTTTTAGTTCGAAGCAATATTAATGCTCGATTCTCTCCCGTTCTATAAGGCCTACATTGCGGGATAAGCCAGTAGAAGATGAAGGTATTGCATAAGACAGGGGCCTAGTATTATTGCAGCCCTTATCTCATAATTTATATATAATTAGTGGATATATCAACAGATACACTGCAACAGATAAATATTTTATTGTATTTACTATGTATAGTAGTAATATTTTATTGACTGCAAATAAGTATAAAGCTGGTCAATGCCGAGATCATTCATGATCTATATACAGTATTAGTAAGAATGGATTAAACTATATCTATATCATATAGAAAGCGAAGTGTCGATAGAAAGAAAAAAAGAAGAATTAGAAATTATTGAAACACTTAATCGTGCGATTGAAAATGCAAATATTGCTGAAAATGAATTACAAGTAGAACATAACAAATAGAATGCTGCACTATTGTGCTATTACGTAATACAGTATTAAAGCGAATATGTAAAATAATATCGGTTTGTCTATGCAGGTAAAAGGCAAATTCAATAAGAAAAAGAAGAGCTTATCCGAAATTTATAGTAAGCTATTATACCCTACTTCATACGAGATAAAATTAAGTTAGTGAGCCTAAACTAAATTATGTCTCGTAACATAATAGCTTCAAAGCCAATTGCAAAATCTAAACCAACAGCAAAGTCCACAGCTATTAAGAAAGAACATGCAACTACTGGCAAAAAAGTACAGCCTTCAGAAGATAAAAAACGAATGAAAACTAGCGCTCGAGTAGCTTCATCACAACGTATTAAAGTATCTAACGGTAGTACATCGACGGATAAAGTATTGGTTATCAATGAAAAAAAAGAAAATCCAGTGGTATCAACTGCTGCTGTTAAGCCTAAAAAACAGAATCGTAAACTTCTAGAATACGAAGTGAACGAGGCTAAAATATTACAGTAATATATAGTTAAACAATTTATAATTATAGGATGTTTACATGAAAAATTGCAGTCCAGCCATATAATTTAGCTTTTAATTGAAATTGTATCTCCAATAATTGCTTAACATAGATTGGACAAGACAATCATCACCAGCAAATTTAGGCGACAATGCCATAAATTTAGGCAGTTAGCATTATTTTTCGTCCTTATACCATTTTAAATAGTAACATATATCTATTTGTAAACACATTCAGTTTTATACCGTGCAATGTTCTTCTATTTTGTTGATAAGGCTACAAGAAGAGATTAAAAAGACTTGTGAAATGGCTGATATTGAAACGAAAGAAAACTTTATCTCACGCTTGGAGTCAACTGTATCTACAGATACTATCTCCTGCATATTATTTTAGCAAACCTTCGTATGTTTAGAAATTACTTCATCTCTTATTTCTTCTCCTTAACATTTAATTTTCAAGTTTGACACACCAAGTTCAGTGGCTGGATTTGACGATTTACAAAAATTATCCAAGTTTTGTATTACCAAACACAAACTGTTTATGGAAGATGTAGATCATTTCGTAGAAAATATTAATGAAGGTTGAATCTATACAGTATTATCAATGCTGTTTCATAAACAACTGTATGTAGTGTGCCTTTTATACTAAAAATAGATGAAGAAATGAAAATTCACTCACCGTTCTTGTCTCAAGCTTTTCAACAATTTTGTGCCGATGCTAGGGATCTACATGCAGAAAGTATGGAGATAATTAAAGGTACGATAGTGTAAAGAGCCATTCATTTATCTAAAAGTGGTTTAAGTAATAGCATAGTACTCGTTCCTAATTTTATAGATGAAAAACTCCTTTATACCCATTGTAAATGCAACAACTGCAATAGTGCACTTGCTGTACATAACACCGTCAATGGTAATTTTTTTATGATGATGAATTCTTTAAGGATTAGTAAATGATTTAGTAATTATGATTGAGAACAAGCAAAGGCGATGAGACTTCTAATTCAGGAAAATATATATCATATTCTACCATGGCGGTAAATTATTACTATACTATTTGCTGTAATATACTTCAGTAATATAATGGTATTGATTTACACTGTATTAAGTTTCACTACATCTTCATCAACGATCAGGAATTAAGTAAGTTAGTAGACCTTTATCATGAAGCACAAGCTACATATATGCAAGGAAAAATTGAAAAGGTACTACTGCGAAAGAAGACAATTACGCGTAATAATAGGACTGCATCAGGTATCTGAATAATACATAACCTCATAATTTATATTGATGATTATATATTTCCATTTCAGGAAATTGCAACCAATACGGTCCCATTAATAAAATGTATGGATCCGAATAGCAAGTAAGTACTGAAACTCAGAGTGTGATTTTGGTGATTGTATCGATTTATTGAAATATTGACTAGAGAAATAAGATTATGATTTACTCCATTTAATTTTAACCTGCTAGAGATTTTTATGAACTCTTTCGCATGGTATATTCTATATTATGCAATGGTGGTAAAACATTACCGACTTTAGTTATCGATAAGGATTAAATACTCCCTTTAAAGATTTCTTCTATGAAAGCGAAGGAGTGAATTCGAAATGATAGAATCCTTAGTGACTTTCGCAATTGTAATTATTATTACTAAACCGCTGAGAATTTGTATTGTATTGTATAGCAAAAATGTATTACTCAGCAACCATTTTAAGTTATGATCGTAATTTTTCATCTATTTATTTTAAACCATTTATTGGGCGCTATCTTTGAATTAAACATAAGTTTAACAAAAAACAGCTCAAGTTCTTAATATAGCAGAAAAGCAATATAGCGTCTTAATGTAACAATTTATCTTTATGGAGTTTGAGAATTGACATTTATTAATAGGAATTGCGAAATGATTTATGATCAGATTTTTTTAAAATAGACATATTTATACTATAAAGGAATAATTATTATATATTTGGTAAAGAAAGTAATTAATTTAATTTTAATTCTCGAATATTATATGTATAAAGACAAGTATATAAATTGTACGTCATATACTTCATGATAAAATCGATGCTTTAAAATATTAGTTGGCTGTGTGATATAAATATAAAATACAACTTTGTTCTGAATTGGAATTACACAATAGTGCAACAAAAGATAACTTACCGTTTATCAATCTATCAACTTATATAATTACTTGCCGTATATGGTGCGTATATATGGATTGTGAATTGAACTGTGATTAGTGTGATATCATGACCTACAGTATAAGATGAACACATCTACAGTATATCATGTAAAATGTGTACTTATATTTTTAATCGCACAATGAGTACAATAACTTGATTTCGTCGTTGTAGTTCATCTCAAATCTAGATGGTGTTTCTAATATCATAGGTATATTGTTTAACCTTGAATCGTTCATAATTAGCTTGAAAGCCTTGAGGCCAATCTTTCCCTTGCCAATATTTTCATGTCGATCTAAGTGGCAACCTAATTCACCTTTGGAATCATTAATATGCATAGCACGCAAGTATTGAAAGCCTACTACACTATCAAACTCATCCATAGTTTTCTTATAGCCTTTTTTACTTGCTATGTCGTAACCTACCAAGAGAATGATACCATGTTTAATCGATCTATAGCTCTTTAATATCTAGATTGGTCAATTTTATAACAATTTAATTAAATAGTTACGACTTAGGAAAAGGGTAATTGAGCTTAAACATATAAATAGTAGAATTTATAGCACATCTACAGTAATTTCGATACACTATCTGGTTACCACGATGTCCATGACCCTACTCATAAGCTCCTATAGACAAGATTATTAAATATAGTTTACAGTTCAAAAATTTGGCAAGCTTACCAGCAGCAAATGTATGACATGTATCGAGACAGACACCAACTCGAGATTTATCGTCAACACGATTAATAATTTCGGCTAATTCTTCAAAAGAGCCACCAATGACATTTTTCTGGTTGCTCATATTCTCAATGACGGTAATGACTTTGTTAGTAGCCCGGTGAGCAATGTTGATACTTTCAGCAATAAGCTGTATACATTCCGTACGAGATATTTCGCCACGGGATGATCCAGGATGAAAATTATATAACATTAAACCTAATTTTTCGCAACGCTTTAATTCATCAATTAAAGCATTGCGACTCTTTTGTAAGGTATCAGGATTGGGTGAGCCACAATTCATTAAATAAGATCCATGAGGTAATATTTGCCAGGGTGTAAACTTCATCTCCTTACAAACTTGTTGAAATTGATTGGCAGCCTCATCCAGTAACGGTTTACTATCCCATTGACGTTGATTGCGCAGAAAGAGTCCAAAAGCACCAGCACCTGTTTGATGTGCATCAATAGCAGCATTATATAAGCCGCCACTGATAGACATATGACCTCCAAGCCATTTCTGGTAACGTAATGGATGGTTGTTCTCGTGTAGGCTGCTATTATCCTTTACCTTTTTCTCTTTCTTGTTGGATGTTTTCGTTTTCTTGGTTTGTGGACTAGTCTTGAGGTCATCACTGGCATGATGATGATGATGATTCACAGAGGATTGTTTTTTACTCTCTTTCTTAGCTAGTTTGGCTTTGCTACGGCTTGTTTCTTCGTTGTTTTTCCTTTTTTTAGAAGTGATTGCAGCTGGTATATTGTTTTGATGGGTAGTTTGGCTGGCAATTTGTCTTACAAGTAATCGCGAGCTCCTCCTCATGTTTGTTACAACGATGTAGGTTTTAGCTGCGTGCAGACATCATCAGTGATATACTACTCGTGTATTGTATTGTACTGTAGATTAGAGTACTCTACGACGAACTCTACAGTACAGTATAGTGTACTGCATGGATTTAGCCATTACAGTATATTCTCATGGCAGATCATGATGCTGCATGTGTCGAAAGAGCAACAGAATATTTACCAATATTTAACTGTACAGTACTGTATGCTGATTGCAATGTTTTGCATCATGGCCATAGCTGGATATCTGGGATGGCCAGTCTGATTAGAGTACACTACGACGAACTCTACAGTATAGTGTACTGCATGGATTTAGCCATTACAGTATGTTCTCATGGCAGATCATGATGCTGCATGTGTCGAAAGAGCAACAGAATATTTACCAATATTTAACTGTACTGTATGCTTGTTGATTGCAACAATGTTTTGCATCATGGCCATAGCTGGATATCTGGGATGGCCAGTCTGATTAGAGTACACTACGACGAACTCTACAGTATAGTGTACTGCATGGATTTAGCCATTACAGTATGTTCTCATGGCAGATCATGATGCTGCATGTGTCGAAAGAACAACAGAATATTTACCAATATTTAACTGTACTATATGCTGATTGCAACAATGTTTTGCATCATGGCCATAGCTGGATATCTGGGATGGCCAGTCTGGAAATGACATCATTCGGTGCTCGCTTGTACTATACTGTACAGTGTACAGTGTACAGTACTGTGGCAATGCTACAGTGTGTGTACTGTAGAGATTCCCATAAGTGTCCCTTTAACTTAGTCAGTAGAATGAACGTCCATACGGTGTACTGTATAGAACACCGACGAGTGTATTATACCATAGACTGAGACCGTTGAGTATAGGAGCAAAATCCTTCTTCAAATCATGTCTATTCCTGTCTTGGAAACTTCAACTTGGACGGAAAACTCCATTCCTGGCCATGATTCATAGAGTTAAGACCGATTTCATTCATCATTAAGGCTGCATCTATTCCATAAGTAAGCTATCGCTATTGCTGGTAATTGAGGATTGTCTATTTATCCATTCTTTGAAAGTTTCAATATTCAAATTGGAGACGAATTGAGCAACATTGACATCATCGCGGTTGTCATTGCAACCTGCAGACCATCGGATCTGTCTGTTGGAACTGGAAAACTCTCACCATCAATTAATTAATTATAGACAAGTAGGAGAGAGAGACAGATTCATCATGGAGCATCAACAAGACATGCAACCAAGCTGTAGTCATCAGGCAGATATCGATGAAATCATCCAAAATGATACAACAATACAAGTCGACAATCCACATGCTGATGGCCAACAACAGCTAAAAGCCCTTGGCTTAACCGTTTTTAACCATTCTGACTATGAGCAAAATCTTATTAATCAAATTGCACAAGCAATCAAAGCGGAAGAAGTGCTAGCTGAGAAAGAGAAAGTCCAATCTCAATTGCAAATTCTTCAAGAAACGATGAGGTAACCCATGCAATAGATTGTATATTACATGCCCCTATAGCATCTACACCCGCAATAATGTAATTATAATTCTTCGTAATAATAGCTCTATCGATCTAATAGAGGATGTACAGATACTTAGAAAACTTCATGAATATCAATCTACACGCATGATAGTAATAGACAGAATTAAAGGTAACTAGCTTTAAATTCAATCTCTTGCTTGTGATAGATCAAATACAGTTCAGACAGGAACATTTCGACAGGATAGTATTAATCATGTTATAACGGGAGTTTTAGGAATTGGCTATATTGGTAATACGAAAGAGAGGACACTTTTTTTATTTGACTTAGATCATCCTTAAAACAGAATGTATCAATACAGGGATTCGAGAAATAAGATTTCTTATAGTGTTTGTTACTTGTAATACCTACCTAGTCATATTGTCACCACTATAATATTGCAAATGTTAGTCGAGAAATTCTAATCCAATTGTGATTAATCATAAGGAAACGCCATCAGCAACTAGCGACGGTTAAAGATGAACATGTAAGATCCAACGTAATGTCGACGGTAAGATTGAATACATAATAATAAAACGTTGTTTAATTAAAGTATCGTATCGATATATGATGAGAATCAAAATCATCTATTGAAATACAACATATGATGCTTCTCGGACGTAGATATTACATGCATATATAAACGTTTATAAATAAGTGTAAGTGTATTATACTGTGTGTAAGTTTTCCTTTAATATTTTATATGCCCTTTACTGCATTCATACTTTAGCTTGAAAATTTAAGAAATCAAGAGAATGAATTAAATGAAAAATTGTCTGTACTGGAGAAAGAAAACACTGAAAGCAGCAATACTTTAAACGACGAATGTAGCGGTTAGTCCATACTGTATTTAGCATGTGCTGACAGCACCACGATTCTACTTTACATAATGTCAAATAGAACTTTCCAAGAAACCGTTTTAACAATTGTTTATATTAATTATAGAATTAATTTGCTATAGTATGATACGAATTGCTCGCAAATCGTTATAGAAATTGATAGATGCTGTTGCATGCTATGCTACTTGCACTTTTTTGGTTAATTATCATTACTGCTCCATTCGATGATGATCAGATTTTATGCTATATTGTAGAATTTAGCCTGATATAATACTCATCATAGTCTATTAAATTAACTTCGAAAGAAAAATAATCCGAACTTTATCAATTTTTATACTATACCTCTCGTAGGAGATTCTAGCAATGACGTTAATAACAAATTAGAGTTATTACAAAAACAACGTGAACAAACCTTGTCTTATACTATACCTGATGAGAAATTTACAAGTGATGATGTATCTGTTTCCGATGAAATGATCGAAACGGTATTGGGTGAGCTTGGCGATGATATGTCCCTCAATGATACCTTTTACAAGAATTGGCTAGACGACGGTGATTTCGATATAAATTCTACAAATAATACTGCCGATCAAAGTCAAGTCATAATTGAACCAGACTCTTCTAATAATGTACCCGATAAAAATGAGATCGATAAGGAACTACCAAGTGCCTTATCAAAAAAGCGTAAAAAGAATAAGATTACAAAGATAGATCGTTCTCGTAGTTTAAGGGATACTAGCGGTTCGGATTTTGAGGATCAAGGAGCCGATAGCGATGAATATGTACCTAATAGTAAAGAGTTAGCAGACAGGTATATAAAAATTACGTTTAATTTTATATCTAGGTAGTAACACTTTACTAATAGCAAGCGGTAGCTAACGCTTACATTTTTTTATATGCTTGGATAGCTTCTATGATAGCGATGAAAACAAAAAGCGCCGCCGTAAGGAAAAACGTTCCGGCACTTGTACACCCATTAAAAATGATAAAAAGAATAAAATGGATACGAAAGACAAACAATACCAAGATGAACCTATATCACTACATCAGCTAAGCAGAAAGCGAATTATATCTACACAAGATAAATGTATCGATGATGCCTACAAGGATGTCTATCGAACTCGAATAAGGTATGTTTGAGAATACGTACTAACTGTAATTCAATGAATAGCTGACATGTGAACTTTATTTATATACGAGTACTTATATCATCTAAAACTTACATTACCGGTACCCCTAAATAATAATAATAGGTTATATAAAGAACGCTTTCAGGCTTATAACCAACTTCTAGATGCTGTGGAAGGCAATGATGTCGGTCAAATTACTAGCAAGAGTGATTATAGTTCATTCATAAATTGTTTCGACAATGCTTACGATATGGTTTTAGATGGTGGTCTGTCCGTACCTGGTGGCATCTGGAAAAAATTGTTCAAGTATATTAGCCATTAAAATTACTTATGTGTTTATGTTTTTAATGAAGGATACAATTTTAGTACCTGTAACTAAAATACAAATCTGAATTAATCTAAAAGATATCAGCAAGACGGTGTCCGTTGGATGTGGGAACTACATAGACAAGACGCTGGTGGAATAATTGGGGATGAAATGGGTTTAGGCAAAACCATACAGGTTATTGCTTTTTTGGCTGCTCTAAAATATAGTAAATTACCCCAACGCCATGGAAAGTAAGCCAACTAGAGTCTAGCAGTCAATTTGTTACGTACTGTAAGACGACAGAGTTGATAGATTATTTTATCGATTTTATTTCTGTTATTAAGGTATACTGGATTAGGGCCAGTACTAATTGTATGTCCGGCGACAGTTCTTGAACAATGGGTTGCAGAATTTCATAAATGGTGGCCGCCATTTAGAATAGCTATATTTCATGAGACTGGCTCTTATGCTGGCTCATTAGTAAGTTACTGTAACTTACTTACGGTAACTATAGCGATATAATTCTGTAGTACACTGTACAATATTTAATTTGATGTCTTATTTTTTAATACATTAGGAGTCGTTAGTCAAAGACATAGTCTATTCGAGAGGCATCTTAATTACAACCTACAGTCATGTTCGCATATACCAGACCCTCCTTGCTCAAAAGCCTTGGGAATATGTATTTCTCGATGAAGGACATAAAATTCGTAATCCTGATGCAGAAATCACAATAGCAATAAAACAGGCTTGTTAAACTTAAAATTGATTTCAATTTTCTAGATGCGATAAAGGCAGTATCCAATTCTTTTACAATTCTTCGAGTTAATAACTCTTTTATACAAACATTTTAAATGTTGAAATAGGTTAGAACACCACATCGAGTCATTCTTACCGGTACCCCTATGCAAAATAATCTACGTGATCTATGGTCATTATTCGATTTCGTTTTTCCTGGTAAACTTGGCACATTACCAGTATTTATGGAGCAATTTTCTGTCCCAATCACAATGGGAGGTTATGCTAACGCCACTGAAGTACAGGTTATGATTTGTCACAAAATAAAATTAAGAAGATGGCTTAAAGTCTCAATCAGCTAACTCTTTTCCTGTTAATAGGTCCAAACTGCTTATAAATGTGCTTGCGTTTTACGCGATACCATCAATCCATATTTATTGCGCCGTACTAAAGCAGGAGTACAGAAAGACTGTTTGCATCTTCCCCCTAAAAATGAACATGTATGCTAATTAAATGTTCTAAAGTTAAAGAGAGATTATGACTGACCTTATTAGCGTCTAACGATACAGCAACTGTCTGGTTTGCGTCTAGGTATTATTTTGTCGATTAACGGATTTTCAGCGATGCGTTTATCAGCAATATCTAAAATCTGATGAAGTAGCAGGAATCATCGATGGACGAAATCATGTTAGTTTTTCTGTTAATTCTAAAGTATAGATAGTATTTAAAGCTGTAGCTAAATTTACGTGTCTATTTCTTATTTATACTACCAGGCTTTTGGCGGTCTCATTACCCTACGCAAAATTTGTAATCATCCTCATCTTACAAATATTTCCGTACCACGTGTAGCAAAGGTTAACGTGGATAGCGAAATTATTCGATCTGATGGACATTGGCTATTATCTGGGAAGATGATTGCACTGAAAACGCTGCTATCACTATGGAGAGAAAATAAGCATCGTGTATTGTTATTTACTCAAACGCGTCAGGTTGCTTTTCACTACAATTAGCTTTTATTGTGTATTATTTTATGTAGTAGCTATCTTGTCGGAATACCTTCATTTGTGTTAAGTAATAGGTACAATTGTCTTGTATTTTATAATAGATGGCAAATATCCTAGAAAAGTTTGTAAAATCTGAGAACTACCCTTATATGCGTATGGATGGCACAACCAACATCTCTAGTAGACAATCGCTAGTGAAATTATTCAACAGGGTACTTGGATATTATTGTATCGGTAACTAATGACGTGAGTAGATTAACTAACGGAAGAATTGTTATCAATATACAGAACAATGCCATATTTATCTTCATATTGACAACGCGTGTGGGAGGTCTTGGTCTCAATTTAACTGGAGCAGACAGGGTAGTGATTTTCGATCCAGATTGGAATCCTAGTACTGATATGCAAGCTAGGGAACGAGCTTGGAGAGTTGGACAAACAAAAGAGGTCACAATTTATCGCTTTTTAACATCGGGAACGATAGAAGAAAAGATATATCATCGGTAACTATCACTGAAATTCGTCATGTATGGTAAAGTTACCAAGTAAATAGAGAAGACATGATCGAATTAATCAATATTTAAGTTAATGGTTATTAATTCCTTAGGCAAGTCTTTAAAGAATTTCTTACCAATCGAATCTTAAAAAATCCAAAGCAGCGACGTTTCTTCAAATCGAACGATTTATATGAGCTGTTTTCATTAGATTCCACTGATAATAACGAAACGAGTGCGATATTTGCTGGAACTGGTTCTGAGATTGACTTACATAATAAGATTAAAAAATATCGTCTAGCACGTAAAAGTTCAAGAAAAAAATCGAAGAAATCAAGCCGTGGAAAACGTAAATTATTATATTTCAAATTAATAAAATGCCTTACTTCTTACATCACATCAGATCTAAGCAGAAGACAATTAATTCGTACTTTAAGATATAGTATAATGTTACTTGAGTAAATTTGGTAGTTTACTACCTCCTTTTCCATTACAAATAAATCGCTCTTTCTTTATGATGCGCATAGACGTAGATGGCAGTAATTGATATTAAATTCTTCGCGCTGATATAAATATGTGTACATTAGTAATCAATTAAGGCAACTCCGTAATCATCAGTACACGTGTATATCTAGAATATTATACAGTTTGTGCATTTACTTAGTCTGACACTCTACTTTACAGGTATTGAGGGAACTAGGGTAGATTATGTAGATAAAGAAGATAGCTATCATTCGTCATCGCTTGATGCCAAAACCGGAAAAACGGGCAATTCAGACGATTACGTACTAGGAGCTCTGTTCAAGAAAGCTGGTAAATGATTAGCTAATAATACTAATCATCGATATATTGTAGTGCATTACTTGTATTTAACGATGGAGCGCATATATATTTAAATTGTATCTTCTATTCTGTGCTTTCAAAGGCGTACAAAGCGCAATGAAACATGATAAAATTGTAGATTCGTCTAACCAAGATTATTCTTTGGTGGAAAGTGAAGCCAAGCGTGTGGCAGAGATTGCTAAGAAGGTTTTAACAAATTCAAGTCAAGAATGCAAGAAATATTCTATTGGTATACCAACATGGACGGGCAAATCAGGAATTGGTGGAGCCCCAATGGCCAAGTTGTTTATTTGTTTATCTTTTAAATCTAATATCTTGACTAAACTAATTATCTTGAAAATCTAATAATAACGTTATCTTATTATTGTTCAATTATTGTAATATTGCTAGGCCAAAGTTTGGTAAATCCTCAGTTTCACATTCAAAAACAAAACAGGTAGGCTAGCGTTAGTCATCCATATAAATTAGTGATAGCGCTTTTTCTTATATCGTTTGATAAGTTATCAAATGGGTCTTGATCTAGAATTGCTACATACACTTATAACCAATATTACCTTTCTGTTAATAGGGAGTGGAACAAGAACAAAATCAGCATTTTAGTGGGAAGGCAAAAAATGCCTCTGAAGTGATGTCTTCCAAAGATCTATTAACGCAAATGCGAACTAGGAATATGTTTTCATCTCCATCGGGAAATAATACATCAAATAATAATGATGTTGATGGAGTTGTGCTAGATGGAGCTAGAAATAAAATCTTGTTGGAATTACGCGATTTTATTGCTGGAAAACCCAACACACAAGCAACTAGCCGGGCTATTATAAATAAATTTCAATCAAAATTGAGAAATACCGATAATGCTGCTTTTCGTGCTATGTTAAATGAAATGTGTACTTTTCGATCTATGACTCATGGCGAAGGTGTTTGGGTCTTAAAGGCACAATATCGCCCAAAGTGAACTGCTATGCAACTACTGAAATATAGTGTATGTCATATTGGCTGATTCAATAATGATAGTGATACAATCAAAATTGACGACTACGTCTACTTTATTATAAGTACTATGATAATACCAACGATCATTTTATTAATATTTAAAGCACTATCTTTATCATTATAAAACTAATTAATAGAATTAACGAAAGGGATTTTTCTAAATGAAATGAATAATTTCATTGAATGATTGGTCCACAGATTATTTTAAGTTATTTACCAACGATTGCGTATGAATATACGATCAATGAATAAGTTAAACCACAGCTAATATCAATATTACAAAATATATATCATTTTCGAAAGAAGTCTCAATGAAATGATGCGTTGAAATTCTTAAGAGATTGCAGTCTGATAGGATAAAAATCCAAAAAATATTTTAAATTTGCAGATATTACAATTGTATGCGAGTATAGTTATGTAATGACATCATCGCTGTAACGGCAGCATTTTTAATAATAAAAGTAATTATCTCGAAAACATTAATTCATGTTTTATTGTGCTGGTGTACAATTTTATTGAACTCGCCATGACTGTTACTCGTATAATAGCAGGTAAGAGGGATCAAGAATGTCGCAGTATTCATCTCAGGCAAAATAAAAACATAGCATGAGTAGATAATCAAGAGATAAATTATTTAACATGTACAATATATGTATGAAAATAATATGTAATTATTTTTTTATTAAAGCCATTCTACTCTTTCTATATGGATATAACTGAATAATTTTTGTTGTGTTTATTGAATACTAATCGCGGTGCGTAAAGTCTACACTGCTTATACCTAAAATTAGTCCATTACTTGTATATGCACAATGCACAGCTACTAAAGTTCGATATCACAAATATTTTATACTGCTACATGCTAACTAACATTCTTTTCGTATGCATCAATTACAATATGATCAGCAATTATTTTAGGCAACAGAAATATTGTCAGTAAAATTAAGTAATTTAGGGTCACAATAGTAAGTTATAAAGGAGATTGGCTAAAGACAGCAATATGAAAATTTGAAATACGAAACTGTCTTATACAGTAGTCCTGATTCTACGACATGACCTTTCTTATTCCTATATCAAGATTTTATTGCTAAGTCGAGCAGATAGCGATTACAAGGTGACCTAAAAGGTGTGCCCATCGAGGTTGTAAGTCCATGCATACACATTTTAATCGAAAGTCATCGATTAGATAATGTAAAGGTTTTATTTAAGTTTCAATCTTGATTCACTCTTAACAACAATAACGTCAAATGATGCACATTTATTTGCTCTGCAGATGTATGCCCGAAGACTGCGCTCCGAATGAGATACCCACAAATTTTACTGTACTTTATTTTAGCCAGGTAATTCTTAACGGATTATAGAATATGGCAGTCTTACTATATATATCCTGGCGTATACAGTAATTAACTTTCCAGAGTCGCCACGATCACGAATAATTGCCTTATTAGTCTTTAAAAATTTTTATTTCCATTGCCTTTTTTCTATATGATCACGACAAAACGGATTTAGTTTATTTTACTTTATCGAAACAAATAACACATTAACTGTTATTGCTGATAACCTCTATTAATCACAATTAAAATTGCTATATATGGAATCGTTCCTTTGTCTACCAAGGAATTGCAAGATAAACTTTCGGTAGTAAAATTAAATAAGGATAGGCCGGCCTACTATAAGAAGTGTCGTCAAATAGAATTAGGCAATTAAAATTATTTTTTTTGCCTAGCTGTAACGGTAGATTAAAAAATTTGAGGGTGGGTAGACGAATAATTTAAATAATTGAAATTTTGATAAAAGAATACTTAATGTAATTGCTACTTATAACAGTAATTATTTCCATCAAATAAATTAGGCCATATTTAGTTGATTTTATAACGCTATACTGGCATCAGGTAAGTTATCATTAAATAATTTAGAGTAAGAGCATGATTAATGTGTTTTCAAAATTATATTAACGATTGTAGTTGTAAACAAATAGGTGAAAATTAACTGTTGAGATAATCTCTATATACTTTTAGTAGTATCATTTTATAAATATTACAATTTATTCCATATTGATGATACGATCAATGTGTCTTAATCGAGATAATTTAACAACGGAATGCTTTGTAGTTTGAATTTTGCCATCCTAAATTCATCGACGAATTGAATGTTAACGCGTTGTCCATCTGGCAATTTCATCAATACGAGTATATAGAGGCATTTATGATAGCCATACTTTATCTCAATCGATCTGTCTTGAATCATATCTATCTATAGCCGTGCATGTGTATGAAATTTAATAAATCAAATATCCATTTTAAATGAATCGTACGATTGATATAAGCTTGTATAATCATTTCTGGGCCGTAGTGATGCAGTAGTAATCATCAGTTGCAGTTAAATAAAATCTCATTCTTAATTACCCTATTGCTGTGATATTTATTCTTAAAATGAAGTTTAATTTTTGATTGATATAGCGGATAATGCCGCTTTGAACCACAAAAGGATGTGTATGATTTCTTCCATACGCGTAAGAGTATAAAACCAATGCTATCAATCTCATACGAGTAGTACTGTTTAGATTGATGCTTTTACAAGCTAACTCTGTTACTAATTGTCCAAAGTGAGTTGATAAATGTTGTACAATCATTTTTTCCATCTCTATAACAAATAAAGTAGGCCCCATAACATTGCAAGGATGATCGAAAGGCAATAATGATTTGAGATTGCGCTGCTGACTATAATCTCGGTAACATTCATACAATGATGCGTTGCAACATCATAACGACGAGCACGGCAAAATTCATCACCCGATCGATACCAATGCTTGATAGGTAATCCTTTCCAGAGAGCATCTTGACAAACTGAATAGATTTGGTTGCAAAAATCTAAGCATACAGTTAATGTCTGACGAGTTTGATTATAAAATAAGTGTTGATCCGGTGAGCATATATAGCACATCAGTTGATCAAATAAACGGCTACATTCAGGTGGTAGATTTAGAGGTAATGGTCTATCAGCAAAGATTAGATCGACTTCAGGCTGTGTACAGCAGGCATTTTCTTGAAACCAAGGACAATTTGTTAATTGAGGTTGTCGTTTAGCAAGCCTATTATTAAAGTAAGTGCAATACTTTCGAGGCGGATTATCAAGGCTCTGCTGGTCAAGGACATAAACTCCTTTACTTTGAGCTGTAACATGGACATCATGGCCCAACATGATGGCTGCAATAACAGCAACAACAATGTAAAAGTAGATTAAACGATAGGACGTTTGTACAGTTGGTAAAAATAATTGATGGAGGCCAAAGAGAGCCATCCTTGAAGACAAATAATTAGATCGTTCCTTCAAATGACGGTTTATCGTTCAAGGCTGATGGTGAACTTGACTAACGCCAATACTATCTAATAGACGCTGTTCAATGCTATAAATTAATATACTTTGATGCAATTCATTTCAATACAGTCTTCTGTCCACGATTCTACTACTTCATCGTTCCGTCATCCTCTAGGCTAGCCAATTGCTGTCAATAAGAAAAGCAAATAAGACCAGAGTGTTCATTCAATAGACGTTGTCTTTTTCTTGTTTCACTCTTTAATTAACAATCTTTCAATCAAGATTGTATTTAATGACAGAAAGAAACGTCTTGACGTCGTTTTCCAACCGGAATAACTTAATTAACTTCTTTCTTCTTGTTGGTATTATGGAAATGGGAGAGAAATTTGTGAATCTTTCTTCTTGTCAAATTATGCCAACATTAAATATGGCGCAATCAGTCTGTATTGTATCAATTTCAATAGAGACTATATTTAAATATTCTACAATGATGATTCTTCTATCAGTTGCAAGTAGAAGACTATCAAGGAAGGAAGATGGCAGAGTCAGTGTGTCGTTTCTTCCGGGAAAATCTAATTGAGAAATAAAAGAGGAGAAAGAAAATTGAAGTAGAGAGTTGTAATTGACAAATAATTGCTACCATTAATTAAGGCATGACTGCTAACGTATCTCAGCTTATAAAGAATCGACTGTACACCTACTACTGTTAGCGTAACTATATCATGGGCAGTATCGCTTAGCAAGCGGCCTTATTGAGGGGAAGAAAATAGAAATATGTCAACGCAGGAATAAAAATGTAATTAATTATAGTACAATTTCGATCGTGTCTATATGCTGTTAATAAGATGAAAGGAATAGAATACATCAAAACAAGTGAATTCACATGATGAAGTTGGAGTCAACGAAGGAAATGCTTCAATAACTTTCAGATCACATCTGAATAGTTCTCCATTGGCAAGCAAAATAAAAAAATAAAAAAAGTCAAGATGGCAGGACAAATTGATCCATCGACGAGCCTGTCCATTAGGAATGGCATCGCTCTTGTACTCTACTCTTCTAATCAGAAGATTGAAGAAGAAACTTACGTTTCAAATGGAGAAGAGGATATCCATTAACTGGCTATGCATACTATCATACAACACTTTGGCTATCATTCCTTCGATAGAGAGAGGATTGGATGGACGAAAGGCATCAGTGGTGGACGCTAAAATAACCAAAGTCTCAAATTGATTTTCTACTGCATCAATAATCCACTATAGCTTAAACAATTGCTGATAGTATTTTCAATGGTATGTCTAAAACATGTGAAAATCGCTATAGTACAGTATAGAAAAGAAAATGAAGACAGCTTTCATTCATCAACAACGTCCACAAACAGGAAGAACTGGAGCTGCTTGCTAATAAATTCATGAATTAATTATTCATAATGGACTAAGTCAAAGATTGTGTAGAAGGATATTATTTCTTTCCTTCCTATTCGTATAATATGCTGCTATGGTAGTCTATTCGAATTCATGATCATGGCTGCTTCCCAAGGGTTTTTTTCTACAGCAACACGACTAGATGGGTCCACGGTAGGGAGAACTTAGACCCCTAGCGAATGAGCACAATGGACTAACTCAAAGACTGTATAGAAGGATATACATTAGAAACATAGCGTAGTTATTCTAAAAAGATCAAGGATTTATGAACATCTATGATAGAGTTTACGTAACTTTTTCAAATATTGTGTACAATCTCATCGTAACCAATTTATAAAAATCGATTTTACCTTACAACTTGAATCTTGACTGTTTTAAAATAGGAGAGACTCGACAATATATTTCAAAGTGTTTACAGGTTGATTTACAATATATGGACGCTAAATAAATAGATACATCTAGCACATAACCAAGATGGTGCTATCAAACTGAATATCTTAATAGCATCGAAAGTAAAAATTGAATTGACTATCAATACCTGCATTTTTTATGGAAATTCAATAAACAATTATTTAAAAGTTTCCTTCAATACATATACAACTTCATGTTAGCAATTTGTAAAAGATATGAGATTTCCTTGGTAATCATTAACTTATTGTTAGGTATATTCAGTATTTAGAAAGTAGTCTGTATCAAGGAATCATCTGTCTTTACAATATCCAAGGTTATAGTCGAATAGGGTCCATTTTGAATAGAAATGCATGCAATATTCAGTCAGTCTTAATCGTACTTGCAAAGGTGGCATAAATGATTCAAGGATGCATCCATCATTATAGGCAAATAATTATACGCATTTGCAAGTTGTATAAACGCACTGAAACTCCAGCTCAAATAGCTTGCTAAATTTAACTATAGTATTAGTTGAGGCACCAAGTAATGAGCTGGATACGATTCTATACTAGTATGCCTTGGCTAGAGTTATCGCACAAGTCGAAAAGCTTATCATTAAACCTTCAGATTTTTATTCTACCAAAGATCGTACAGTAATCGATTGAATTAGCACAAGGATGGCAACTCTTGAATGATCGGTACAAGTTAAAAGAGTATAAAAGTCTAGACTTTGGAATATCAAGCAAGACCATGAACGAAAGTTAGATAAGATAAATCTTATATTGCAGCTCTGCAATATACCCTGTATGGCATTCTTCAATATTGGCCAACTACTAATAGTGCCTACCGTTAAAATGTCGCGAATATAGTACAAAAACTAACTTATAAATGTCCATATTCATTCAGCTTCATGTCTTTCATAGATACAAGTATAAGTAATCACAAAAACGCTAGAACAGTCATATAGCCATTCATAGCAATAAACAGTAACCGTACTGTACTAATAATATTGATTTCATTCTGGATTAGATATTATCACAGTCATTCATTTTCTTATTAAAGTATATTTATAACCCTATTATATAAAATCAATACTATATTACATCGTATGTTTCCATAAATGTTGCTAAGAATAATGAATTACTGCGCTACAAAGCAATAAATCCAGTAAGCATTTTAATCTATTTTTCGGTACGATTATAGAGCTGTAGAGTTATACAATTGAAAGATCTAAAAAGGATCAATGATAAAATATCAATAACATTAAAAAGAACTATATAACTGATTACTGTAAAAATATATTAACTTCATTTTCACATAGGCTAACCCTGCCAGGATATTTCTATGCGTTAAAACAACAACTTATGTTAACAGTCAATTAGAGCCAATAACTACGGCTACGATATCTGTTTATCTTAGCCCAGGTTTAATTTATATCGCAAGTTTCGCTAAATCCTTGATCACATGTTATTATTAATCATAATTGAAGCAACAACAGTATTGCAGCAATATGCTTAGATAAAAACCGATAAGTACTAGTGAAGATGTCTCTGATACCGCTTTATATCAAATACATATAGTAAATGTTTACACTATATAATCTCATACAGTACAGAGAGTATACGAATATACGCGTATTTGATCTCGTTGTATAACGCGAGCGCTATATAATTTTCAATTATAATTAGTTGCTAATTGTTAAAAAGTTCATTTTTAATATTTATACAATATACAATGATGATTAAAATATCAGCACGTAATAAGGACTGAACTCAATTATGTAAAAATCTTGCGCTATTTTTATACTTATGTACATAATATACATAACCAATCAACCGCTATAAATTTACAGACTGCCTTATCATCAATATCATACGAAAAGTTGCTTTACCAAATACTTAGTTACAGTATCATGAGATAGTATAAAAATAACGATATTGACTACGTCTACTATCGTCTTTTATCAGAAGGAGAATACACCGATAACAAGCAATCCGCACTACCAGCAGCGAACATAACCTATTAATTGTAAATATTCGTGTATCAATCATAAATAAATAATCATGCTGTTAAGCTTAGCTTTATTCAAGGATATAACTTAAATTAGTTTACAAACCTTATAGGGATGAAATGCTAAGCAGCTAATGGGTCCAATTTTTTGCACTCTAAATCCATCATGATATTTGATTGCACTATTTAATTCACCGCTGTGATTGTAAACATGTATCACTTGGCTAGTTGAGCCGCTATAATGATAACAGATTACGCATTTTAAAATCTAAACTAATGTACAATGAAATGATCAAGTATTAAAATGTCTTTAGGTTATTTGTTATAAATATCTCATTTTACCAAACGAGAATATCGGCTTCCTTATGTACGTCCATAGCATTTAATGTATGCTGAGTATCAATCGTTTTAACAGATTCAGTGAAACGCGGATCCCAAAATTTCACGTCACCAGCAATACTGTTATAATAAGTGAAGGCAATATTAAATTTAAAAAAACTAAAATTAATTGAGCTCATCCACAAATATCATCTTCTAAAATTACATACCTGCCACTAATGATGTTACCATTTCCTCCACTTTGTCTGTGAACTTTCACAACCCAAGCCTTGTGTTCAAATAACGTTTTAACGCGGCTAGATCATCAAATTTCAAAACACAAAACTTTAACAAATTCTTACATGTACAAAAAATAATTACATAAAATTTATAACAATTATTCTTTTCAGAATACCTCTCATTTGCAGGTAGCCTTCGATCAAATAACCTTACTGAGCCGTCACCACAACCAACCACTAGTAGCGATGATCTATCAGCAACTCCACTGGAAATACTTGTAACACAACTGCCCGCTCCAGTCGGTATTTCCTTTAATGGTAGAATTTGTCATTAATCTTTTCACCTTCGGATGCTAAGCATCTAAACTATTTTAAAATATTCTACAATTATCGGTCTACGCTACCTGTACTTTCGTCTCTCTTCTAACGTCCCATATACTAACAGATTTAACGTCACCGCTACATAATAATTTACCTGATTGCTGCTCCCAGCTCATTACTAAACCTGACCCTATAATGAATCATTACAATCATAACTAATCAAGCCTACTATCGCCATACGTATACAATAAGAAAATTGCAAGCTTCGATATAAATTCAATCTTACTTCTAAAGGAGGATCTTAGCATTTCACTCAATCCTTTCCAAGCAGTTACTAACTTCAAATTGTTGTCATCATTATCGAAATGCTTCCATAGCCGTAAGCTACCGTCATCTAATATCATACAAAATTGTTAAATTATTAATATCGAGCTATTGGTTTAATATGCGAATTTGTAGGCAAGCATAGATCATTCATTTAAGATTCACCTGTTCCAGCTAATAGCAACGGTGAGTGATGCTCATTAATAACTTCCAAGGCAGTTATTTTATAATTTTTTAAGCTATTCCTGAACGATTTCATTTTATTCGACTGCTCCCAGTTCCAAACGCTCAAGTTCAAATACAAAATAATAATCCATTAATTATTATAATTATTAATAGCTACTATAAAAAGCAGCGTTTCGCTCTTATGTTGAATTACTTAATTTCGTTTTGTCCAGCCACGATGATGGCCTTCTGATATTCCATAAATGTCATTATTTGAGGTGGGAAAGTACTTCTTTGAATAAAACACTCATCATCCAATTGAGATTTACCTAGATTTACCACGGCCATTTTACATGTTAATATAAAATTGTCATACGCGAAACTAACGATATCAGTTCTGATGGTACGAGTACACTTACTTAAATATCGGTAAGATGCTGCAGCTTCTGCTCTAATCTCAGCATTAAATAAATATTTCCACTCACTTTCATAATACTCTTGACTCGACGGATCATAATAATTTAGAGGCTGCCATATGCAAATGGTGCAATTTTACAAGTTATCACAAATAATCAATATAAGAAGTAGATGCGACAAATGCATTGCATAGCTACCTTTAATAAAGACTTTCGAAACTGGCTTGAACACCAGGATCCCAACTCTGTTTTTACATTAGGCAATCTATATATCTTATTGTCGGTATCATCATCACTACTATCTGAATTCTAAAAAAAAATGTATAAGCAATGAGCACTTCCACTTGTCAAAGTTTATTGTATTTTTTTCTTACCGATGGGCCTCGACCAAAAACTGTTCTTTTGTTTGAGAATTGCTGAGAATGAGGTAGTATATCAGTTATTGGCATTTGCGGTTGTGATTGACTACGTTCTATACCCCTAAAAGAAATTTATTATTTAAATTATAATATAATAAATTTATACCAACAGTCTAATGAGAAATTATTTAGAATAACGTACTTGCTGAATTTTTTAGCGTGTAGTGCACTATCATCCAATCCACCAATATCTGTAGAAACTGATTCGCTTACCCGTAAGCTACCAGTTGGGCTTGAGCTACCAGCAGTAATCTAGTGATATAACGAAGTAATGAATAAAACAAATTTTAAAGGGATTCTTATATAAAACACTAATGCCAGTATTTTATACCTTGATCATAAGGTAGTTACAAAGTTCCTTTCCTAGATCGCTAATTTCCGGAAAAGGATCATTAAGCAACGTAATCAAAGCCTACAAGTGTAGTCAAGAAGGTGAAAGTTTATTCATGCGCTAAAAAATTGATACGCTGTATGACCATACAGTTTTCAATACTCGTTACACATACATACCCTCCAAACCATATTATATACACTTCTAGGTGGAAGTGACAACAAACGCTCGAGCGCGGGATGGTAATCACCAGTTGTAGCTGGCGATAAAGAATTATTTGACTGACTCATAAATAAACGAGATCGACGTGATTGCTGAGAATGGGAGCTGTCAGTACTCTGATGCAGCGTCAGACCAGTATTTTTATTTGGAACCAAAACCCGTCCACCAGGTGCTCCAGGGCCACTTTGGTTGTTACGGTTTTTATCTTTCTCACTCTCAACTTCTCTTACCAATTTCGTAGCTGTGGATATGAAATATGATTCAAATTCCAATACAAATCCAGATAATGCAACAACAAGTTCCTATCCATCAGATTGATCAAAAGAATAATCATGTTAGACAATCTTGAGATTTGTTTGACTATTACTAAAGTTTTAATATTTACTCCTGCACCTTTCGCACTACCGGACTGCCATCCCTTACACATGCTGCCAATGTCATTCCAATTCCTTGATCAATGTTATCAGCTTGGCCATTACGATCGTTTTTATTACTTACGAATGTACCCAATGCATACACAACACTTGCTCTAACCTGATTAAAAAAGGTATTTAATTCTTTCTTCATGGTGTTATTATTATTCAATACGTGCATATTATGATGATAATATATTTAAATCAGGTCCATTAGTTGATCAACTAGTTATCTAGTATACCTCAACACATTCATCGGCAAGTAAATGAGATAACTTCTCGTACGCGTTATCTCTAACGGCACACCATCTAGCCGGATCATACCCATTCCATTCATATCCTAAACATAGTACTACCCACTGACGCAATAAAGGGTTTGGGTCATCTAGCAACTCGGTGCATATAGCAATAATATTGCTTTGTTGAGCTGCCTCCTACATATTATTAGTTAAAAAATTTCAGTAAGCTATTGTTCTATTACAAGCTCAGAGGCAACTAACTTAATATATCACAGAGCGACATTATGTAATCCTAACTTAACACCATACCTTTCCTGTAGGATAATCTTTAATTACCATAGCTATTATATAAGCAGCCATAGCTCTATCCTTTGACTACGAAAGGCCAACAATAATTAATAATAATAACAAAATTAGGAATTAAGAGCAAGCAGGATAATACCAACCGGCATTTGAGAATCTGCCAGAATTTGGAGAAAGTATTTATAAGCACCGTCCTTTACTAAATCAACCTGGCAACTCTATTACGCGTTAGTGTTATGGAAATAAACGAAAGAATACAAAATATAATTTTAAAAATATTGCAGAAGCAATAGTATTAACATAATAAGAAATGATATTCTTAGATTAATAGGGAGCTATTGACACATAAATTTGTGATACATACAATATCGTGAGCTAAAATCTTTGTCCAAATAAATAACATCCGCGGTTTTAGTTCTCTAGCAGAACTTTGAAGAAGTCGCAACACATACGGGAAAATGCCAACCGAAAGGGCCTACAGTTATTACGTAAGAATAAGATACCATTAGTACATCGAGTAGCAACTTGATATATTACCAATAAATAGTAGCTAAGGATTTTAGGTATACATACCAGTTCTACAGCCCATACGCCGAAATCGAGAAACTTTCCTAACAAGTCAAGAGCTCGAATTCTGTGAATTTGACTCAACAAAACCTAAATATAATAAAAAAATTCGATTATAATAAAATATACCTACTACATTTCCATAGCGATGTTCAGTAGAAAATTTTTAACATTCAAATTAATTTCAAACCTGTAGAACAACCGGTAATTGCTCAGGAACATTGCGTTCTTTCGATCCTAACGCTAACCACACTTGGAATGCTGTAAGTTGATCCTCAAAGAATGTGCTATGCTACAATTACCACAATAAGAATAGGCAAGTAAGGATATTTTTAACTTCAGTATAAGTATAAATCTTAGTAGATCAAGTGAAATAGTAAATATCATCAAAGATACTCAATTTACCGCAAATTCTTCTCCATTATTGATAATAGATGGTAATTGAGATAGACATCGATCAAGGACTAAATCCCATGTATACCTAAAGCAATCAACGGAAACTACTACTTACAATACATCTATACAATATACAGTTCATGCCGGTATATAATGTTATTTGCAATCTTTAACGCCAATCCAAATTTTAGACTAACCACATTGGGTGACTGTGAGTACTTGGTAATTTCGGATGTGACGTCGGTGAACAATTAAAAGAACGCATTATCCTTTCAGCCAAAAGAAAATTTCGAAATAGACTTGCAACTAGCAGATCTTGGCGAAATAACTTCTGAAATATTTCTATATATTCAAAGTTATAATAATTTTCAGTTTGTTTCAAAAAATAACATTCACGCATTTTATTAAAAATAGCCTAAAGCAAACATACTAGTAGGAAGAACATTCCAAGCGATCGTATCAGTTACAGCAGTAAATATCCAGTTTAGTTCTCCAATCAGTGTTCTTCGGTCGTTCAATTTTCCTGGAATTCTTTTTATTTCAAAATATGATACAATTGTAAATATTATATTCTCTACACAATATAACAAGTAATACATAGCTTACTTTTCGATCATTTCTAAAGTTATATTAGGTACCAAAAGGTTGTTATTATTTATGCAAAACCTATTAAAGCATGAAGATATCAGAAGCAAGACTTAGTGTATAGTACACTTGCCAATTGCAACATTGGTTTCTATTACATTATCTGATATTATATCAAGTACTAAATTGATTTTGATATTGACCAAAGTTCTACATTACCATCTTAGGGCTGTTTTAATTGGAGTTGTAAGGCATGATGTAAATAAATCAGCTGGTAAATCTGGATTTAACGGTAATACTTCATTGGAGCTACAGGAAGCCATGTGAATACAATTATCTAATAAAGTAACTGATATATCTGAGTCGCTTTCACCCTATATATGAACAATTAAAAATAAAGCATTAAACACAGCTAAATAAAAAGCTGGTAAATACAGAAAGGAAGATTAGTTAATGGACCAATAACTTAAATTGTAGAGTAATAATATTCATGATAGTGGACCAACAACTATTTTTTACACTTACAGGACTTTCCTCACGTCGTTGCTGACAAAAAAGTAAGTAATGGTCAATAATAGCACCTACAATAGGTAAAATAGAGAGATACAGATATTATTGTAAATATAGCATGTGATAGATACTATTCATTATACTATTGATGTTTACTATGATAATCATTGAAAGTAATTTATACTATACAATACCATTAAATAATAATTATAAGTGAAATAATTTGAAAAGGGCAACTACCGCATAATAGATTGTACGATCAAAACTTACCGGCATTAGAACAATCATAAGTAAAAACAGTAGGACCAGCAATCCAACTTTGCAGATCATATATCGATAATGGAATATACTGCGTGTAGTTCTATATTTTTAGATCAGTCAACAGCAATACGACGTATCCTTAAATTAATTTCAATTTTTTATAACTCAAAAGTAAGTTTATTGTATTACCTTATTGAAAACCCATATTTCACCATTTTGAGTAGGTCGAGGTACTCCATGCCCATTATAATGAAACAGTACCCTATCATCCTAATTAAAGTACGGTAGGTCAAGATATAGATACGTCTCTGCCTGTACAAATTAGATTACTGTATGCTATACATAAAAAGGGTATTTCAATTTTTTAAGGTTCTCGCATTGCATCGCCTTACCTTAGCATTGCGCCGCAAGGAGAGACACAATTTTTTGACTTCCTCTACCGTAGGATCCAAACTCTGCTTATAGCGTGCCTATAGACGACGCGAAAAAAATTCTGCTTAATTAATTTTAAAACTTAACAACAAGTTGTACTTTTTGAATACCGTTTGGAGAAAATACCTGTTGTATACAGTGTTCTAAAAATGGACTAATTTTCTAGTATTTACTCAGCAAATTACAAAGTTTTTGAAGCATTGACATAATTTTAACAATATAACACAACTTTGGCTGAGATATATGACATTTCCTATCAAAAAATCATTCAATCGTTCTTATTCTGTACCTTGGGCTGCCATCTTTCATACTGTTTCTGTAAACTATTACCGACAGCTTCAAGCGATTTATTAGGATTCATCGTTAGGGGATCTAAAAAAAGAAATCATTCTCAAGCATGCATATGATAAAGCTATAATTAAAGACCTTAAATAGCCGAACATTTGCAATGTATCAATACTACACTTAATAAATAAACTTGTGTACCTAGCCAACATTCTAGTCGTGCACAAGGAGTAGGCTTGATAAGATCGGGAGGATCAACACCAACATTCAAGCATAATACTAATGCTACACTTACAGTTTTCATCTAAATAGAAGGTTTTCATTTAATTCATTCAGTAACGCTTTACATAAGAAAGTAATTACTGTCAGTTTAGTTAACTATTTCTTTTTGGCTTCGCTGTAATGGTAATAATGATACGCGTATATTATCACTGAGCTTTAGATCAGCCGAATTGGGAGTCTCAACACACAGTAAGATCCTTCTTATATAGTAACTGGAGTTATATATAATTAGACCAAGTTAATCGATGTAAATGAGTAGCAGAAGGTTGGCGTTGAAAGCGATTATTCCTTTGGGTTTGAAAGAGCTATGTCGTACCTATACAGTAATTCCTAATGGCGAGTAATACACGTTATCGCCCACTGTATTCGTATGTATAGAAATGATAAGGTGGATAAAATTACGATAGATAGTCTAGTATTATTAAACCTGCTCAAATCGAATAATTACATACTACCTGTAACCGACCAAAGCATTGCCGTATTTGTAATGTATCAATCTTTACAAAAAGTAAACTGGATAAAATGATGATAGATCGATAATCCAGTTAGCCTAGTCCAATCGATTGTGATATTGTAAAGAATATAAGCAGGGTACTGTATCATGTTGAATCATGTTGATTTACAAGGATTAACGGCACAGATGGTAGAAATAAAGTATTTTTAACGATCGTCATTACCAATTAATTGAATAAACCAAAGTAGAACTGTTGACGTATTCGGTGTGCTTATGTGTTTATGGTTTACTTTGTAGGGGAAAAAAAAGAGTAATTAACCTAATTGATTACATATCCCATTTTCGATCTATCCGGCAATCCTTTTGTACTCTACTCCATCTACTTGTAGGTGCTATGTTCATCTTGTACATGACAACTAAAATATCACGTTGATGTCCGACTTTTAGGGTGGAGATGAGTAGGTACTGTCGGTTTGCTGTATAGTATAGCAACAAGACAAGCATCTACTCGTCCGTCGTTGTACCAGTCAGGATTTTTCAATAATTCATTATTATTATTATAATAAACAACGAATGACGATCCATGTAGAATTGACTGATGGCATTGATCCTTTTGACTGTAAGAGATTGTATTCCTTGGTATTGCTAATAAGTTTGCAACAATTTACTGTATTGTAATCGGTGAAAGTGCTGGCATGATAGCCACAATCCGATGATGATTACACCATTTGACTACATTGTAGGAATAGTGTCAACACAAACTCAAGGTGGGTATTACAGCACTTAAAAGTTGCATTATTTTGCTTATTGAATGGATCGATGTTAGCCCATTTTATAGCGCATTTGATACAACTCCCACACTAGCCCTTTAATCCATGTCGATCATTCATAATCACACTATACTATCCATGATGGCTTACCCTCTCAGTCATCTTCCAAGATTTCTCCAGCATTTTTAAACCTCGGACATCTTCAGTATGCCGTGGCTGATTGAAAAATATGGGTACGTTAAAATCGCGTAGTTCATTGCCTTCATCTTCTTCCATCTTGTCCACTTAATAGGGATCGATCCTACCAGGATAGAATCACTTTTTCTCCAAGATACAGTATTCACTCCAGATTATAAGCCTCGATATATCGCATAGGAAAAGAATTGAATACCTTGTGTTAGTCCATTCAAGGATTTCTATTTTGCATGGCCATTGCTTTCCATTGGCTTGAGTAAAATGTGATCAGGCTGTCTGATACCCAACAGTAGGGTTTTACCCAAGGCAGGCAGGCACGACAAGTGTTTGTCTGTACGTCTGTAACCACCGTACTGTACGTACACTCGTACAGTACGGTAGGAGAAGTTATTTTTACTACCGTTACAGTACCGTGCTGCAGTACTTGTATTGTAAACCTACAGTATATTGTACTGTGCAGTACTGTACCAGCACCAGGAGCCACATTCCAATGATGACTGGTCACAAGACTTTTAGAATATTATGGTAGACTTTGACCCGAGAGCTGCAGTCGAGCAGTAATCTTAGTCATGCCATTGCTTTCTCTTATGCTACCCCATTAGGTGCAGTACAACAGGTTAGAGTGTATTCTTGAATTGATCATGAGTCAGATTCAAGGTAATAATATTTAATATTTACTTACTAACTGAGAAAATATCAGTCAATTCAAATCGACCGTCTACTGTATATACTACAATACTGGCATAACCAAGTGTTTGGCACAATATTTTGGCTGGAAATGTCTGTCCGTCTAAGCGTGACACAGTCATGAACTACAGTAGTACTAGATGTACTGTACACATTGTACTGTACAGTACAGCTGTACAGTACTGTCCAGGTAGTCCAATTTCCATACTGTACTGTATAGAGATTGGACTACCTGGACAGTATTGTACCGAAATTGGGATGAGTACTGTACAAAAATACTGTACAAAAATATACTGTAAATCGAGTCCAGCGATGGCGGGAAGACATTGGCAAAATAGTACTAGTACGCAATCAACGCTGTATTCTCTGTCTATCGTCCTATTAGAGACAAGGAGTTGAGTGGTCAAGTACCGAAAAAACAGAAGTCAACGACGTACTGTACGGACGGATGTTCCCTAGCCTTGCGTTCCAAGCTTGCCACTACTAACTCATACAGTCTATTGGACACGGTTCAAGGGTTTGGTAACACTCCCTCATTTGAATGAACTGGAAGTTGGGGCTTGCATGCCGCTGTTGCAGTAAAGCAAAAATCAAGCGGGAGTAAACAGTAAGTTTGCACAATATTATCCATGCTGATATTACTTTGAGACTAGAAAATGACGGTAAATTTCCATAGTAGCTACTGTCTTTAATATCAGTAAAGATCAGGGTGGACTTCCATTTGTAAAAGGGTAAGACGTAGACAGTATCTGTTCCACTTTGTTGCTTGCCGCCATTTTGGGCCAGGGGGGCAGCAAGACATAAAGGTAGTCAGTCCATGATCCACAGCAATGGAAACGATTGAATTCTTTCATTTCTTTATATATCGAGGTCAATGGAGTTGGTAATTATGAGCCAGAATTAGAAAACTATGCCAATGCTTGTGTACATACTTTCTTTTCTTAAGTGCGATTTCGTCATTAGCAGATGTCCAAATGTGCGAGCTAAGTGTGGACGAGATGCGTACCAGCGCGTCACTGTAGCTGAAGTTACCTTGGTCACCGAATTGCACCTACTGTAGTGCACAGGGTTGCATTTGGAAACCATGACATAGTTTGAACGGACCAAAATCAATCTTTCCCATCATCTTCATCATATTAATACATCGACAACCGTACAAGTCATAGAGCTCCCATATTAAAATACTACTTGGACTTACACCTACCTGTTCTGTATTGAGGAGATTGCCTATTTTCCAATCTTGACAGTTATAAATACCTTGTAATGGCTACCCTTACAGCCTGTTGCTTTTATAGTTTGCATTGATATTGTTTTCTAATTACAATTTAATCTACAAGGAATAGTATCTCCTCCTAACTACCAAAGACTAAAGTACTGTATATATACTCGTATATCACATAATCACAAACAATACTATAGTTATCAACAATCATACTTGTGGTCACACTTACAACAAAACCATTCAAAATCTTTATGATTTATACAGCCACATCCAAGACACTACAAATATCCACACTCATACCAGACATTATCATGACTTAGCAGAATTATTTATAAATAATCGTTATCCTCTTTTTACTTGCTGGGTTACTTTCCAACCCATACGTGTAAATAAAGATCGAAAGCTTCTGTAATCATTATTACAGCAATGATAACGACAAGCAAAGTATAGCATCAGAGTAAAAAGTTATTACGGTTTTTTATAGGCTAGTCATCAACGCGTAGTACTAGTGCTCCATACAATCCTATTGTTGATTGTTTAATGGCTTTTCATCTCAATTCTGCTGTAATTACAAGACAAATAGAATTCAGTATCCGACGAAATTTTGCCGATAATTAATGAATCAATTAACAATGGTAGGTTTTATATGTGTATAACGTGTCTTTGTTTATTGACCTTATTTAGGATAGACTACGGCATGTCCTTCAATTGTGTCTAATTTGTACAACGAGCAAGTAGAGAGAAGTTCTATAAATGCTGCTGCAATTTCAGGAGTGGCCCAACTTGAATTTAAAAAGTCTAGCTTCTGCTTGAACTCACTATGGAAGATAACAATATTTTGATTACCACTTACTTTACTGCACCGAAAAAAAAGAAAAGTAACACTGTTACCGTCGTTAACAATCAAGATGTAAATTTAAACCTTCAAGAGCAATGCATTCGTAGCGAAACACCTGACAAGAATAAAATTCATCCAACGATTAGAAATCAAAACAAGGCAACTGTTGAGAAAGTAGAGCTCGCACAGGATAGTTCACTAGTGAAAAATACATCTTTAATGGCTACCCGTAAAAGAAAAGCTACCATTTCCGATGATGTTACGGAGCCATTGCCTCAAGAGCAAGTTGCCAACTTACAAATAGATGAAAATAATCCTACCTTTAAACACTTTAGCCCTCTTAAAGTAGAAATTGATTTAGCACAAGAATCATGTGACTTAGATAAGTCTCTATTAAGCACCAATAACACAAGTACAGTAAATTCTCTTAAAATTACATCAGATTTAGCTGAGATGGCTACATTGAGAAGAACAACTCGCCTACAAAGTAAACGAGCGATTTCGTCACAAATGGACGCGGTTAATTTTATAGGAACAAATCATCTACCTCGAAATGGATCACATGAAATACAACCAATAAATAAGAAAAGTAACGCTTCAAGACATATGCCATTTAAGCAACAAACCATTACCTTTTCCGCCATCGATACTTTAACAAAATCCCTAAGATCACGTAAGGATAGACAACATATTGGCGATGAAAACATGCAACCGAATTATGATAATGTAGCCTATAATAAAGCTAACGACAATTCCGTCAATGGATCAGTCACGCCTGCTACTGAACTCATCTCAAAGCCCAATCCGTGTAAGCTTGCAAGCAGTTACCAAGGAAATGCAACAGCAACTACAGTAATAGAGAGATCAGTACTCCAGAATGAATGTAAAACCGCAAGTGGTCAACTTATAGAGGAGCTAGCAGCGCCACCTATCATCCTAAATACTGGAGATCACTGCAATAAAGAAATTCAAACGATGGAGATAGGGAAAGAGAAAATTGATACAACCCCGAAAGATAAATTATGTAGTAAAGGTAAATACACATTGGTATCGTTTGAGATGAAATACCTATCTTTGCATTTACCGATATGTAGTCACATGATGTAGCAATATGGCATATAAATATGAATTTTTATTTAGACGTCAAGCTGGCGCCAATATTCCTACGAACAAGAAAGAAAGACAAGAATAATGATGTAACGATACAGAAGCAAACATCAAATAATAGTGTAAGTCAACCTATCCAGAACACTGTAGTAGCGAATGACAAAATACCTGGGTCTAATATACCGGAAAGCCATACGGCTAAGAAGGTTGTAACGAATGCTTTTGAGAGATTGATCAGCAGTTCGAAAGAGATTGGTAAGTCATGTTATGGTATTATGCATATAATTTTTAGATTATCTTGATCCTATTAAGAAATAACTGGTAGCCTACTGATTCCACATAGGAAATTGTAAAAGAAATACAATAGAAAATATAGAAAACACAGTAATATCTACTTCAATAACCTCCTTCCCTACCGTAAGTCATGTTCGACAACAAGAAAAGGACAATTGGTTATGGCATTTGCCCAAAGTAGATATAGAAAACTTATTCGTTAACATTAAGACTCCAACCGTTACAAAGGATGAGACTTGCAATGGATTATCACTAAAAACTCTATCGTCTTCGTTAACATTTCCAGACTATGTCTCTGAGCGGATTAAAAACCTAAAACCTAGAAAGCAGGAGGTCAGTATCTTATTATTCGACATCGGCTGTATTCTAAAATTATTACTTACAAAATTTTCAATCCATCATCTATTAATTAATGATACGTTTAGGCGCTGACACATCCTGTTACACCAGTAAATAAATCTTGCCTTATACCTGCTTTGCACAAAATTAAAGAAGCTTTTCCAGATATAAATATAGATAAATTATTTAGCATGTATATGAGGAAGAAATCTGTAAACCAAACCGGTAATGTAAATAATCCAGATACGCAGGTACTTCAATACAAGAATAAAGGTAATTTAAGCCCTTCCAAAATATCTGCAAAAACAATTAAGAGAACCTCTTTAGTTGTTGATAGTCACCCAATGACTAAGCGATCTAAAGCCAATCCAACAACATCTTCTCAACGGAAAATAGCAGATTTTCCAATCACAAAGTCTTTTGGGTTACAACATTGCGTCAGTTTAAAGGAAGAAAGCAATATGAAGCCGATTCCAGATCGAAATGTTGGTAAATCTGGAGAAAAAATAGTCGATGAAATGGTCAGTAGCAACAAAATGCTAGTGAGCAATACCACAGAGAATTCTAGTAGAAAGGATAAAAAGAAGCACAATAATGGCACTCAGACCAAGATTTTTCAACTCTTTTTAAAGCAACCTTTACAGAAAACTACATCTCTTAGCCAGTCATTAAGTGAACCAAAGATTGATGCCTCAGCAAAGTCAACAGTTAATCCATCTACTTACACGAGTAATGGTGACTCTCATATAAATCGATCGCCAGAAATAATCGCCACTAATCCAATATTGCAAGTAGCCGACAGCAACGATTTGCGTGAAGTTAGTAGATCCGCGAATGATAGGGCCATGATGCTCAACGCAGTCACAGTAAATTTGACAGATGAAGGGGAAGGGAACAGTAGAACCAGTAAGGAAGTAATAGAATGTATTACGGTAGACCTAGAAAATCGCGATATTAAAGCAGATTCAGGAAAAGACGGCGAAACTGAAAGCATGGATGCTAATGTTGATAAGCTACCTAAACCTGGAAATACGAATAATAATGGCAAAGCTCAAAATAAACCTTTTGCTGGTCCAGTCGCAGATACGTTATGGACTGAGAAATATCGTCCTCGAAACCATTCAGAAATGATTGGTAATAAAAAAGTAGTAAACAAATTTTATAAATGGCTGAAAATTTGGAAAATTAAACTAAATGACTTTAACGTTAAAAGCGAAAAACATGGTAATAACTAATGATTTTTAACAATAGCTAATTATGGCAAGGTTAAATTTATAGCATTAAAATAAGAAACCTTGATGCCTAGGTAATTACTCGAAAAAGCAACCATCACGCGCTTGGGATAGCGAAGAAGATGATGATTTTCAGACTGAATCCTTGAGACAACATATAGATGAAATTTCCTACAATTACAATACTATGTTACTATCAGGACCTTCGGGAAGTGGAAAAACAGCTACCGTATATGCATGTGCTGAACAATTAGGAATGCAAGTATGAAGAAATTATGTGCTATCATCGTAATTTTATTATACTATACGACATTATTTTCTGGTACTAATATACATAACGAACATTATTTATCTAGGTTATTGAAGTTAATGCGTCTTTTAAGCGCTCTGGTAAACTTATTATGTCACAGCTTAGAGAAGCTACACAGTCGCATCAAGTAAACTTTACTCCGAACTTAAACGATAAAGTAGATAGTAAATCGGACCCTAAAAATCTTAAAAGTAATCCTGTTGTCGGAAAGAAAGTAAGCAAGAAAGATTCCAGCAGCAATCTAATAACTTCGAAACCTAAAACGCCCTCGTCTGAACTAAAGAAACTCAGTATGACAGTAATACTTTTTGAAGAGGTTTGAAAATTTCTGTTACATAACATACGATAATGGTACGCGTACAACAAAACAAGAATAGTAATTACTGTATGCGTATGATAATAATAAAATCATACATTTAAAACACGGTTTAGGTTGACCTTTTATTCGATATTGACGAAGGTTTTTGGTCCGCTGTAAATTCTTTAATGGAAAATACCAAAGTTCCAATCGTTTTAACATGCAGTGGTAATATTCAATGCAATTTTTGATTATTTGACTTTATGTTAACATCCGTTGACGTTACTTCGTCTTTTGCAGATACAGCGTTATTACACAATCTAAAACTTCCGTATGGTCATCTTATATATAACGCACCCTCGAATGTATGTCTCTATACTTCAATTAGTTCTTAATTGTATACATCAAACCTTATTTTATGATGTTCTATCGATAGAATTTAGTGGCTGTCAACATGCAAGTAATGTGTCTTGTTGAAGGAGCTGTAACCGATAAGAAGGATATCATCACAATTTACCGAGAATGTAAATTTGATATTCGACGTACTTTACTTGCGCTACAATTTTGGATTGAGCATCCATTACTTGACTATAAAACTGATATGATGGACAATGACAAAAACTCCAAAGTCAAATCTACAGACTGTCATAGTTTGGAAACTCTGGATAGCAATGTGAATAACCCGATAGATAGCACCAATACCACAGTTGATCCAGCTTCATTTCCGCATACTTTCCCTAAAAATATTGATAATTTGATTGAATGTCACCTTGGATTGGCTGAATTTAGAAAATTCTTCAATCATTTTCTTGACAATTGGAATAATACTAACGAAATATCGTCCCAGGGATGTTCGACCTGTTATACAACTACATGTATACAATCGCGAAATTTACATTTATCGTATTGTAACTGTTTACCTTTCATCGCTGCTTATTCTACTACCGCGTTATGTGCAGATCTAGATGCTATTAATGAAAATAAATCAACTGACGCTGATATAAGCGATTTACCAGTAACCAGAGAAGAATCTTCGACTCATAGCTCCTTACCATCTAAGGACTTTGAGAGAAAATCTTTAGCCATAATGACTGATTTTCTTGTAAATAATTCCTTCATGGATTCCGGCCTGCTGACTTCTTCGACTTGTAAAGATTTCGACGAGGAAATGAACGACATTAATAATTCCATTAGGGATAGCCTTGAATCTAGTTTTGAAATAAATGAAGGTGATGTGCTCGATTTATATAATGCACAAGTTAACTATGAAATCAGAGAAGCAATTGAATCAACTAGTATTGAAGCTTGCAGTATCAATCTTAAGACTGCCTTCGAAGACTCATATCGAAAAGGTATTACCATTGTTCGAATGTAATACTACTTGCTGTATTATCATTATTCAATACGAATACGATACACATTTCGAAATAAGTAAATACCTCTCTGACGAATGATACCATACAATAATCCAATAAAGCATTAATACAGTATTGCAAATTTTTAATTACTCTCTTGTATACTAGGCATCGATGCATGTAATCTGTCAAATTCTGAAAATTTTTATAGTAACGATTTGCGGCTATCTCCTGATTATGTGGAAAAATTAAGGTTAAATACCTTTGATAGTTTTACAATATTCTTCAAGTTTCTTATCTAACACAGTCCCCTTCGACTTTCTATTTAAAGGAATAGAACGATTTGGTGCGTGTACATGAGATTTCACCTACCTTTCTACCAAACTCTCAACTGTTAAATCGACGGGCTATTGCTATGGATTATTTGCCGTCATTACGTACTATTCTACAATCAGAAGATATTCGTAAAAAGACAAGCAAGAAAAGAAGGTATTTAATAAACTCTTTATGGATATCGTTAGATTTATGAGATACAAAAGTTTAATATTTTCGCATATTTTCTTTTATAGATTTTATCATTACTGCAAATATATATCCCTCGGTATCAATGAAGCTGGCATTAAACATTTACTAGATACATCTCTGTCTTCCCGATTTTCCAATATTGACTAAGCTGCGTGTTTTGATTTCACTGTTCGATAACCATAGGTAGACATATGGCGTTAAAATTTTTAAGGGCAGCGTTACTCAATCTACTAATTCGACATAACTAACTGAATTATTATTTAAAAATTTTTTATTCATTACTAATGTATTAAATAAATTCTAATAGCATGTTATTCTACATCAAAATAAGGTATGCAAAAATTGATCTAATCAATTCTTTGTGTATTCTTAACTCGATTGCATTTCTTCTCGTTTGATGCAATCATATCTTTTTTAAACTTTGTGCATATACGATATTCTAATAGCTATTACGTAAATGATTGTTGAATATTTAAATTATTATTGAAACAAATCTAGCTTCAAGATCAATTTCGTGATGTTCATGTCATGTGGTTTATATCATTAATATAGTGTGCAGTCAGTATTCTATATTAACTAAACTCAGGTGTACTGTATTATATGGAAGATACAATTGATATTATGATTATCGTAACAAGTCTTTTGACAAACTCTGTTTCCTATGAAATTTTCTATTGAGTAGATAATAACCTCTCCGGTAACCTTAACCGAAGAGTTCCTAGCTTTATAATAGCACGAAGAGATGTTATCAAGATTTAAAAGCATTTATTGCGATAACGAAAATGTTAACAAATAAAGATGTATGATTTATAATTATTTAACTTTTTATTGAGCCTTTGGAAAAATTCTATTATAATCATTATTCAATAAGAATATCTAAAATAATCTTGAACATTTCATAACCAAACTTGTAATTAGTACACATATAGATCCAATGTAAAGTGGTAAAATTTTAGTCAATTCATATATGGTACAGGACGCATCTACATTATAACAGCATTTAGAAAGCTTACAATTACATCGACGTCTAAGCCCTTACAACTTTCGTTTATTCATCTTAACTGGGAAAGAAATAGGCAACGACGATTTCGACTAGTAGATTATACTATCTAGGTAACGTAGTATAATTAGTAATTGTTCAGTAAAATCACAATATGTCAATCGACGCACCTAATATATTCGTTACCTTTCGTAAATTATCTAACAGTCTAATGACTTACAATGTTGATAATACTCACACTTGAAGACTGTTTCAAGTATTTATGTTAATAATTCGTGTACTTACACGATATAATTTCATATCGTAAAATAAATTCAAATCCAAATCTATTACATTAAGTAATAACTACATTAGATAAAGGTGAATTAAGAAGGCAACCAGTAGACGATTGTCTAATTGTACTGTACGTTCGACCACTTGCATTGGAATGTCTAGTTCAACTATAGTTGGACCAAAAAAATATCAATTTGGTTTGAATGCTTTGCACATAAATATAAAATGCTATTCGATGAACAAGAGTTAAAGTTATTATACTGAGTTATAAATGGAATAATTTATTTGTTTCATGTACAAAGTCAAGTATAAATAAAAAGTAGACACTATACACTTGCTAATAACTATAAAATTTTTTTAATATGATTCATTCTTATAATCCTATAAAACGTAAGATTCCAAAATTCTTCATGTTACAGAGATAGCTGGTCAAAATTATATAATTATAATTGCCATTCCAAGCTAAAACATCGATTATTGCTAAACCTACTATAAATATAGCGAAAATAAATTATTCTAAGGTAGTTATCATCTTTCTTATAAAATTTACAAAACTTCTAATAGCGTGTAAATATAAAAATATATTCGCACTAACAAAGTTAGATTAGATAGCATCAACTTTAATTTCGTAATTTTGGAAATTCAGGAAATAAGTCATCGTCATCTGAATCTGAATCACCACCTAAGTGCTTCCACCATGGCTCTTCTAATGCCTTTAAATCTGCTTGGACTTCCTCTTGTGCTTTTCGAACAATCGGTTGAGAATAACATGTAAATTTTTCTAAATCTTCAGGTTGAACTTCAGAAAGGCTTGGGGCCTCATTTAATAATTCAGTTTCTGTTTCAATTCTAGCAACTAAAGCATCCATTTCATATTGTTTACGCCGCCAATTGGGCAAAAACGACCAATAATGTGTCAATATATCTTCGATATCATATAGCATCTCTTCGATTTCTTCTTGACTTCTTTCGACTTCTGAATGCTGCTTTTTAAACTTTTCAACAATAGTCATCAATTCAGTTCGACGTTGATCATCTAAACCGGGTGGCATTAAAGATTCTTTGGCAGCGGCTTGAAGTTTTCTTGAGCGTAATCTATCAAGAAATTTCCTAGCGCAACGTTGAATAGTACGAGCGGCTCGCCACTGGCGCAAATTTTCTGATTCGATTTTAAATTTTCGTCTTGCAACCAATCCACGCCAAACTGATTGAATTTTCGTAGCTGCTAACATTTCAGATTTGGTAAAATATTCGGCCATCTTAGCAGCTGGTATAGCATTTAAAGCCTGCAATTGCCTCTCTTTCGATTTCAACATATCTTTCCTTTTTCTTATATCCCTTTCTCGCTTAGCTACTTCCACTTCTTTGTCTTGAATACGTTTAGCAATCTTATCTTGCACACGCTTACGAATTTTCTGTTGCAATTTTGTCATGGCTTGTTGTGCAGATTTCAACTTTTTTCGTTCTTTATAGCCCTTAAAGGCTGATTGTATGATAGTAGCAGCATGATTGATACGATATTCATGAGCACTTTTAGCACTACCACTATCTAAGATATAAATGAATTGCTTTAATGCATTGTCGAAACCTCTACCTATCCATCGATTTACTAATTGCTTGAGACCCTTGTAACGCTCATATAATGTTAAGGATATATTGGAATTATCTTCAATAATTGTCAATAATAAACGAGTAATTGTACTAGCAATGACGATCTCATTTGTTGTTGTAAGTTTATAAATTAATTCGTCCATAATATTGTTAATATCATCCTCTTGTAATTCTTTACATATTCCTGGACGAATCGATATAAAATTGGTTATAATTGAAATAATGGTGCTTGCGGTATCATTTTCGCCGGACATGAGTAAAGCGATATAACTCTTAGCTTGTAAAACAAACAATGCTAGCCACGAGTGAGCACTAACTAACCAGATCATTCCATCTAATACTATTCGAAATGCCCTAGTGACCTCTATACGAATCTCCATGGATTGTGCTTTGGATTGGTGAACATCTTTATGTACTATATTGGCTACTTTTAATAACACTTCAGCAGCATATAATACAGCTTGTTCGAATTGATTGGCTTGATCCTGATCTTGATCAGGTTGTAAAACAGAGCAGATATCGCAAACTAATTCCACAATCTTCGCCACTGAATTCCATTTCCCATCTACCTCCTTATAATCACTATTTAATAGCGTTGAAAAGCAAACATCCAGTAGACCAAGCTCAAATGCATCATGGCGTAATTTTTGCGCAGCGTTGCTAGGTGCATCATTCAGCTTTTGCTGCAACTCCAACAGTAGCTGGACGACCTCTTGATCGCCTGCATCGACAATATTGGCGGCAATGCGTAAAATGTTGGAATTATCAATCGTTTTGCTCGATTTTTCAGCCATTTTTCATGCTTTCATGCTTGATGATAGTTGCAATCTAATCAGTTACCTTTTAATTCTTGACTACGTTTTTTACGATAACTTTTACTTCTCCTCAAATTAAATTGATCCAATTCTCGCGCTGTTTGCCTTGAAACTTCCACTCGCCATTTCGATCCGTAGCTCTAAAGTCCACTTAATCGTCCTGCAACTTAATACTATAGTTCTCTCAGTGGTGTACACGTAATAGTACAGTACTAGACTATGGTAACTATAGAAACTGTAAAATTCAGTACTGTACTCTATTCTACTCCACTTGGTACGCTCTTTAATGAGTTAGTTAGTCACGTCTTATTACAATATGACCCTAACGAGGCAGTACCCTTATTACAGTATGGTAACTAAAACAAGTGGAGGATTAGCCAGGCCGGCCGGCGCTTTAGTCGCCAGTCGAGCCCATGGATAAAGACATCGGGTAAGAAAACGGAAATAATTCCATCACTGTACTGTAGGTAGTATAGAATGATTGAAATATATCCTATAACACGTTTGGGATCCATCTAAACGCCTACTGCTATCACCACTTCAAAAATGTAGCTATACTTAATGAAATGATTGCATGGCTAGCGCTAAATACAGGTTCAATGGGAGTGTACAGCTGTAATAACTTTAAAACGTGCCCGACGAGATATTGTACTTAGTTTGGGTAGTTTTCTAATACATTCCTATTTCCAGATGTTAAATTAGCACTCATCATGCTATGTAGTCCACGATTAGTTTACTCTACTGAGACTTCCCTACAAGCTTAAACATTCCTAAGGAGCTGATTCATTAAGGATTTGACTTTGAATCTGCACGATGAGCAATAATGTTTTGCGCATCAGTAGATTTAATATAGTAGATGTTAAGCGTTAATAGTATAATATAATCATAAATCCAGTGTAGCCAGGAACTAAATTAACCTTAGTTAAAGATATCATTAGTCTACAGAACACATAACCATCATAACAAAATAGACTACGCTAAAAAAAAACTACGCCTGTAAAGGTTGTGTTTAATCCAGGTATTGCTACTAAATTTCTCGATAGTCTCAGATCACAACTGAAACATAAAATCAAGCTATTAACGTTATTTAATAGAGGGATACTCGATAAATCCTTCTAGGAATAAATTGATCTTTTAATGAAGATTGACATAATTCATACTTTAGTTACCTAGCTCAGCCGAAGGACAATCTAACTTAAGTTTTTTTGGCTTGATGCTAGACAATTACGACCAAAGTAGTGTAGACGAAAAGCACAGTATGACTGTTGGTTACTAATTATACCCGTATTTATGACCAAGGTACTTCATTTATTAGCAATTTACTATATATCTACGGTAAAGTGCTGTCTTTAATACTGATATTACGTATTTTCAATAAAGGTGATTAGGTGAGCTTGTTTTAGTTCAGCGTTAATGTAGTAAAGCTAACATATACTAGCATATTTTGCTTATTCATTACATCTAAAAAATATAGAAACATACATGATTCAACAAACATTAATTAAAAAAATTACCTTTAATAAAATCACTCTAGCGAATCATGAAGAAACATCAAACATATCAGGTATTAATCGAGTAATTAAAACTTATAATTACTGTAAGCAAAATATAAAATATTAAACTTAGAGGTATGATGTTAAAACAAAATAAATTATCAAATGTTAACTTATAGTAAGAATATTTAATAATCTTTGGTAATCAAAAATATAGGCTGGTAAAAATATCCACTTAAGGATAATTTGTACACCAATTAATAATAAATCCTCTAGTCCACCATATCTCGCATTAATAATACTAAAAATAGAGAATCATCCATCTCCTTTTAATAGAACAAATTTGACTGTAAGCATAAAAACATGGCGTTTAAGATAAAACACGCAACGCCAATATTTTATTAAATTATTTGCAGAGGGCTCTCATGCAAGGATGTTTTAAATAAGCAGAGTATCTAAATTGCCAAAATACTTATTTTGCTTCAGCTTCAGTTTGTATTTTTTGCCATAAATTATACTGAGTTATCTCTTTCTTTGCTTTGTCCTGATTTCGTTTCGCGTAGAGCTTCCTGTAAGCACGCCGTATAAGTTGATAATATAAGTTAAAAATTAGTGCAAATGCTACTATGATGCTTTAAATAATATTATACCTATAAATGTAAAAAAATGATCGTCATAAATAATCAGTTTTACAATCATTGACATAAGTACTCGTAATGCGGCTGACACCGTAAAGTCTAGCAATATCATAGTACGTTTACTTATTGCTCAATAAAATGCCGTAATTATATCACTTAGATATTTATAGTTTAGTAATAACTCTAATTTTACACTTGCATATTCTAATCTAAGATATCTTAACCAAATCTTTGTTATCATTAGCAGTATATCATGATTCTTACTAAATACTAAAATTATCGATGCTAATTATATGGCTATTTGACTATTTATGCCCTCTTTCTACGTAAAGTATATTTACAAGATACCCAATACTAACAAATTATGATGAAAAATAATGAGTAGGGACCTAGCCTAGAAATGTACCGAGCATAACTTTTTTGAGTTTATAACATAAAAAACCGTACCTATCTTTCAGAATACGATTAATCAAATTTTCAACTGTAAAGGAACAGCCACTATCAACTATCTTAAGTTTTCCTTGACGTTTAGGTTCCTTCCAGATTTGAAATATTAAAATTATAATTCATCAGCTAACAATTGGGAATAATTGTTAAAAATAAAAGCCTCTATATCTACTTTCAATCAATACAAGCTATATAATACTGTATCGTTAAATACCTTATAAGGATCTTCAGTTCCGTTAATCTGCAGGATAACATAGACAAAATTACTAATACTTACCATATCAATTTTAACAGATACTCTTAAGAAAGAACTGTCAGTCATCCCGTTATAGTTTATCGTATTAACGTTTATAACACAGAATAAGAGTGATAAAAACTATAAGAGAACTTATTCTACTTTCACTTGACTAAAAATGACGTCATAACAATATAAACATATACTTACTTTAATAGAATTTGCTGCTTGACCACAGCAAACAAGATCAATCTACAATATTAGAAAAGCGGTTGAAAGTTAAGCCAGATAATATCAATTGATATAGTATGTGCTGTACTGTATAGATAATTAAATGATCAATAAAGGACATATTACTATCATTTCTAGATTTATTAGACGTAATAATCACTCCTTCCATTTAAAATACCTGAAATCTCTCAAGAAAATTACTTGTGATGTTATAGGGCGCATCAATAACGATGTTATCAACATACTATACATAACATAAATGTAGATAAATACAGCTTTAAAAATTGCAACACTCATAAAGTAAGTTCAGCTGAATTGATACAAATACCCTACTTTACAAGCTAATACACTCAATAGCCGCTCGTGTAATGTCATTATTGGAAAATTATGACCTTTATATCTTCGTATAGTCTAGATAAAATCAATAACGGATTATAAAATATCAAATACCAGTCAATACCTTCATATTTCACTTTACCTCATCCGAATATAGACCAACGATGATATAACTGCCATGCTTGCGAATTGATTCCAGAAAATTTACGTGCCCAATATCTAAAATTGAATAAATTATGGAAGATATTTCCTACGTATCCTTTTAAAGTATAGCATTTTAGTCGATTAAATACCACTGATCGCATAGTATCTAATAACTGTTAAAGTACTTTGAAAATATTTGATTTTTTCACTATGATTTGTATCTACAGTAGGAAGGATACGAAAGCAGTCGAAGGCTCCAGGAACGTAAATTATCTTGTCGGTAGACTATAAAAAAATTTAATGCGCAAGTATTAGTATGAACATACAATAAATTTGCTAATGGTACTTTGTCAAGTTATCACAATCGATTACATTTGCTTCTCGTAGGGAAGAAAAGAGTGCAATGATTTGTGATGTTGGGCAAGAACCCCCCATGGTCGTCCAAGGAGACTATAAAATTATTTAACGCACGTAAACCGTTGTTAATCTTACGCATCGTATTAAGATCCACATTAATATTAATCATTACTCACTTCTTTAATTTGGCTATTCTTATTGTAATCTTCTACAAATCTGGATGCTATTCTAGAATATTTAAAAGAATTTTTATTATTTTCTCTTTTTAATGTCCCATAAACGCGCTACCGTATAATAGAAACAATTTTATTGATCACATTGATTATATCACTAACCTTCCTATTAAATCAGTTGTGGAAACTCCAGGTGTACGTTTGCTAAACCTAATGAACAGCCAGAGCGAGAAAAATACCCATTTAACAAGCATATATATATTTCGTCATTATCATATATTTAAGTATCTTTTAAATGCATTTACGTGATGCTATAATTGGCAATAAAAGATCGCAACATACAATATTGTTCTATATCCGTATGGATTATCCAACTATTGGTTAAAAAAAGTTTTTATCTACTACACATTAAAGTCTCTTTTATTTTTATTCATATGTATTACCTATATCTACCAGCCGCCTTAATTTCTGCATAAGCATCAACTCCTTCGGCAGTTAAAGCAATGTCCTCTACACAGAGTGCACGTTGATCAGTTAGCTCAGAATATGCTCTCTTTATTAGGTAATGATAAAAATGCGCCTTATAATCTATGTCAAATCTTTATTACCTGAGTGAACACAGAAGTCACAACCAAATTTGTCCAGAGTTTTTACTGAGGTTGAATAGGGAGCATTTATTACCACCTTCAATAATCAAGGTCAATAAATGGTCAAAAATAAATTTGCACATAGAATACGTTAATCTATACTCCATATAGCGACTGAAACTAGCCTTCCTAACCTGATCTACCCATCTAACAGATCCTAAAAGCTTTGCTCTAATTAACATAAGAATAGACGAACATTAAAGCATAAATGCATATGCTAGATATTATATATAATTATTATATAAAAAACATCTTCATTTAATTAGACCTTTCATCTAAGGTCAGTACCGGTGGACCCTTGTTCTTCGCAATTTCTTCTACAGAGTAATACATTAAATTCGTAAACAAAGATATAGTTGAAATCATTCAGTTAATAATAAGTTATATAAACTTGGTAACGAGTAACGTAGTAGGAAAGAGGTAACCTATCGAATTATTGGAATGACAGTACAAATTAAAAACGATAAACTAAAGCCACAAATGATACTGTACGTTCCGTACATACCCTTATCATCAAATACTGTAAGATACCAATAAAATGGAGCACTGTACACAGGTACTCGCAGATGTAATCACTATGACTAGACATTCGATTTTTCTAATTCAAGGGTATTGTTCAAATTAAATGGATTAGGATTGCAATCGATAAAATTATCTAAGCATTCATGCATAACACATTTACTGATAATTATAAAAGGAAATTAGTAGATAGCTACAGCGTATAAAATTCCTTTAAAGTACAATCCTTCATAAAAATTACTCGCATGTATGTATTGCCCATTCCCACAGTTTAAAATTTATACTCCAAAAATTTTCATACCTTCTTAATAATCCATTGAAAACAAGCTATATGATCTTATAATTATAATCTAAGATTAGGGATTAGCTTACCGCTAGAATGAACACCAGCAATTAAAAAGCTCCCAAATGATTTCGCCTACCAATTAAAAACAATTTTATAAAGTCTAAGCAAACTAATTAAACAATACTTATAATCACAATTATTTACTCCCTACAGTTTATACCATAATAAACTAGTATGGACCGTAATTGCGGCATTACATCATTTTAAAATTTTTATTCATAGAAAGATACACAATTCCAATCATAGATGAACCTTAGCAGTAAAGATATCACTATCATACCTGACGTAAGACATTGGCGTGGCCGTAATGCATCATATCGAAACTATGAGAAAATAATAATGATGATTACAAAGATAACTTAGATCGTATACCACCTTGTATAACCACTCTATGTAAATAATGATAATCAATAATGTACTTAAAGTGCAAGACGTTTACATTTATAACTTAAACCACAGAATGTTTCAGCTTATAAAGCTGGCTCAATCATTTAAAAATGCTAGTTATCATAGTTAAGGTTCTATTGTATAAGTATGTACCGTAAAACGTATTCAACAATAGCTTGACTAGACAGACAGAAAAACTTTATCACTATTTTCGTTTAAGTCGCCATCTGATTACTTACACATACAGTAGAATCGACAAAAAGGAAGAGCCCACTGATGAATTATATCATCCCTCATAAAAACTATCGTTTATGCGATTGATATTGATAGATTACTTTCTACTCTACTCCTTCGATACAACAAATATTGATGATGTAGTACACGACTCGCACAGCAGGCTGCAGACACTATATGTGCTATTGATTACAACAATACTGTCCAAATTTCTTATAGCAATTCAATATTGCCGATATAAATTATTTTCTCTCATCAAGCAGAGACTCAAATTATCACCTCTGTTCAACGAAGGCGTATATTGTGCCGTAGATATACAGTACTAGACGTAAGACAGGAAGAAGTGGTTAATTTAGTCGAAATTGTTCGGATTAATTAGCTTCCAACTACATTAACCAATATCCATTTTTACACTGTGTAAATGAAGAGTGATGCTGATCAATCCCACCGTAAACACGACTGCGTAATGAATGTCATTCAAATGAATAAATTAACTTATCGTATATGAGCCGGTACCATGATTTGAGATCTAGTTACTAGTCTTTTCGTCAATTAACAATCCCTGCGTGAAAATAAGATAAATAAGTACTACAGTGTTACTCAACTTAGTGGCTTAACGAATTACTGTGCTATCATTATAACACCCTTTTTATTGTAACATCGGTTTAATATATACAGTACATATATATTATCTTATGTTACTGTCATGCTCGAATATGAGAAATTCAAGACTCCAACTAACTTTCTACTCTTTGTAGGATAAGAATCACTCAATGTGGTTCAATGTATCGTATTTACCCGTTCATGAAGTGAACATAAACACACTTAACAAGCAATAAGCGAATTGGGGTTATTTTGCTCTTAAATTTGAATTTTTCGCAGTGAATATTAATCCACTCAATCTACCACAATTACAGTACATTATAATTTACAGTATAGTGCACAGTCGACCAATAGACTGCTGTACTGTACAGTATAAACGCGCATACACACATCTGTTTCCTATACAATGTACTGTTCAGCTCAAGTATAAAAGGGTCATTACTGTCTACGGCTGGCCTACCCTTCACATCATCTACCTACAGTACTGTACTGTATTATTGTTATTGTCAAATTGTAGTGGACGATACAATTGATCGCACGCATCCTTTAATAATATAATACACTAATTAAAGCTGAATTTTAGCTAGACTTTGTACAAGTCAATAGCATCAAAAGAAAGCATCCACCTTGATTTTACTTCACTATCGTTAGTAGAGCAGCTTCTATGGACACTAAAGTATGATCTGTCTTGAACTCTTATTACTCTACCATAGTACAACTTAGCTCATCGTAGTAAAGTCAGTTGGGTCAGTTGTCGCTACCTTAATATACCGTACAGTATACTGTATATAGAAGTATTTGCATGGATTAACATTACCATCCGTCACACCAAATTCTTACGGCTTCTCCCTCAGTCTGAATGGTTGAAATGTCGTTGTAATCTATAACCACTGCCATGTCATCGATGAGTATATACCAAGTATTTTTAATGATACACTTTACAGCACAAATCTTTCCTTTTGTATTAAAGCAAGACGAACGCGTAGCTGCGTGAGAAGTTGATATTGACCAACTTCGTACACCTTGTAACCCCCAGTAACCCCAATCCACCGCCACGTCGACACTACAGATCTCTACTGTACGCTGTACAGTACTTTACTCTCATTACACTAATAATACTGTATAAAATGCTTTACTATGTACAAGTGTACATGAATAAATTGGTAGTATTTACAATGCCAATTTATTTGCACAGTTGTCGTCTAAATTACAGAGCGAGACGATTGGTCAAATACTTGTACAGAAGTTCCAGGTTATTGTTAGCAAATACAGCCTTGGCGCAGTATACAGTTACTACAAGGTAATGCTGTACTTACAGTACTGTATGTGTTGTGTCTAATTGCTATGTTATACAGTACGGTACAGTACTTGGCATGTCGGTACAGTACTGTAAAATGTATCAATAAGTACTGTAAAGACCGTCAATAAAGCGATGGGGATGGTGCCAGTAATAATAAATAACAATATTGTACTTCGGTCGAATAATATCAGTGTTAGCATAGCATAAATATCACGATATCACCCCATTCGAAGCCTACACCCACATGGGTGCCCTCATGACATGAGCCTCATTATTATGCTATAGATTGCCATCATTAGTATACTGTTGTAGTAGTATCGAAAAATTAGAGTTATTCTCCTTAGTCAAGGACTACAATAGAAGATTAAATAGTCCTTGAATTGGTAAACAAGCATACGAAATATCACCCAAGATCCAGATCATCCCACTGTTTCAAAGTACAGTAGATGATCAAATACAGTAAGTTAATACTGTACCAGTACTAAAGTAAAAATTAAATGAATTAATTAAAAAAATATCAGGTGTTAAGCTTAAGGTTGTAAGGATCTGTTGACGTAGAATTTGAGTTCAATTTAAAGCAAATCTCTTAGAAATATAAATCAGAGACTGACATCAGCATACTATATCATAAACTAAACTATAATCTACAGTAATAAGTAAGTACTGTAATATTTCTACAAGTTTACTGTACAGTTGTACTGTGCCGTCTGTACGCTCTGTCTGTGAAATTGGATTTGATCACTCTAGGATGGACAGACATTTTCGACCTCATCTCGTCAAAATATTGTGTCAAACACTTCATTATGACAGTGCTTCAGTATGCAGATGGTCAATTTTGAATTGACTCATATTCTCTAAATGAAGTAACTTTACGCTAAATCTTACTATTTTTTACTCAGTTCCGTTTGGAGACAGTTATATAAGATTGTCGATATTATTAGAATTAGTACCAGTGATTTCGAAAACAGACGCGGAAGATCCATACTAGGTAGCTATTTTTCGATATTCATGGAGTTATCTGGTAAGAAAGGTCCGTCTGTCTGAGGGAGTGATCAGTCCAGGTCTTTTTCTAATGGAGACTAGTCTAGAGTACAGTAGGTCAAGCTTCTGGTGCACCCGGGTGTTTCAATTTGACCCTGGAACTACAGTATATTACATTAGGGAATATACTGTATATAGTACTTAAGGTGTAAAACAAAGCTTTATTGGGCAGACATAAGGTACTTAGAATAATAAGACTGTCTTGACTCTTGCACTGTCGGCGACGTTTAGCTAGCCATTAAATCACATCATACTGTACTTGTATAATGTACTGTACTATGTACAGTACTGTACAGTACTGTACATATCGTGCAATATCACCTTTGGCTAAGCGACAGCACGGTTAATACTGTACTGTACAGTAGTTAGTTATTACATTAGCGTACATGATACTGTAATCGTGCACTGTAACACTGTACTGTACAGTATCCCGGTCGGCGTAGCGATACAGTACAGTACAGTACTGTATGTTAAAAACGTCCATTTCAGTACGGTACAGTACAGCACTGTACAGTACTGTAAAACCACGTGGCACGTGCAATCGTGCAGTCTGGCGACATCTCTACCATACCGATACTGAGTAGGTTACAGTACAGTATGTTAGCACTATTTTCTATAGTACTGTACAGTACAGTACTATACACTGTATGGCGTACAGTACTTACTGTAGAAAAACCTTTTTTCGCTTCGAACTCTGCTACTACCAAAATGACCAAAATTATGACGCTGTAGGTTAGAGGTCTTTGGATTGACCTTTGAAACAGATTCTAATGCCCGGTATTAATGAACGTTCGAAAGTTGTCGGATGAGTTTATATTGCAAATATCACCAAGCAGGCTGTCATTTCCCTTGTAAACAATGTTATACTCACATAGTTTACTTTAGTAAATAAAGAACTATTTTTTTAGCATATGACAATAATTGGCATGTACAATAATAACCCCGATTACTCAGATGCTCAGCGTAAATAGCTTAAACGATGATACATTATTCTAAGAGTCTGTACCTCAAATTTCACGCGATTATTCAAAGAGACTCTTAGAATAATGTATCATCGTTTAAGCTATTTACGCTGAGTATCTGAGTAATCGGGGTTATTATGGCTGGACCTAATGTACAATTGTACATACTGTACACAGCTTTTGCGCAGAAATGAGCTCATACCAAATAAGGTCCATTTCAAAAAATCAAAACAAATATCAATGCATGTGCATATAGTGCTTACAGTGAGACTGCAATAATAGGAGAGTATATCATATAGATAATATGCACTACATCAGACACTCAACTAGATCCTAGGAACTCCAATGTCAATGTACCTAGAATTGTGCAAGGTGTTTCTAATTTATTGGCGTATAAATCTACTCCAAATCGGCCAAGAACGATAATCAGGAACATACCAGATATCAGCTCAGATAAATTTTAAAGACCGACAAAAAAAATCATCATGCGTACTTATCCATGATGCAGTAGCTGCTTACATAAGGTGATACGGTCTTACAAAGTATTTAATGTTCAATTGCAGTAATTGGATAATTTCGACAAGCTAAGCTGCACCTGTTATTGATCAAAGTGATCACTATTTAAAAGATATAGTATGCGTTTAAAAGGTATGCCTGATATTATAATCTATCTATTTAACCGGATAAATACGTAACTACAGCATGAATGTCAGCAAAGACCGCTAAATAATTACGGAGGACTCAATGGGCTTAAAATGATCCATTTTTCTTATGTAATGTATGACTTGACAGCATAGATGAAATGTCATGAAATCAAACGACAGTTGGAAATCTTTTTAATATGATTTACAGAAAATCGTCAACTTCCTATTCCGTCACAAAAATAACGGCAACTTTCAGACGTTTATGCCACGCATCACTACCTGTATAGTATTTAAGAAAATTATCTCTGCATGTGGCATCCATTATCCATTTGCAGTACGGTACCCTGCCCGATTCAGTCTTTTGCAATACAGTAAGAAGGGGCACGTTGTAGTTAAACCTTTAATATAGAATTATCCCGCAATCTACATGTACGATGTATCCTACTGCAAAGTTATCAGTATCTTGGCAGCGTGTTTGTAACGATTGCACTTCACTTTGATATTTATTTGCTTCTATTTATTTATTTATTTATTTATTTATTTATTTATTTATTTATTTATTTATTTATTCATTTATTTGCATTATACCTCACTATTCAATACGCCTCATTTTTCTTGTCTATTGCATGAAATTAAAATATGTCCACGCTTTATTTCAGAATGCACGTTATATAAGCTGCAAACGCTAGTAACCTTTAAAATAAGGATTTAAAATCAAATGCTTGCAATCGAACTTATAACTTTCAGACTGTTATTTACAATTTCAACCACGACAAGTAAAGGTTTAGATACAATAGCCTAAAACTAGAAATAACAACCATAACTATTGTACTATAATGAATAAGTATTGAGAGAATTGATGTATGCGTACTTACAGGAAAGTAGCTGCATACACGGTTTAATATGCCGCTAGCACTATTCCTGTCTACTAATGTGCCAACAACTGTAATTTATAATACATTATATATTATTAATACAGATAGACTGATAAAAGCTATCAAGATTCATAACGCAGGTAACTACTATAAACATGCTTAATTGCAGGCTATTGCATTATAATAATAAAGATAGACAAAATAACATCAGACCGTGCCTGCTGTTGTTAATTAGGATATTACTATAAAGGTTCCTACATCCGCTTAGCCGGCACGTTGGCGTGCACTTATTTTCAACTTCACACATTATCAATAAGATTCTTTAATTAACCAATAACAATATCATATATAGCCATAGCTAATGTGTACAGTCAATTATTTTCATTCAGAAATACAGAGTAAATAAATAACATTAATTTACATTTGAAGTGCGGTATTACATTAAATAACACCTTCCGCATTCCTGCCGATAGATCATTAAGGAAAAGACGATTACCTACACGTCTTCGTAGCTTTCCTTATCACACGATATAGCTATATAAAATTAACCATCGCAACGATAAATTAACGTTCTAATCAAAATTTCATCAATGCTTTTACAGTATATTCTAGCTGAGAAATCTCTCAGTTCTATCTCTATATTTTCTTATATCGTCGAGTAAGATCGAGTGCAAATCGATTCAGCAAATATTTCTCCTGTACGAATTCATTAACGGTGGCCAAATCAATTTACTTACGTTTTCTACTAGTGCACATTGTAGCCACTATCTGTTATATCAATTTTTTATTACATAACTTTATGCTGTTGCATATATTTAAGTTAAACAGCAAATAAAGGCCAATTAACTTGCTTGTATATGTTGTATATCCGTTGTCAGCAGTTAATGTACGTACACCTCTACTGTAGTATATAGCGCCTCTCATATCTCACTTGTGAGCCAGTTATTGTTTACTAAAAGAAGATTTTCAATTCGGAATCCAAAAACAAGACTAGATAATTACCTTTAACACCATAGCTAAAAATTGCATATTTTATATTCATTTCACAGAACACATAAAATAACTCCAAATACAGTATTTTATCCTTTATAAACAACATGATTAAGCTAATACTGTCAAAATATAATGTACATTAAATAAATTTTTACTCGTAAATCTATATTTCATTACTACTAGAGCTAAGAAAACCTTCATTACATGCGTGTAGTAAATAGGACTATTTCGATCCTGACCTTTATAACATATCTTTGTGGTATTAATACGATATCATAGCTTTGTCAAGACCTTGATAATGCCAAGTTGGAATCCCTCGTTGTGTAGCCCTATCAGTATCATCAGTAATGCGGGTAAATTATTGAATAATTATGAGACTATTTATGATTTTAGTTACGATAATCCTCACTGTGATAGAACCCATAGGCTGAGTACGACAAGATCTAGGGCTGTGTGCCGAAATAATACGCTACATGTATACGGTAGCCTTCGTATGCCATCATTTATTCATGTACATCGTTAGCTGATGAAATTAGAATGCAGTATTTCCTTTTTATTAGCCGTCATTTTTATTAATTATTCCATCTCTGCAGACAATAATTATCGAGTGAGTTCCCATGTTCTGCAATTAAGACACGTATGATGTTATCTTAATGCAGAAGCAAACATCAGCACTGGATATTGTTATAGCCCTTAAATTAAACTACCTCCATCGCATTCATTTATTAACTATTATTTATTCTTAGGAAGTGGGTACAAAAGGTAAATAAACGGATGATTCATTATACCGCTAAATAGCATCCACCTTCAGTTTATTCTTTCTAGTACAGCTATCAAACATAATTTTCTGAGATAATATAGTGCAATATAATAATGACTACTTAAAAACAAAACTTGCATGTAATTCTTGTAATTGTAATAGCCTAATAATCAACCCGATATTGTGTAAGATTTAGTATCACTAAAGAATGTAGCGATGCCAATACGGTACTGAATTTGACACCAAGGTAGCAACTATTACTTTAGAAATTCAGTTCAGATGCTTTAGCTGGAGCTTAATGTCAGTGAATATCGTAATACTGTAGACAAATTGTTATGCTAATGCTTTCAATATCAGATGTAGCAAGTTAGCTATATATTGCGATTACTTGTAATACAATCTACCAATAAAGTAAAATTTAATCAGTTCATTCTCTTGGTCATCCTTACGATAATATTTAACAATTTAAGTTAACTAGTTGTAATGATGCGATTCTATCATGTCTCTAAAATTTGAATTTGTTGATAATAATAACGTTTTAATTAAAGTTTAACCAATTTATAAGACAAAAAAGAGCAGAAAACATATAACAATTAATGATAAATAATAACATAATTTCTATACGTAAATCTTTTCCTTTATGGAACTTAAGCTGAATAGAATGCTGCACTAATTCAACTGTATCTAGCGAAAATGATTTTATTTCACGTCAGAATGACGTAAATTAGAAAGGTGTAGGCCCGAAACAAAAAACAATTTGTAAACAGATTTGCATAAAATCAATAGGTAGCCAATTCGGTAAGGTACTTTAACGTTTTTATTTGTTTTTAAATAAATAGTATGCAAGTAAATCATTAGGTTTACTGCTTACGGCGGGCACGAACAAAACAACTCTTCCAGCTTGCGTGATACCATAGTACGAACTAATCCAGCTCCAAATGTGCTTTGTATCTTTACCGGCATGGTCAATAAACATTAACCTTTTTATCATACGAATGGAAAAATGCTATTTTAAAATAGAATAGTCCGAAACAATATAGAGATCAACGTTGTTACTACCTTATCAAATAATGAAATTGATTACATTAATGTAGTAACTTGCAGGATGCAATATTTTTAGCTTCGGGCCTCTTATAATTTAGCTGTAACCCGACAATACAGGAATGAAATCAAGAAATCATTGCACCAATCAATCAAATAATAACTGCTATAACATCTAGACTTTATAAGAAATTTTAATCATTCGCCGTACAATGGTAACCCTTTGAAATAATTAGTTTTAATTATCCTGTAAAATAAAACATTTATCATTCATTCAATTCTATTAGTAACTGCTACTAAATGATGCCCTTCTCGGAATGATTACATGAGCCGCGTATACGTATCTTTTTTACATGCACAATTGCACATCTCTTTCTTTCGCTCTTTATATAAAAAAGACCATTTACATGTACATGGTCATGTATTTATCGATATAAGGAGTTATCTACATAACCTAAAAATATAAATACAGATGAATGAATATGTATTATGCATATAAACGTGCATACTAACATATATAACCCATAGATAAACAATAACAGCCCTAAAAATGATAAACATTATTTTACTAAATTTGCATAAAATTCTTTCATTGGCAGTAAAACTGATACATAACTAGGAATAGGCGTCAACACTTGTATAATTAAGGGTCCTATTCTGTTGATTTCTAACAGAGTAAGATGCTATGGTAAAACATGCGTTACGGTACTCCATAGACCATTTGAATATAAGCAACACTTCTAAATATTAGCAGATCAGACCAAATAGCGCTATTACTCTATCCTATCATTGATTGCCGCATTAGTCAATAACAACCATGTAGATAGCTAATGCAACACTCCATTCAACGGTGGTTTGTACAAGACTTATATTTAGTAATGCTCGTTTATTATTGATAAAATAATAAAAGTTTTACAATGAAACGTAAGAATAGGCGACTCTCTTACTATCGTAACTTACTTTAACAATATCACCTATTCTATCGAGCAACTTCCATTGACATTAGATAATAAAATTTTACAATACAGCAGCAGAAATGAAATCATCGAAGCAAGTTATAATTTCCGTGTTTATCAACTTCGTCTATACAAGGTAATTGTTCGGTATTTAAAATTACGAGAAAGATCCATCTGTGAAGAAAAGCATTTCTATTAATAGTTATTAATAACTGTAGAAATTTACAATCGCATTTATTTACCAAGCAGAGCTGATTGCAGAGCTTTAAATTTCTGCGTTTATGAGTTAGAATATATTTTTCTTTCTAAAACTTGCAACAAGATTCATCCTTAAATATACAAATCGGGAAGACTTCAATCGTCGATACTATCAAGATCTTAACAGGACTCTTATCTGTAATCTAGAATATTAATTACAACTGGTATCAGACGACGTTCTTTACCTCTGTCTCATATGCGTGCTTCCATAGAAACACACGTACATGTATTGACTAACTGTAGTTGCGATGGTAGTGTTAACGTCTTATAACATTTAATATCCGTATTACGTGAGGAAAAACCCTATAAATACTCTTTTTGTGATAACTCGTTCCACTATTTATTTCTTTTAATATCATTTTCATATAAAGTTAAACAGTAGTAAGGATACTGTATATAAGCTCCCAGTTTATGTTAATATGCAGAAACGTTACTAAAGCAGAGGTTCCTAGCAATACAAATTCATAGAATAATTTCATTACAATATATATCCATAATAGTCATACCATTATGTTAAGCATATAGAAACGCACCATCTACATCTATATGTTTATACTGTATATCTTGTATATTTATATATAAAGCATACTACAAGTATTTAGATCATGTTATCTAGGAACAACGCAGTCATTGTTATTATGCATTGTGCAGCAACATGGAGAACTCTCATAGCATTACAACTACCATCGAGGGATTCCAAGCTTGCGAATTAGTAGCGACTTGTTATATCTTATTAGAGTTATTTCAGGAATATTTTAAGCACCATGTATCACCGATGGGAACTAATTTAATAGCTAGACGATTATTACAAGATTCGATTAAACTACAGCAACTATTACTTGATAACATAGAGGATGGTAGATTAGCTAATAACTTGAAGAGTTTGCTCCGTAATATGGCAGACCATTGCCGATTTTTGTATCAATGCTTTTATCCGTACAACCAAAAGGTTACAGAGATAGTTGATAAAATTTTGAAAATTTCCTTCTCAATAGCTGCTACTGTCGTTAGTAAGATATCTGCTGAAGAGGCTATAAAGCTTTATTCTTATATTAGCGAAATACCTACTATACACTTGTACAAGAATTCATCTTTACTTCCACCATTTATTTTTCGTGAATATAACAATATAGCGTCTAATTCAGCTTTATTACATATCAATAATGAAAATAACTGGAAATTTAGCGGTCAATTATCGGAACATGATCCGGCTACTCCAAATTATCAAGTTTCAAATAATGTACAAACCTCAAGTAGTTCTATCTCCACATCGATTAATTCTACTGATTCTATTAAAGCAAACGAAATTGTAATGATACCTACACTTTCTGATAGCCTACTTGCTATTCCATCTAATGCTGATAATGAAAGTAATAAAGCGTCATCATCATATTCTCGAAGAAAGCTAAATGGACATCCAAACAAGAAGAGAAATTTATCAAAGATAAAGCAACTCACGAATTTTAGTATCGATACCATACTACAAGGATCCAAGAATTGCCTACAATTACATTTTATTGACGAAGGTGATTATAATGCCTGCTCAACTAACATAAATAATGACAATGTAGCTTCGACTGTTATCGATAGTGCAGTTCAGGAAAGATCTAATATTTGTCAAAGGAAATGTTTAGAAAATGATTTATTGCATAATTTTAAAAGGCAAGAGGAAAATCTTCAAAATGATCAACCTATTTCACATTTACCACAAAATGTTAATTCTTCGAACGTCGAAGAAAATAAAAATAATGTACAGAAAATCGATGTCAATATTGAAGATAACTATCGCATAAATACGAAAACTATAAATATACCTCAAGAAGATGAAGCTAATTTATTGCATTATCGGTGTCAACGCTGCGATAAAACCTTCCAGCGAGCGTACAGTCTCAAAAGACATCAAAGAATTCATACAGGAGAGAAACCGTACACGTGTAATATCTGTCAAAAGTCATTTACGCAATCTTTCCATTTGAAAATCCATAAGCGTATTCACAATGGCGATTTACGATATACTTGTGATATATGCGGGAAAAAATTTATTCAAAACAATGATCTTAAGAAACATCGAAGAACTCATACAGGAGAAAAACCTTATCGTTGTAAAACTTGCTCAAAATGTTTTACGGATTCAAGTCAGCTTAGGAAACATGAACGTGTCCATTCCGGACATAAACCGTATTCTTGCGATCTTTGCGGTAAGTCATTTTCGCAATCAGGCACCCTAATGAAACATAAGAATATTCATAAAAAAATTTGTAATCATTAACTGCATTACAAAAAAAGTGAATAGTCGCAACCAGTTAGACACTACTTTTATCATTATACTTGAAAATTTAACTAAAAATGTGCGAAATTCTACCACTCTAGCGCTTGACTTGTAACCCTTATAAATGTCTAGTAAGGCCTTTAGTGTGAAGATAAAGTATATATATACATAAATCTGCATATCTAACCTGCATTAATGACATTAATTCTGTACCATACCATTAAAAGCCTTAACAGCCAAGGCTAAATGTACTTATATCTGCTTGCTATATTTATTTCATAATCAATATACGCGTACTAAATGATTCTTGTTCACCGCTGCAGACAATTTTCATCTTTTATTTAAACAATATTTAATACTAAATAAGTTATTCCAATAACCCTTTCTGAAATATGTCTAAATTGAATAGGCATAGTTAATTTTTTGGCGATTGTTATAAGAAATGCGTAACCGCGTAAATATTTCTTCGTATCTGATACCTTTAACAGTTTAAATATGAAGACTAATAAACAAAACGCGCATATTAAAATTCTATAGTTATAATACTGTTAATAAGTGACATCTAAGCGTATCTTAACAGATATATGTCGATAGAAGTAACGGTCGCAAAAGTAAACTTCTTCCCTAGCCCTTTCCTTCTATTGCTACGTAGTAATAACAATTGCCTATCGATGCACGTCGTAACGCACTTTTATTTTATGGCCATTTGCACTACTTCGGTTTTTTTCGTGCTATATTGAAGGAAAGTTAAAAATGAGGTTTTAATTACTATAGTAGTTAACCTCTAAAGCCTTGGGCTTTACTACTGAGGAGATGGTAACCTTAACGCCCATATTACCGCATAAAATAAATTTTGACATACGTATTTGTAGAAGCAATACTATCTGAATCAAAAAATTTGCACGGTTTTCTTACTCAATACTGTCCTAATATTGCAAGGTCTAGGAATGATATAACTGTAAACCGCTATATATATATATATAAACCGATATACAATAACTAATTTGATATGATAGAATTATTAAGTATGCTTCTTCATAAAGAACAAATTTAATCTAAGAAAGCCGTAGGTTGAGTACTCTTTAAACTCTATATAAGAGAATAAATTGAAAGTTCAACAATTATCATTGAAAAGATTCTATGCTTTTCTAATAATACCTAACTTCGATGAAAACTAAGTATATATATATATCACTTTCAGTTTATTAAAATCTATACCTACCGGTCTCTTTATTGTTTAAATCTTAAATCTGTCCATATACTTATTGTACTATACAGTACACTAAAGGAGAGCTGTCTAGACAATAGTATATGTACTGTACAGTACATACATTGTGGCTTTATAGATACTGAAACGGAATATCGCTTGAATGTTATAGTTACTAATCTATAAATGGGTTACTTTCACTGCTACACGCCAGTATCTATGTGGTCACAAATGGAGTGGATACATAGTTTTTTCAATAACGTATAAATATTTATTTGCAATGAATCTTAAAATTGCGTTGAGATCGTTATAAATTATCGAGGGTATGTAGTTTAGTAGTGCAACACTATATAGAAATTTGGCCTCTCGGTCAAACTGTGAGTAATTATGCTAATAAAAATTATTATTTAAGATTATTCGTATATCAAATTTTTAGATTTGATGTCTAATCGTCATGACGCTGATATAAAGGAAATTTGAAATATTAAAAATACTATATTCATAATGTATATGAATAATGTAATATGATAAATTAGTTCATGAAATAAAATATACTTCATTGACGGTTTTTGTGTTAGCAAACTGATATTTCTCATATGAATCAGTTGTTAAGCAATATTTCTTGAGGGTTTTTATCATAGTGAGTCTACCGCACTAAAGAAATGTTAGCAGAGCTGCATATACATTCGTGCTTCAAATTAGAATGTAGTATTTATTACTTTTTCAACAGTATATTATTAAATATAATTTAAGCATTTTAAATTACATCGTCATTACTATCTAAAGCAAAATCTTGCCTATTGGAGATAATAATTGATTTGGTTCTATGATCAGTAAACGTGAAAATATGTAACATTTATTATATTTTACTAGCATACAAACGGGAAATAGTACTCTGAATTCGGTAAATAAGGTCAGTGATCATCATTTCATTAAGAAGGAGGGGATTTTAACACTGAGTAACAAGGATATTATTAAAATGATTATTTTACCTGAATAGTAAATTTTTGTACTAAATAAACTACATTGGCCTGCACAGGGCATTAATTTAAGGCGAAATTGACATAAATAGGAAAGTAGATATATTTCAATTGTAATTCAGGAATAATTTCAAATAAAGAGTTTCTTAATGTCTTATATGTTTAAATACCTCTAACGCACATATAGCTACGAAAATAGCGGAATAAAAAATTCACGAATCAACACATGTGTACTTACAATTTTAAGTTTAAACTGATATGGAATATAAGGTGGCAATAGATAGCTGCTTTATGCATGTCCAGTACTAACTCTTAATATTGATATTTCTTTGGATTCATTACTAGACTAGAACTTGTTTATTTGAACATGTTTTAACATGGCAATGAAAAGCGAATCGATGAAATTCAATCCTAATATAGTATTTTTTTTTTTAATTTATTAATTAGCGATATTTTAATTTATTTTTGTGCCTTACTTTCTTGCTTGATTATCTTTGCTTCGCTGGTAAGAAGATATATAACTATACTGTTCGCGACTCTTACATTTTATCAAATAACAAAAATCTCACGTCATCATCGCTTTAAACTTTAGTTTTTTCTTACTTCTGCATTGTAAAGCAGATAATAAACCTTTCAATTACATGGTAGACATACTATAGCAATAAATATAACGTAACTCTAGGTTATGATAGGTACGTAATGCAGGCGCAAGCATGGCATTTAACTCATTTAAGAATTATGTACCAGTGCATTTATCTGATAGCATTCGACGATTGCAAATACCTTTATGAGCTCGGACACCGAATTAAATTTATCTGTGAGTGGGCACAATGCAAATGATTCAATCTTGTTGACTAGATTACAAATCGATGCATTTTATATAGTTATGTTCATTTACATTCTTGAAAAAGGAGGCTGCTCTAATGTTAGATTTCCCTTCAATCTTTATTCGAATGTTCCCTTTATGTATTCGTATTCATTTATCATTACATTAGTATCAATATGTTTTTATCTCTGTATAGCAGACAGCGTTCACTTACACCGAAAACTTTTCAGCCTAGTGCATCTGCTTTGACTCTTTCACATGTAGTTAACAAACTGTAGTTATCTTATTTTCGTTGTACATACGCATATTTATGTGCACATTGCAAATTTTGAATTAAGCTGTATTCAACAGCATAAATTATTGTATGCGTCTTGACTCAAGATGCCGCTGAAAACTCTATAATCAGATTATCCTTAACCATTATATATATATATATATGTTAACATAACATATATATAATTTTCAATACGACGCTGGGCATTTTTTCAATGATGTCGTATATTTCAATAAACGTCCTCGTATCATGTCCAAATTATCCAAATGTTATCCTCTGAATTATAGTTCATTAAGTTCTCTCGATCATAGTAAAAGTCTTTGATGATTAATAAGAATGTAAAATCTTCTTTAAAAGCTCTATTTATGGGTGTTTTACTTCATAAGATCTTATCTTTTAAGTCACAAATTGGGTCATTATGTATTCAGATTTGTCTAAATTGACAGCCTAAATATTTTCTCGATGTATCATAAACTTATGCGATAGATATATCAATTCAAAATGAATATAAAACATTTAGCAAGTGCTGCATCATGAGTACAAATAAGTGTTCTATTGATAATATTTATGGTTTTTCTTTGATGGATTCATCTAATAAATTTATAGCATATAACTGTTATGACGGTTTTTTTATTAGCATTTGCCATGGTAATGCATTATACAGTATCAGGCGCCTAGCTAGTCGATATCAGGAGATATGTATTTGCTTCCCTAAGTCACTAAACTATCAGCCAATATCAAAGATTTATAAAATGTAGTCCATAATTGATAGGTGTCAACTTCGAATCATTAGTGATAGTTATTAGTACCCTATTTGTAGCACTATACTGGCTAACATTAAGTTATACTATCTGTAGAGCGTGCAGAACAGCGACCAGTATTTACACATATAGGAAAGGGCACCAGTTGTGGCTAGTACATGGAAAGTATATAACGATAAAGCTATATAAAATACAGAGATGATATCTTGGTACACAATTCATAATTATCAGATGAAATATTTGATGTTGTCATCTTAATTTCATAAATGGGTGCAGCAGGTATATAAACTTATTGTTAACTTTGATCACTGACCACATCTTCATTATTACTACCAATATTCAAGACAAAGTTTCCTATACTTCTAATATCTGTAGTAATTACTGTATAAAACTATTTGCTCATTGCGTCACAATCACTTCTGGAATTTCAAAAATGAGTACTAGCATTATGAAGTCTGTATTACTTGCCAAAAACTACGATGCGACTTGATACACGATTCATAGGTTTTAAATATTTATGTTTATGTATTCCTAGATTAACAGTATACGAGTTTATATAATAAAAAATAGCCACTGAACAAATGCTTGAGTCTGGCTGATACTCTCTATTATTGATAACCCACAGTTAGATGTACAAGATTGACTAGTATCATATCAAGAGAAACATATAAGTCAAAATTATCATTTATAGTATCATCAGTACTGGCGCTAGTTAACTACTTGCGACTATAACAACTTATTACCCGCAACACCCAGTTAGATGTGTGAGATCAGCTAGACAGTATAAGAAGTGATAATATGTCATAATCCTCATTTGTAGTATCCATGGTAGGGTTAATTGATTTATTCTGATCACATTGCGCATCGATTTATACGTACTGTTTAACGCACATTAGCAGTAATTAAGTGTACGCGTATAATCATCGATGCCCTAATAAATGAATTTATGATGAATACTGCAACAATTGACGTTCCAATATTATCAAAATTAGCTTTCAATTTTTTCAGTGAGAGCGCCATAACAGCCAAATTACTACGGTCAATCAATCAATCGGTTACTGTTGAGGATAAGTTATCTGGAGAATTTATAATAACTAATTTATTATGTGTTAACTTGTATAATGGTCCAAAATTGACGTACAGTCCGTAATTATTGTCGAGATGTATTGAGAAATAGTAACTCTATGGTAATTGCTAATGCTGTTGATTGGCTTCTCTTGCAAGACTTGCTCATCGGTTTTAGTTACTATTTTGTAGCACTTGCCTGTAGAATTACGCCTTCATACGATTGACTAAAATATATCGTATAGTAAATTTGGCAGTCCACTATGGTGAACGTTATGGTATACTAGAAGTGTATATTGCATCTTATGTATGCGTATAATGAATGAAATTTTTCTCGATCGATTGAAGCGGACATTGCCGCTGCGAAAGCAACCTAGTAGTGCAGTAGATTCGCATGAATTTTATCCAATTATTCCAAAGGCAAAGTATAACGCTAATACTACACTGTCAAGCGAAATTATGATACAATAAAATTAGTCTTCAATAAATAAAATTAAATTAATTACTGCATTAATGTTTAAATACCCTATTTTGAGAGTGAGAAGAGTGTGACGCGCAGGATGGTGTCAGCGAGCTGAAACGTCAAAGCCATGAACACATTCAACTAGTACGTACTCGTTCATACAGAAACCGTTTACAGTAGATATCTACAGTACAGACTATAATACAGTACTGTACTGTGGAACACTGACGTTTCTTACTACGATATCTGGTACTGTACTGTACAGTAGGCCCAGCCATAATAACCCCGATTACTCAGATACTGTACAGTACAGTGTACACGTGTCAAGTACAGTATAGGGATATCTTCAAGCATTATACGATACCGGTACAGTACCAGTAGAGTAGAGTAACAGTTTACTACTGTAATAGGCCAGTGAGTGAGTGTACGTATTACACTCTCTACGACACTTCACTCAAGAGTAATTTGAGCAATCGAAAGCATGGCTGCATGCTGTAATGTACAGTACTGTACTGGGAGTCCATCAAGAATAATTTTCAAAATCAAATTTCCCAGCTGCATTGGCCAACTCGGTACTTGATTTGCTACTACTAAACAAATGTTACCTGCTGGTGAAGGTTTTACTATGTGTAATTGATCGAATTGTTGTTATGTACTGATTTACAGCAACGGCCTGCACATTTGTTCCACTGAACAGCGACTTTCAGTCCCGAATTTTTCTCTTATTTACTGTACTAAGAAACCTCTATGACTGTACCATGGACAGCTAGAAAGGACTACTTGAACAAGTCCATGTCCCGAATTTTTCTCTTATTTACTGTACTAAGAAACCTCTATAACTGTACCAATGACTGTAGTTTGTCTAGCAATGAAGTTAGCTACATTCAATCACCAAGGCCTAAATTGGGATCAAGTTGATCCTTGGGCTAACAATTCATTGAAGTTAACTTCCAACGCGATTCTAATCAAGTACCCATTTGATCAGCAAAATTGTTGCTTTCAGACGCCCATCAAACTTTCGACTGTGTCGTAGAAATGGAATAAATTTTTGGGAAAAAGTACTGTACTATACTGTATAACACTGTAATAGAGTCTGGTCCAACGGCATGCAGTCTCTTGGACAGCATTGTGTAATTTTTTCTTTAAAATCAAGATAAATAATCAAACAAACAACAATGATAATTAATAATATAAGCGGACTTTTTTTATTCAGAAATATCGGTAACTCAACACTATTCTTTTAGGTTAGTTAACCCCTTAACTTTATCTTTTTACCTTACTACGTATGTCATCGGTATGTGTAGTATCATGGACTACTAAATTTGTAGAGTGCTGTACACTAGTACCATCCATGGACTACTAAATTTCATGCCACATTCATGGAGGTAAATAAACAAGTACATAAAATTACAAATGGAGATTGCGAACTTCCAATCATACACTAATTAATGATTAATGTATATATGTATACGTTCTAGCAACTGCAGTCTACAGAGTCCTAGATACCGTATAGAGCTTAATTAAGTTTATTAATTCATCACTGGCAAAGTGAGCGGTGACATTTTGGAAAAGAACAGTCAGTCTACTTATTACATGATTACAGTATTACAGCGTACCGTACAGTTGGTCAGTGACTACTCCACTCAGTGTCCAGTGTACTGTACTGTATAGTACACTGAGTACAGTAATCTATGCTACGTAAACTACTGCACCGCACTGCTGCATTTGCGAAGCAAAATACAGTACTGTATAATAAATAGAAGTACAGTTGTGGTGAGGATCTTTAATCTTTTATTTTACCTTTACGGTTTCATCTCGCTCTCTTCACGACAAGAGTACTTTACTTGGTAAGAAAGTAATCGATCGGTCGAACAAAAGAATGGAGTATTTCATTTTTAAACAGTGGTTATCCAATATCCGTAACGCATTTTTACTTTCTACATTTCAAAGAAATCAGGCTAACAAAAAATATCCATCAAGCGCATAACATTGCTGCAGACCTGCTTGGCCCTCCTAGCGCTAAGAGCTCCCGTTGACCTAGTACTTTACCGAGCGCGAGACGGTAAACACTGAACACCGCCATGATTGGTTACTTAACTTTCACACATATGACAGTCCTCTTCATACGTAGTTTTTTTAACTCAAGGACTGCACCTAAAAAGGAATCCTCCTCTTTTTCTTTGACTACTGTAATCTCTTATTAAATCAATCAATCCCAAGATTGGACGGGTTTCAAGCCCAGCCCAGCCAGTTCCCTCCTACTGCTTATTCTAATTATTTACGAAAAAATCTCCCACATTTTCCGCAGCGATTCTGAGCTAGAGAGAATACAGTACTGTATGTCTCTGCAAGAGTCCTTGATAGAAGAATAGCATTACAGTACTGTAATAACATCCAGTTAGTTTGTACAGTACAGTACTGTACTGTACTGTACTGTATAGTACTGTACAGTACTGTACATGGACTCGAAGAAGACGTTCTTCTAGTACTGTACTGTACAGTACGGCAGTCATTACCCTAGGGAAATGTTTGGGTCAACAGGGACTCAATATTATACTGTAAAGAGTTATGGACTAGTACTGTACACTGTACAGTACAGTAGAAGACCACATACTGTACTGTAATGTCGGTACAGCTTTTTCTTATAGTGCAGTATAATGTCATACTGCACTGTCTGCACAGTACGTGGTACGAGCCAGGTACAGTAGGAGGCCATCACCAGTCGACTCGACTACTACAGTACTGTACTGTACACATTTTTCTTTTTACCTTTTTCCTTTTGTTTGACTACAGTATTGTACAATACGCGCATCGTTACGCAGTGTCTCGAGGGCGTGTACCTTTTAACCATCCCGTGACACTTCTTGGGCGTACAGTACAGTGTACAGAGTGTATTGTACTGTACAGTACAGTTTTCCTGAGTTATTGGCATTCTTATAGCAGGCGTTACTATTCTAGGTTACTTAATTTTTCTCCGTTCCTCTAGACATTCGTACGCAGGGATCATTTTCCCTTTTTCTCTCGGAGGTAAAGTGTTTTCGCATTCTTAGAGCCGATGAAAATCATTTTTCATCTGCTATATTTTGTCCAAAATTAACCAATTCCCTTTCTTGACAGGCGTTGTGGCACTAGAAGTAAATTTTTGGATAACTACACCACCCTGTAAAAGGTGTCCTGACAAATCCAGTCGTGCGAGTTGCGCGAAATTATAGTATACATTCAAATATTTTTTTTCTTGTATTTGATAAAATACGTATCCTTTCGATACTTTCAATACTTCTTGGAATATCCAGCCGGTAATCGACAATTGACAACGGTGCCGATATTTTTACAGGTATTTCAACATAGATTAAAGTTAAACTAGCTAGCTAACTTGATTAAAAAAAATAAATATTATAACTGGCCTTAACTCAGAAGAAAAGTAAGCACCAAAGCTTCTCTTGATGAAATCCTCACGATAACTTTCAACTTACGAGGAGTTGAGTACTTAGTAGTGTAAAAATATATACTTTGACGTAGTGATACACAACTAATATTCATCCATTATGTATCGTACTTTAGACGTATTTCTTACCTAAAATACCATTATGCAGTGTACGGTATTTTGACAAAAATTAAAAACTGACTTCTAAACAGTATAAAAAAAAAGATCTGAAAAAAAAAATAGAAACAAACTTCGACCAAAAACGCACTGTAGTACAGTACAGTAAAAAAACTAGTGCAATGCCTTAGCGTTGCGTACGGTACTGTGGGTACAGTACAGTATACTACAGTACATACTGAATATAGAGGTCTACTGTACATTTCGTAATTTTCATACTGTACAGTACACTGTAGTGGCAAAGATTTCTCATACTGTACAAGCAAGCCCGTAACAGCCCTGACTCACGGTACAGTACGTACGTTCAATCTGGAGATCAACGTGTGCGACCTACGACCTCACTACATTATTATACACAATACAATATAATGGGTAGATGGACACATGACCGACTACTCGTGAGAACACCCGTAGGCATCAACCACAGATCACTTTGATACATTTTACTGTACTGAGTAGATACAACATAAAGTATTACTGTACAGCGTACAGTACCGTACCATGCTGTCGATGAAACTTGAATATTCGAATCAAATTTTGCGCTTTTATAAACTATGATTTGAAATAGATTTACAGTTAGTAAAGTAGCTTGAAGGAAGCAAACTTTTTACACTTGACTGTCAAATAGAGCGCTAAATTACTCAAATAATACTACTACTGTATACCGAGGAATTGAATCTATGTATTCTATACTGTACCAAGAATATAGGGAACTTCAATATTTTTGCAGTTTAATCTGTAATATACGCGTATGTACAGTACATACGGTATACCATTCAATTAACATCTTGATGATCCCACTTTGTTTATACTGTATGTACCATAGGCTTATTTTTTATCACATTGTTTCTTAATTTCACTATTTCAAATATAAAAGATGTATATTTTAAAACATATTTTGTTTGTACTTACTGTAGATTCGATACTCGACACGTAAAAACAAAATAAGTACGCCTCTGAACATCAGCGATTCGTAAGAAACGAAACGATACAATCGTAACGGATTACAAATCGTCTGACTCACGACTTTGCCTTCCGTCCACTGGAACATATATCTTGCGTAATTTTATGTAATTAGCTAATAAACGAATCCAAGTTGGTAATAGAATCTATCCTTCTCTTTACTACATCGCCCATCGTGAAGCTTGACCTTTTTAAAAGTATTACCGTTGGTTCAAGATCAGTTCAAAAAGCTAAAACGAACGTCAAAGTGACAATCATTTATTATTACTTGCAGCTACTGGTAGATCTTTCAAAGGTAAAAGAGCCGACGCATATATCAAATCATTTTCATTGTAAGTAACTGTATGGGCACTTTATGAAATGGCAGGAAGTTACATGGGACCCACTTTTCTCAGCAATTATAATGCGGCAATCGGAGCTCTTCATGAGAACTCTCACTATCGAGATGGCTTGGAAAGCACCGGTAAACCCAATCACGTAGCGGTTAAATCAGATGCTAGTAAAGCAGTTAGTCCATTGCCATTTTCTGTCGATCGAATCCTTCATAATTTGGGTAGTGTTCACGATAAAACACTGATAAAATATCAAGGAGGTGGTAATCTTTGCCACCAATATCCTCAAAAGAATTTTGCCATCCAGCCGTTAATGAATACCTTTGGTGTTAATTTCAAGTTAGGTATGTCAGGATATTTTGGTTGTTTACCGTTTGACTACCTCTTTTGCAATCGAATGTACATGCCTGCGTCACCAGGTGCCATTATTGCCAATCCCGTGAACCCTGTTGAACATCATAAAGAAACTGCTTCGCCAGTTATCCAACCGGTGACTGCTACAAAAATTTCTGACAATGACAAGCCTGTAAACGACAAAACATGGTCAGACGATAGTATTACCAAACGCCTTGGTACCCGTAGTTCTGGTACTAATATTACTGGAACTCATTATTGTAAAATCTGCAATAAAGCTTTTGATCGTTATCACTGCCTAACTCGTCATATGAGGATTCATACTGGTGAAAGACCTTACAAGTGTGATATTTGCACAAAAGCTTTCACCCAACCTTATCATTTGACTATCCATAGAAGAATTCATACTGGAGATCTGAGACATAAATGTGATGTTTGCAACAAAAGATTCGTGCAAGCCAATGACCTGAAAAAGCATTATAGGATACACTCAGGTGAAAAGCCGTATTCATGTTCTGATTGCGGTAAACGATTTACAGACTCCAGTCAACTAAGAAAACATGAACGAATTCATTCCGGAGAGAAGCCGTATAAGTGTTTAGTGTGCGGTAAATCATTTACTCAGTCGGGAGCTTTAACTAAGCATAAAATAATACATAGAAATGCCACGAATTAGTACTACATTGCCAGTCTAATATTTTACTGAAACTTGATAATCTCTGACGGATTCTTATGTAATCATAGGGATTGCAATATTTCAATGAGACAAATTCTGGGTATTTCCTTGCAGTAGTTAACTGCAACTATAGTACTTGTTGACTATTACGTAACGTTTATTTACGAATTTTAGATTTTAAAGTCATCGCGCTCTGCGTGAGTTATGTTTCCCATAAAGTATTACCTAATAGCCAAGGCTATGTAATACAGGGAGTAAATTTCGAGTGAGTAATAAGTTTATCGGGCGTCCGGTGATAAATTATGGTGATACTCTCGCTTTAATAATATTGTCTTGAAGTTTTCTAGATATAGTAGCTAGTGCTTCAAGTTATGAAGCAATGGTATTGCAGACTTCATCTCAAGTAGTAACAACTTGATTAAAGTATTACTGCTAAAGAGTGTTTCTACACTTACTACCATGCGGTAAATGTTACTTTGTGACTTGTTTCTTATACGCGTATATCTAAATATTTGATATACTGTAGATGTTGTAGTTAGGGTTACCTAAATTTTTAAACTATCTTTCTTAAAGCATTAATAAAGTAGCTCTAATTCGTGATAAGCGATACTAAAATTACCTGGCAGGTGATTCAATTAAATACGCATGTACGTATGATCAATAACTAAGTTTCAAGGTATTTATGGCCATAAATTTTCAACGTAATCAATACAAAATTTTAGTTTTATCGAATGTAATAAATATTAAACACGAAATGAGTATCGATAGTACTGCACTTGAATTACTATTAGCTACATTAAAAGTTGAAAATAATAGATTCTTAGTATTGAATGTGGTTTATAATAGATTTACAAAGAGCGTTCTCTAATATTTATTGTTGTAGCTTTTATGCTATAGCTGGAATTTATAGAAGCACCTAGAACAGATGGTTCTTATAATTTGATAATGTAATGCCATTCAAGTACCGTAGAATATAAGCTTGTATAACTGATGTGGTGCATTATTATAGATTACGAAACCTATGGATAATCCATGGCACCACAGTCTCACAATATAATTCTCTATCTGGATTTAACTACTATAGGTTTACAAGTTCAGAAGCAGACAGTTTGTTACTACCATAAATAATTTAGTACTGCCTTAACTTTCATAACAGCTTCTAATAATAACAAGGGCTTGAAATGGCTAGGGATAAGAGTTGATAACTCAAAGCTTATTTCACTACAGTATCGTATTGTAAAAAAACTTGTGTGCTTTGTATGCAAAATTGTCATCTTTATTTCATAAGTTATCAGAAAACGAGGAAATCATCCTTAAAAGTAGATATCAAATGGTATTCCGGCGTCGAGATCAAATAGCTTATCAAATTGTACTTTACTCATCTTTGTGCCCTTAATTATTCCCCGTAACCCTTTGAAAATTGAATACTTTAATGAAATAGGTTTTAACACCATCATTTATTTAATCGATTTAACCTTACCTATAATCGTAGAAACAAGTTAAGATGTTCGCATACGAGTAAACGTGAAGAGTGGTTTCTCTTACCTCTTACATGGCTTACAAGTGAAATGACTAGTATTGTGATCATGTTACTATTACAACTACATAAATAGCGAATACCATATGATCACAGTTTTAAATAATTCACCCTAAGATTTCCAAAATAGATACTTGTATTGAACTATTACACTGAATTCTCTGATGTTACTAATTCTATATATTATTTGTTGTCATTTTCAACATGTTCTCAAATCTGAATTACTATTAATAGTTTTCAGCTCAAACAAATACAGTAAAATCGAATCAAGGATTCTAATTTAAATTCTTATACGAGTATTACAGTATATAAAACAGATAAGAACTAAGATTTTTATAAGACACCCCACCCCTACCACGTTCACTTACCGTAAAATGTTAAATTACATTTGAAATATGCGTATGCACACATTCCTATGGCAAAAGATATCTAGAATACATCTGTTGTAGAAGAAGATAGTGTAAAAGATATAGCGCAAGGATTGTGACGAGTTATTAGCTATTACAAAGAAATTTGATTTATAATGTATTTATTATAAAGAATGATATACTAAATTAGGTAATGAATAACTGTAGTGTAGTCTTCAAAATTAGCTTAAGACTAACGTTATGAGGTTGTGCGATAATATAGGACTTCAAATTGTACGTCAGATTCTAAAATTACGCAAGTTTACATTTGTAAATGATAACCATAATACTTATAATAGTAGCCCCCTCACAACGATACATAAACTAGGCTTTGAAACATTAATAGACACCTAAGTAATTTAGTATTGTGATAAAATTACGGATTAGATTCTAAATTTACTATGATACTTTAATTGAAAGCACTAGTTATTTATAGATCGTACAATAGTAAAATTTAGTTCTGATATTGCGGCTTAATTGTCAAAATGTGATGATATTACTAAAAATAGATCTGTAAGCACTGCATGTAAATCGCAAATTCTGATGTAATAAGTAGTTAGACAATTTTAGATTAAAAGTAGATAATAATTTATACTCTAATAGACGAATCAATTTACTAGTATGTAATAACGTAAGTTTACAAGTACTGTAAGTACAATTCTTGTTAAAATATTTTTAAACGCTTTTATCACCATAACTTATTGTAATTGAAGAAATAATACAATGCTACAAACTTTCGTTACTGCTGTTTAGAAATATATCGCATTATGTACAAGATGACGGAACTGTTAATATCTCTAGCTTGAATTGGCTAATACCAAGCTTTAATAGAATAGTAAATTATGGAAATACAACGTATCGTACGTATTTCTAGTAATATAACCAAAATGAAAATATCTGCTAAAAGATATATATGAGTATTGCTATTATCAAGAGTTTTATAAGGGGTATTACAAAGCCAGTTAAAATAGTACTACTTATTGTTACGTACGTTCCAATCCTAGAATCAATTACTATCTTGCTATTTACGAGATAAGGAATATCAGTTGAATATTGCTTGTATTACTATAGATTTATGAAGATATTTTAAATAGCCATAACGCAACGTTAGAGAAGGCAAGAAGCATCGCAACCACATTTCAGTATCAACTAGAAATAAATAAGTATATGTACAGTTATATATCATTAATATTGATAATATATATGTAATAATGGTATCTTATGATGTTAGTGACAGAATATGTACTTTTATGTCACTGTATAAATCCACCCTGATATTGATAATAGAACTTATCAATTAATTTCGCCTGACAGAAATAGATACGTAAACATGTACCGAAATATGATAGTAGTTATAATGATCTTTGTTATTGCAGAGAATATAAGATCAGTAACAACACTCAATTATATATGCGTACATCTGAAAATATTAAATGTTTAAAATGCTTTAAAGATACGGATAAAACCCAAGTGCCAATCAAAAAATAAATATCTAGTAGATGAAATTTTGGGCTATAGCATATATTCAGGCTTAAATAGAATCTGAAGTGAAAGCATGGTCCATGTAAGATATAGTGTTTTTCAATAAAGATTTTCGCTATATGGTATAACATAACCGAATAACTACAAAATTTTAAAGATACTAATATTAATAAGTGGATAAAATTTTGCCGATATTCAACAGATAATAGTGTCACTGTATCCGTTTGAGTACGAAGTTCAGTATATTTGCAAAATGCCTAGTCAGTTCGCAAACTGCAAAAATATCAAAACACATAAATCAGAGAAACTATCTTTATTCATGCAGTAATGTTACTAAAAAAACAGAGAATCTATATTTCTTTGATGATTATAATAATAATAAACTGATTTAGATAATCAATACATACAAGTATGTAACTTGCAATTACTGAAGTAATTGCCAAACATTTAGAGATACTATTATCAATTATATAGTTATTATTGAATTGATAATGTTCTGATTATGAAAATTATTATTCATTTTTACAAGTTCTCTGATTATAACATTTAGTTTTTGACTTAACGTTAGCCTTAAAGCATTTGTATCGGTTAATAATACAAGATGCATGGCATTTTGCAAACTGACTAGGCATTTCGCGAATTCACTGGATTTCGTAGTTGGATGGTGACATACGATAT